CCCCCACGACGCGGCCACGACGGCATCCCCAACTCCGCCAAAATGGCCTCGCCCGCTGTCGCCATGCCCAATGCCAATGGCCACGCCCTCGCCAAGCCAGAGGCCGAGTCCGAGTCGCCTGCCCCAGCCCGCCAGGACGACGTCGACATGGCCGACGTGCCATCGCCATCCTCCTCCTCGTCCGCGGCTGCGCATTCCATCCCCGCCAAGCGCAAACGCGAGGGGAGCATCGCCAATGGCCATGGCCTGACCGACGACACCCCGTCCAAGCCCGCCACAAACGGGCTCTCGCGCCAGCCCGTAGACCACACAGCTGCCGTTCGCGACTATCTCGTCGTGCTTGAGAGGTATGTTGGACTACGTCCCCGTCCCGCAGCAGCCTCGCCCGCAATGCTCCTCCGACTCGACCGCGAGATGCATCTCCGGGCCTGCGCGCATGCATCTGCTAATGCTTGATTTCCTTCCTCCAGATTTGATGCGACGCCCTCGCTCCTCAAGCGCCCCCTGCCGGACCTGGACGAGTCCGACGTCCCATCGGCCAAGCGCACCAAGGCCGAGGACGGCTCGTCGCGGCCATCCATCGCCGAAAAGGCCGCCAATTCCGAGTACGCCAGCCTCGACGCTGTTGTCGCCGACATCAAGGCTGTCGTCAAGGACCAGCTGGCCCAGCTGCGTGGCATCGATGCCGACAAGGCCACCAAGGAGAATGACCTCGCCTTGGCCAAGACCATCGCCTTCGACCAGAAGGCCCGCGAACTCTTCCGTCGGGAGACGTCCTACCCTGCCGTGACCCAGAACCCCGGCGTGTTGCGCTCCCTGGATGCCTCCAACGATCTGCAGTCGAACGCAAGCGGCAACATGATATTGAGCGTCTTCGGCGAGGCACCCAAGGCCCGCCAGCTGTACTCCAGCCTGCAGCAGCGCGTGCCCACCCCCGACAACCCCGAAGGCGCCATTCAACCTCTGCGCGAGAATGGCTTGCCCTCTGGCGTCAAGACTGCCAAGGCTGTGCCCTTTTCCTTCCCCTCGGCCGTCGAGAAGGACAAGAAGTCCAAGACCTTGGGCGAGCTCTTTCCCGCGCCCCGCAGCCTGCCATCGTTACAGCCCCCCAAGGCCCCGAAGAGTACGACCAAGGGCGTGCAGGTCGGCTGGCATCGTCCCGAGTTGACCGAGAAGTCAAAGTACCGTGCAGGATCCTACTTCGGCCAGTCCATGTCCACCGGCCGGTGGCTGGACTACAGCAATGCCGCACCCCCGTCGCAGATCATGACAAAGCAACGGGAGAGAGCCATGAGTCTAGCCGGCGCCAAGCCTTCCTCTTCCGACCTCGAGACCACCGAGATGGAGGCCCTGTTCCGAGGCGCCTTCTCCAGCTTTGCCCCGGCCAAGGACGACTCGGCCGCCATGGTGTCTTCGGGCCTTATCAGTCAGACCATGTGGTGGCAGAAGTACGGCAAGCGCACTTTCGACCGCCTCGTGGAGGCCGAGTCGCCAGACGAAGGCCTGGACGACACAGCCAAGGAGGACGAGATCGAGGTCGACCTGGATCATGACTTGCTGGAGGAAGCCATCGAGAACTGGGATTCCAAGGTTGATCCGAGTCTCGAGGAGATGTGCAACCCCAAGAAATCCAAGGAAGATCAAGACGTGGACGACATTCTGCAGGATGTCTCGGACATGATCCAGACCCTGATCTCGTTCCAAAAGAACCGCAACCTTACGCTCCCCTCGGCCGCAAATCAGAGCCGTTACGCTGCAGACCCTGCCCACAGCGACATGTTGACCAACGGCACACCGGCGCAACCCAGCGAGGAGGAGACGGCGACCTATGACGTGTTGAAGGCACAGCTTGTTCTCATTGTCAAGACTCTTCCGCCGTATGCTGTGGCGCGCCTCAACTCGGATAAACTCGAGGAACTGAACATCAGCACCAAGATCGAGATACGCACCGATGAATATCAGGGTGTCATGGAGGAGGACGAGGCTGCCGCGCGTGCAAGAGCCGCCCAGCAAGCCGCGGCCACGCCCCGCCCCACCGCCCACCGGTCGTCCAGCTCTTCCAGCAGTGTGCCGTACGCGGCCCAGTATGGGGCCGCTAATCGCGCGCCGATGCCCAGCCCGGGCTACTACGGCACGCAAACCCCGGTCCGTCCGCCGGCGAGTGTCGCAAGGCCACCCCCGTCCGGCATCCCTCCGGCCTACCCTCAACAGCGCCCGCCGTCAAACACCGGTTATAGGCCTACAAATGGTTATGCAGGTGGCAACAACTATTCGCAGCAATTGGCTAGAGGCCAGCAGACTTTCAGTCAGACCACTCCCTACACTGCCACGCCCCCCCAGAGCCGTCCTCCATACCAACAAACTCCATCGTACCATAACATGGGCAACAGCAACCCGCCGCCGCCGCGGTATCCCACTCAGCCGCCTTCGACACAGGCACCGCCCTTCCAGCAGCATGGCTACCCTCACCAACAACCGGGCACGCCGTCACATCCACCGTACAGCCCGTACACTAATGGTGCGACTGGTATGCCTCCGAGAACTGTCTCCCCGCAGGTAGCTCACCAACAGCCCCAGTACATGCAGCAGCAAGGTTTCACTCCTAATGCAACCCCATCCCGGCACTCCTCGTTCAGTGGACAACAACCGCCCCCCAGTGCCAACCAGCAGCAGCGCTACTATCCCCCGGCGGGGTCGCCTCAGACGCAGCACAGCGCGCCTCCTACCGGACAGCAGAACGCCCAGCAGGGCACATCGTTCCACACTTCCCTTCACCCACACCAAGTGCAGCAAGCCATGGACCAGGCCAAAGCACGCTTTGCCGCCATTCCGAGGTCTGGGGAGAATGGCCGGCCCCCTTCAGCCCAGGGACAACAAGTGGGTGCCCCTGTAGGCTTGGGAGGTATCGGTCTTGGGGCCTCCCGGACAAATGTTCCAGTGCCTGGGGTTGTCAATTTCAACACGCCCAGCCCGAGCCCAAAGCCCCAAACCAACTCTCCTGCAGTATCACAGCCGCCCGCCGTCAACGGAAGCCCGGCCCCCGGTGCCTCGTCGGCGGCCGCAAACGGAACACCGACGGAACAGCCTGATCAAGCCTAGGTAGCTTTCAATCGGCACGTCTTTCCGGCATATGCCACTCGGCCGGAGGCCGCAAGAGCATTGATGCCTCCTCCCCCACCTGTCTTTTATGGGAGACCGTTCTATGGCCCATAACACAGAGGGCTGGCAGACATGGCCGCAGGCACCCGATGGAGTACTGGTAACACGACAGGCACTGGGTCTGGATATTGGGGATACTACAACAAGCGACTCGGGAATCTGCATGTCCAGTGGCAGGGTGGGAAGGGCCCTCGTCACTATAAACAGTGTTCGATACGCACAGGAGTTGACAAGGATAAGGCGTTTGTTGTGCCCTAGTGGGTGGTTTCGTAGCTGGTGGCTTGGTTTTCCTGATCCTACCAGAAAAAAGGAGATGGGTTAGACAATGACTAGGGGTCAGGTGTTTACTACAGGAAGGGTAGATGGCTTTTTCATGTTTAGGGCAACGTTCTGCTCTCTAGCTCGCTTCACGACCGACGCAGCATCGGCGTAGTGTATAAACAGTCCACAACTTGTTATTCCCCCAAGGCGGCAAGAATCGTGTCTCGGATTTCATTGTAATCTCATTCTCAATTCCCGTCGCTACGTTGCGGTCCACACAGATATTACACTCAGCAACCACAATGATCAATCAACAGACACTCGTCCAACAATCAGCATTGCATCTGATAACGCTTTTCTCAACCCTATGAGAGTTCCATCCCCACTCAAGCAGTGCCGTTAGCCGGCGGCTGCACGGTCTCGTACAGCGTGAGCCGGTTGCCGGCGCCACACAGCGCGCCGGCGTCGCCCGCGCACACGAACGAGCACTCGGCCTCGCCCACGAACCCGCCCCCGTGCAGCGCGTTGCCGCACCAGCACTCGCGCCCGTACTCGAGCCCCGCGTACCGGAACCCGGCGCACGCCGCCGCGCACTTCTGCGGCGTCTGCGTGTCGCTGGGCGCCGACCTGTCCGGCAGGAGCCGCTCGCCGTCGCCCTCGCTGTGGCACCCCAGGTACGCGCGGCCCGGGACCCCGGCCACGGCCGGCGCCACGTAGTCGTTGTTGCGGTACAGGCTGAGGCGGCTGGCCCCGCCGCACGTCTGCGCCGGGTTGCCGGCGCACGACATGCTGCAGCCCGACGACGTCGGCACGGCCGACGCCGCCAGCGCGTTGCCGCAGAAGCACTCGCGCCCGTACTCGGTGCCGAAGAACCGGTAGCTCGCGCAGAAGGCCGCGCACGACTGCGTCGTCATGCTGTTGGACGAGTAGCTCGCCAGCTCGATCGCCCGGCCGCTGCTGGCTTCCGTGTAGCAGCCCAGCGAGGTGAAGTTGGGGACTGTCCGGACGATATGGCCGTGGTGTTTCGCATGGTGGCTGGTGGCTGGGATGGCCAGGACGGGGGTGAGGAGTAAGAGGGAGAGGGAGAGTTTGACTGTTAGGGGCATTTTGAAAAAGTAGTTGGTCCAGTGATCTTGTGTGTTGCTGGGGATGATGATGGTGTTGGTATTGAGCTGCATTTCGAATCTGGGGTCTTCACTTATATACCCAATATCTCATCCCAACCGCCCCGGTTATCTCTCTTCTTTGGCAGTACTTTCTGGCATCAATATTTCAGAGTCAAATTTATCCATCCCTTGCCTGCAGCCACCAATAGTCAGCTGTACGCCATGTCTTCGCTGAGCAAGTTCTGGCCGTAATCAGACAATCCACATCGTAGCCGGGCTGGGACCGGATGGAGGCAGGTCTGAAGCCCTTGAGCCTCGATTGGGCGATACAGCCAATAACAGTAATGCAGATTGACAAGGCTTAACCTCGTGAGTCGGCGCTGCAGCCACCAGCATTCCTTCCAGTGGCCACCAGGCTGGGCGCCCGTAATTCTTCAGGCAACTATTGCGCCGAGTGAACTTCGACCACTGCTTTTACGGCTCAGCTCGCGCTGCAGACCATCTACGTCAGAGACATTGGGCCATTGGATGCGCTATAGTCCCATTTGGAGTATGATTTTGCCGCATCTTGAACCACGGTAGAGACCATGGCCATGGTCGGGTTTGAAGAAACTATCCCCGCGAGTCCAGTCCAGCTACGTTCAGAATCGCAGAATAACCCCGTCTAGTACATTTTAGGCGAGGTCAATGTATTTCTCGCTTTCGTTATACACTACTTTCAGCGTGCATGTCGCAGCCAGCGGCGCAGCTCCAAGCATTGCGATTTGTGCTTTGGGTAGCTAGCAGCCATGAAACAGCACACAACAACGTACATAGAAGCAACTTATAAGCTGTACCACCTGGCTAGTTTCTCGGAAATATTCACAGATCGGATTCTCTGTTCATTCGGTCACCACGTTGCAAATCTGCGTCGCTGCTTCTTTTCCCTAAGGTGGCAATACAAATCACTGCTTTATACGTCTTAGACGTGCAGGACCAGGGGCAGCAGTCGACGTTGTTAATACATTCGCCGTGTGCACCACGCTGACGGTGAGTTCAGGGTATCCCAGATCTGGTTCACACGCCATCACGTGAATCCGTGAAGCCGGGCGAGGCGGTCAAGAATGGCAGAAATTGCCCTGGCATGGGTGCGATCTGCCTTGGAGACTTTCGTGCCAATTTCAGCCTCGAGTTTGCCTTGAAGCCGTCTCCTTTGTTTTCTTGAACCTTTTCCCATGTCAATTGTGCACGACGCTAATTGAGTCTGATGCGATTCGGTCTGGCCAAGCTAGCATCAGCATGGATCACAAGAACCGCTGCTCTGTGAACGCCGACGAGACCGACTTTATGCGTGGCGTGGTAAATGATCTTAGGCAGGATGACCGCCGCCTTCGGCGAATGTTTGACAGGAAAGTCCTTCCAGCTATGGTGCTATCAGCTTTTATGCTCGGGATCAAATCTGCAGCTTTCTCCAATGCTGATCTATTCGGCCTCGCCGAGGATCTTGGCCTCGGCCATACTCAATTCTCTTGGCTGTACTCCCTGCCCCATTTACTTCAGATCCCTCTCCAGCTTCCCATTGCATGGATTGTGAGAGACAACCTCTTTGCGCTTGACAAGATTTTGGCGAATTGTCTGATCTTGTCCGGGTGTCTCTTTGGACTTCTGCCAGATCTTGGTCATGTCGGGTCTATCTTCAGCGGCCTTGTACAGGGTTTGCTTGACGCGGTTTTTGTCCCTCATCTTGTGTGGATATCGTGGGTTTATTGGACACCGGAAGAGATGCCACTACGACTGACGCTCTGGGGCTCAATGATTGGCTTTGCGAATGTAGTAAGAGATTTGTGCCACCACATGTTTTCAACGCTTTGAACGACGAAGATTGACTTGTTGAAGGCAATGAGTCTAATTACATATGTCCTCGTGTCTAGCATAGACGCGACTCGGCTACCTTTGGTGAGCAAACCCTACAAACTGCGCTATGCTGTTACCCGCTCTCGCTAAACTGTATAGCTTATTTTAGGGTGCACAGCTATTATATTTGCACCCTACATGCTTTACACGGTCATCTTTGCAGGTGCATCTCCAATGGAATTGAAATTCCTAAGCGACCGAGATAGCAAAGTTGCATATGGGGTGCAGCGCCTAACTGCTCCAAGGAATATGTCTTGGAGCGACGTGGTCTTTCGATCAACGAAGAAAGATGTTAAAACCTGGCTGTGGTTCTGCCTCGCCTTTACAGCTTCGTAGGTAGCTTGGAGATCCGCAAGGATAGGATTTATGATATACGTGCTGACATATCCTCAGCATCTTGACTGGCGGTTTGACCAGCGTCAGCCCCCGTATTCTGAAGGTGTTAGATCTCAAAAGATCCAACGCTGCTCTCCTGAACATGCCGTTCGGCGCCACTCAGTTCTTGTCGATCATGGGTGGTGGCTATGCCACCACCAAATACCGTTTTGGGACAGTCATAACTGCGCTATCTCTTATCTCAGCTGTCGGCCTCATGCTGCTTCATAGAGCATCTCAACTGCCGGAACTGAGGCAGACCTCCCTCCTAATTGGATACTATCTTTCAGCAGCTGTACATGGAAAAGGTAGGTTTCCAAGTCGCGGTATGAGAAACAATTGTTCTGACGACGGTAGCTCCATTGATATATTCCTGGGCTGGCGTCAACACCGCAGGATCAACTAAACAAAGAGCCACAGTCGCATTTTTACTAATGGGCCAACAACTTGGCAGTGCCTGTGGCCCAGTCTTATTCAATCTTGGATCCGCGGAGGTGCTAAGCTCAGGTGTGTGGTGGATCAGTATTCTGACATGCTTGTCCACCGTTGCGCTTGTTGAATTGGCCAATCGTCACATACGCAACCTCAATAGGCGCCATGCTCACCAGGGTGGTCTTCAGGCTGAGGATTCGGCAGTCACTGTCACGTCTGATTCTCGCCTGAACAAGGCTATAGATTTCGAGCGGCAGCGCCAACGCAAAACATACGAAGACCCTGATGATGAAGACGCGTGTCCTTACTCATTCAGATCTCGGGTCTGGGAAGACTTTACCGACTTGGAGAATAAGGAATTTCGCTTCGTTACATAGAATGTTTGGAAGGTTTCATGTGATAATGAGCACTTTTCAAACGGTGTAACAAATCCCAATTTCTCTAATGTTCCGTGCGCCTGCATACCACATGACCCACAGAAAACCAACCTCAGCCATATATACAGTGCATTTAGCCTTGTGACTTCTGGCTGTCGGAATCCCTAAATCTTATGTAAATCACCATTGCGGTAGCTCCCATACATCCTCAACTCTCTGTGTATCAGCGTTTCATTCTGGCGACCGATGTCGGAACGACTCTGGGAGGATCCGATGGTAGGTCTGGTAAATGAGCTTGGGTTTCCTTTGGCTGCGCGCTCGCACACGTATTCGGTGACATGGCCACGCCTTGTGTATTGGTTGCAAAAGGTTTTGCTATTGCGTCTCACTTTTCACCGATGGCGGGGAGCGCACCACGTCTTTGAGCATGCATATGATGCCTTCGGCGTTGCTCTTGCATAGTCCAACGACGTGAAACCTGTTTCCACAGAACGTGAGAAGATGGTTACACTTGTCCGAAGGTCACCTTGCGCTGCGATTTGATGTATATAAAAGAGCATTGCAAATCATCTCACTCACATCCACATCACACTTCTATACTTGTCAAAGCAGGCGAAATTTGCATTCGATCCCCTTACCATCGGTCGAATTGATCTGCTACAGGTGGTACACAAGCTGAGTACCCAAATAAAAGTCTGGACGACACACTCATCCAGCACGAGTACGAACCATGAAAGCGTCGGGTAGCATTATTGTACACCATAGTGACTTGTAGGCCTTGTATCCCTGTAGTCGCCTCTCCTTGTAGTGCATATCTGTCTTATGGATGAGTTCTGCTTCCTCACATTTACGAAGTGCCCATTGGCTTGCTCAGTGATGCCATATGTGCCTATTCGATGTCGCCAATGTTATCACTTTTGCGCTATATCGCAGGTACCAGCGTAATAAGTCCTCAACCAGAAACGTACATACTCAATTGTAGTGCCAGGATACAAGTGTCCCCAGCGAGTAATCGGCCAGTCCACCAAGAACCATACTCCGAGGTCGTCAATCCGCAGCCTTGCGACAGACATCGTTCCGGCTGCTTACAGCAGGCCATATTGATTCATGCTCAAAACTTTTTTCTCCCTGTTCTGAAGGATCGTTCCTTCACGAAGGAGGAAAGAGAAATGAACATAAGCATCAATGCATCAGGCACGGAATACTGTGTCTCTCGGGACCGAGAAGGGGAAAACCCGCACAATATCGCCAAAATGTACTAGGTGAGATTTCCTGGACCCCAAGGCCTCACAGCAAGGTTCATACCTGCAAAAGATGGCTGATGCCGTTTTGAACCCTTCGAAGTGGACAAATGCACCCGAGTTTCCCCTTCTCGATCCCAGACACTAGCTTCCGCGCTCACCAGCCGGATAAGATGGCCGCTTTCTATACGACACTTACTTTACCCCAGTGGGAGTGGATGCTGGCTAGTACAGAACTAGACGTGACCTTCGGTGGTTCGCCTTCAATGTTCCAATCATTGCAAACCAAGAGACAGGGGACATGATATGCCTGCCAAACCTGCAGTTCTCATCATATCCTCACCACAACTGTGGGGTCAGAGACAAGGATCAAGGCGGGGTGTACTTTCAATCCACCAATTTTCTTGCCATTGGCTGCTAATCCTTGGCTTACTCAAACTTGATCAGTGTGGATGTCTCATGCGTATGCGTGACCCCAACATGTCAGCTTCATACATAGGAAAATGTGTCCTTCCTTGCGAGAACTTCTAATCCTCTCGTCAGCAAGGCACGACGCCTCTGACGATATTCGGCAACTCATTGGTCGAAAATACAATGGTGTAAAGGTCGAATTATGTAGGTTCGCTCAAGAGAACCCATATAATTGGTTTAGTCCTTACCTAGACACGTGTGGGAGGGTCGGGCCCACCGCGTTGTGGAATAGAAGATACCCAATACAGATACCTACTACAGTGATGCGCGACACCTTATGCGCAGTTTTCTTCCTGATATCTGAGATCCCGTATTCAACCAATACTAACCCGATTTGGCCCTGTGTGCTCGACTACATATGTAGCCGTCGTCAGAAGTGCTGCACATGTGATTATGATGCATTTTCATCTGCTTTCATTATTTCTTCCTCCCGGGTTACATCCTATACCGGCAACATCTGCAGATCGGGCAGGGCGACTGAGCGCCCACCTTTGCTTTACCTGACTTCTTGAACCGACTGAGACCAGTCAGATACTCTTGAATATATTTGACATGGACAGAATTGATCAATTCTCTCATGTGACGGAACCCAATGGCACCACTGACTATGGTGTTCTTATTGTGGGCGCTGGGTTTGGCGGCGTTTACCAGCTGAAGCATTTTCGCGATCTGGGTTACAAAGTCAAACTTCTGGAAACCGGTGACGGGTATGGTGGAGTCTGGCACTGGAACGCATACCCAGGAGCACGAGTAGACAGCACCATACCCCACTACGAGTTCGATGACCCAGAACTCTGGAAAGGCTGGACTTGGAAACAGAGGTTTCCCGACCACAACGAAATTCGAGCGTATTTCAAGTACGTTGCCAAGAAGTGGGATCTTCAACGGGATACTCAGTTCAACTCATTCGTTCAATCTGCGACCTGGAATGATGCTGAATGCAAATGGACAGTTACCACACGAGAAGGGGAAGTCTTCAAAACCAGATATTTATCCTTAAACACAGGTTTTGCAGCTAAGCGACATATCCCAGCCTGGAAAGGCATCAGCAGCTTCAAAGGGACTTTTATCCATCCATCCTACTGGCCACACGAAGGCATTGATCTTCGCAACAAGAAAGTCGCTATAATAGGAACTGGGTCAACAGGAGTCCAACTTGCGACTGAGTTAGCACCCATTGCAAAGCAACTCACGGTTTTTCAAAGGTCTATCAATACCTGCATGCCAATGAAGCAGGTCGACTATAAGGATGGCGAGCAAGCCTTCGCGCGGGAGAGATATCCCGAGTTATTCAAACATCGTGTCGATAGCTTCGGTGGATTCAACTTCAACTTCCTTGGTCGTGGTACCTTTGAAGATGATGCTGAGACACGCCAACAAACGTATGAAAGATTGTGGGCTGAGGGAGACTTCAAGTACTGGCTAGCTACGTACATTGACATGCTCTTCAACGAAGATGCCAACCGCGAGGCCTATAACTTCTGGCGCGACAAGACGCGGGCAAGAATCCACGATGAAAGTTTGAAGGACCTCCTTGCTCCCATGAAACAGCCTTACTCCTTCGGGTGTAAGCGAATCTCTCTCGAGAAAGGCTATTTTGAGATCTTCAATGAGCCTCATGTCAGTCTCGTGGACGTCAACGCCACCCCAGTCGAAGAAATCACCGAAAACGGCATCAGAACCTCCGAGAAGGAGCACGAATTTGACATGATAATTTGTGCCACTGGCTATGATGCATGTACCGGCGGCCTCCGCCAGATCGATATACGCGGCCTTGATGGCGTGTCGCTCAGTGACCATTGGAACGACGGAGCATACACCCATCTCGGCATGACGGTGGCGGGATTCCCCAACATGTACATGACGTACGCACCGCAAGGCCCAACTGCGCTGTGTAATGGACCTACGTGCGCCCAGCTGCAGGGGGATTGGATCATCGCCGCGGTCAACCACATGAGAGAGAACGGCCTGAAGAAGATGGTGCCCGAGCGTGAGAGCGAACTAGAGTGGCGCGAAACGGTCATGAAAATAGCGTACTCGTCGCTCCTTCCGGGGACCAAATCTTGGTACATGGGGGACAACATCCCGGGCAAGCCTAGAGAGCCTCTGATCTACCTGGGAGGAGTGCCCAACTACTACAAGACGATCAACGAAGTTGCAGCGAAGGGTTACTCTGGATTTAAGTTTGAGTAAGCTATTTCAAGAAGTCATCAAGGCTGTCTAGCAGAAATGGGCAAGGAAGTTTGAAATCCGGAGGGTTCACATGGTGGACAGTGTGGGCATTTGCGAAGTTATTCTAAATTAGGGTTGAATCTTTCATTATCCTACTAGCAATGCGTCCTTTAACACTGCAGACTACTTTCTACATCTAAGACAAGTAGGCATTTACTGCAACTAGAAGCGGAATCGTGATCATGATCTGAGAAGCATGTACAACCGCGGCGCTGGAGTGACTGCAGCCCATGCAGCCGTAGGATTTCGGCATCGGCACCGGCGGGAGCCTGGCTTTCTTTGACGAATCCGGAAGACCTTGGCTGAGCTCATCGGTCGTGGAGTCCGCGTGATCCGGGTCGGACACAGTAATACCATAATCCAACGCAGTTGTATTGAGATACGGCTGCGTGGCATTGCAATGAATCATGGATCCGTTAGCAGCGCCTCCAGTGGCATTCCGGCAGTCCCCCGGTTGTGGCATGGCGCAAGTAGAGTTACTTGGATGCCCACGCGTCATGCAACCGTACTTTGCTGGAGCTGCAGCCGCGAGGGTCCCAAAGAGAACAGTGATGACGAAAAGGGCAATGAGAGCGTGGCGACCAGCGCTACGAACTGTTCTGAAGGAGCACATATTCTTGACGTGCAAAAGAAGCGAACTTACCTGTGTTAGTGTCAAGGTTCTAATCTGTTCCTATCGAGATTAGAGGGCGGGATTAGAAGGCAGGACCAGAGGAAAAGATCGGTCCACTTATGTAGGCCTCGGCATTCTGCGCTTGCAACCATGCCTTTATGTTCAGGGTAGAGAGAGGCTATAAAGGACATTGTTTGCCATCGACAAAGAACGGTAAAATAAGAAAGAGGGGTTCTTGACCAACAACGAGTGTCTAGACAGGGTAAAGGCTGGAAGCTGCAACGCGATATAGCTCAAGGCAAGTCATATGCTCTCATTGTTTGTCCAGACAATGCTAGGCTACCCTCGTTAGATACTACACAACCTTTGTTTAGGCGTACTTCCATGTGCGAAGCTACAGTCCATGCACTTGGGCTAAGCCAGGCTATCATATCTCAGACTGCGGCAATTGATCCTGTTTATGTTGATGTTGCGTGGGGCGATAATGTACACACAACTCTCAAGGGTTGAAAGGCACACCGACAAACCCGAGACGCCATATATTCTTTCACGATTTGTAACTGAACTCGCACGGGGGTGCTTGTTTGATATTCTAATCTGCCACCGCTCGTTTATCTTTTGCCCTGGTCGTTTGCCACCACTTCACGGTCGTTCTTGCCCCGAAAATCGTCCCTGACAACCCACAACCTGGCCAGTCCATGCCACAAAATGGGGCTTGTGGATTAATTTTCAAGACATGTTCTCACTTTTTCTCACTTGAACACATTAAACTTTGTCTCTTCCTGGACCACACATTTTCCCACGCCAAGTCAAGCCAGCAACAACAACGTGATTATCGATCAGCGGTCCTAGTCGGGTTTGTTGATCCCGAGAACCCCTCACTCGATCCCTCTGTGGAGGCACACGAGTTACTACTTCATAAGAATGGTTCAGTTCCAAAGGGAGGAACAGCCAAGATCTCACACTATCTAGGTTACGGGACATGTGCCGTCACGCCTCTCAACCAGCAAACGCACTCTTTCCATTCCAGAAACAGCTCGAGAAACAGCTCGCCAAATCGTCGCGATGGAGAAAAATCTTCAGACCATGATTCATCACTTCAATCGGCTGTTTCTACTGCCCGATTTCATGCGCGATGAGCCTACTTCCGGGCTGCTGGGCTCTACGCTGGCAGACCTTTTCCAGACATCGCTGATCCTGGTCGGGAGTAAGGAGACAGTCCGGCAGCATACCGTCAAACGGCTAGCTTCTGATGAAGGGCTCGAACTCATCAAGGAGCTTCTGAGCAATATCGGTCAAGCTGACACCCACCAAGCCCGGGTTCATCTGTGGAAGTCCCAGTTACGCCCGTTCTTAGCAACCCTGTGTCACCCTGCCGTTACGGCGGACAGCCTTCTGGAAAAGCATATTCGTACAGTATATGACTTCCTGATCAGTTATTCTACTGATGGCCTAATGCACACCTTTTCCTACATCTACATTCTGGTCGATGCCTGGAAAACCGTGGACAATGATACCACCAACGGCTGCAATGGAATCCAAGTGCTCGTCATGTCATCGAAAGTACTGACGCAAGCAGTTAACCATTCGTCCTGCCGTTCTTCTAGCGCTGGTCTTTGCCATTTGATTCAGCGACTTCTCGAGCTCTGTGATCGTTACAGTGAGCCTGATCAAAGCAAGGATAGGGACTTGGCTCGTAGAAACCTGGAATCTGCACTTGCGACAGTCAAGAAGCTGTCAACAACCAGTGGTTCTATGCCAGGAGCTAATAATATCCAAAGTCCGCCAGAAAAGGTCCAGGATACAGCATGGACTCGAGTCGACACAGCGGGGTTTTTCAACTCCGGATTGGAGGGCCCCGGAGGCCTTTCCCCCAAGGGCCAGCGGCACGACAATGATTTTGACAACATTGGCGACATTCGCATACTTCCGACCCCGGCTGAAATATTGTCGACGAGGCCTGAGTACCTTCCCGTGTATGATTCCTCACACTGGCACGTCCCAGGACTCCCAGGACTCGTCGATCGCCACTTTCGCCTTCTACGAGAGGACAACGTTGGTTCGATTCGCGACGCTATTCGTCCCTACCTCCGAGGCAGCCAATATAGTCTCAGCATTTACCAAGGCAACAAGCTTCGTACCGATACATACGCCGTTCAAGGTGTTGATGTTGGGTACGACCCTATCGACGGATTCGAAGTCCGACTCGTCATCAAGCAGCCCCCGGCAGTTGCGAGTCGATCGCAGCCTCCCCACCGAGAGCAGTGGTGGGTTGAAACTAAAGGCCTTGACTGGGGTAACACTGTGTGCTTGGTAACCAATGATTACGCCTTCTTTGGAGTAGTTTCAAGAGCAACATGTCGCACAATCTCAAGCCTGCATCAGAAGAAGGACGAGAAGAAGAAAGGTCGCCAGCGACGATACGACAAGAACAAAACACTCTTCACTTGGAGAGATGTTGCTTATGTCACATTGAATCCTGCGGACCTCAACAATAGTGACATTGAATTCTTGGCAGGGGCACTTGTGGAAAAGATACAGCCGTCGACTCTGATAGAGTTCCCGACCGTCTTACTAGCTTCATTCAAACCAATGCTGTCTGCACTCCGTGAACTGCACGGGTCTCACGGCGTCCCATTTGGCGACCTTTTGGTCAGCGTTCGACAACCGCAGAATCCATCTGCTACCAATATTCCACCGCCAGCCTACACGATCAAGAACAAATTCGAATTTGACTTGAGCTGTATTACTCTGGACGGCGGCCGGTTTGCATACGATCCTCGAAAGGAACCCGTTGTCGACGAACTCTGTCGCAGGTCGAGTCTTGATGAAGGTCAAGCTAAGGCCTTGTTGAACACGCTTCGTCGGCGTCTGGCATTAATCCAGGGCCCTCCTGGTACCGGGAAGAGTTACACTGGAGAAGCGATCATTCAGGTTCTCCTGGCCAACAACGTAAAAGCAGACCTTGGACCAATCGTCTGCGTTTGCCAAACAAATCATGCCCTGGATCAACTTTTGGAGCACCTGTACGTGCGAAAGCACATTCATCAGATCGTGAGACTCGGTGGTTTCAGCAAGTCGGAACTTATACAGAGCCTGACCCTGCAGAACATCATGGACAACAGTACACCGGGATTTGTGGAACAGAAGACTATTTGGAACTCAACAAAGCCGCGAAACAAGTCCGGAAAGAGGGTTGCCACCATTCTTGAGGATTTTCGCTTAGCCGATCCGAGTCAGCGTCCTCAGCTCATGAAGCAGATACGTGAGGCTGTCGAGGCGCATTCTCGACGTCAAATGGTCAATGATGAGGCATGGACGAATTACAAACTCACACTCCTCCGCCGCGCTGATATCATTGGAGTTACAACTACAGGGCTTGCAAGATTCCGAGACTTGCTGAGTCAATTGAAGAGCAAGGTTATTCTCTGTGAAGAGGCTGGCGAGGTGCTTGAGTCGCATACGCTTGCCTCGTTGTTACCATCCACAGAACATCTGATCCTTATTGGTGACCATCAGCAACTGAGGCCTCATATCAACTGCTGGGATTTCCAAATTGCCAACCCACTGGGCCGTGCTTACGCTGGGGATCTGTCTCTCTTCGAGCGGCTCGTTAAGCCTCTCCTAGAGAACGAAATGAGGCTTCCCTGCGACACGCTAGACATACAGAGACGCATGCATCCCAGCATATCGAATCTAGTACGCGCGACATTGTATCCAGACCTGAAAGATGCCGACAACGTCAAGAAATACCCGCCGCTTGCTGGGTTCAGAAGACGACTGTTTTGGTTCCATCATACCAAGTTGGAGGATGGTCTCAATGCCGATCGGTCTAAAGAATTCTCGTACACCAACATGTTCGAGATTGAGGTCATCAAGACTGTTTTGGCACATCTACACCGCCAAAATGTCTACCCCAACGGCGAGATAGCAGTTCTGACATCTGACACCTTACGCCGGGCAACTTCGTCAGCTCAAAATTCACTTGGGAGCCACCTACGATGTCAGCATGAACGAGCTTGATGCGACTGAACTGGAGAAGCACAATATGAATGTCAACGTAGGAGTGGGAGCAGGACGAAGAAGAATACGAGTTGCCACTGTGGACAACTTCCAAGGCGAAGAAGCTTCGGTGGTCATCGTGTCCCTTGTCCGAAGCAATACCGCTGGACGGCTTGGATTCTTAGATCAAGCCAACAGAATCAATGTTCTACTCTCTCGTGCCAAACACGGAATGATCATAGTCGGTAATGCTGACTTGTGCAGCAACAATGACATGTGGTGGGAAGTCATTCAAATGCTGCATGCCGATGGCAATTTTGGCCCCAGTTTCGAGCTCCAATGCACACGACACAAGGAAGAGACGATAATGGCATCCACAGCTAAAGACTTCGGAACTTCTGGATGTTCAGCGATGTGCGGGCAGCCTTTACAGTGTGGCCACATCTGTACAGGCAAGTGTCATACGAGAGCAATCCACAACAGCTTCAAGTGTCAGACCTGCGAAACCCCGCGTATGCCTGTGCTCGACAAAAGTTCAGCTTTGACACAACAAACGTCATATATTGCGACTAACAAATCCAGCAAAATGTCAGCCAGCACAGTATCCTATCAGAAGGTTGATCAGCGGCTAGCCCACTGCCAACGACACATTGATATCCGCTCAAAGTTGGAGCAGGATGATAGTCTTCAAACCCGCCCTCAGCAAGACAGAGAAAGCGACCTTAATCAACAGACATCCAACATTCAACCGATATCTGGCCACGCAACTCAAGAATTTATTGCATCATCGCAAGCGACCGCGTCTAACCTGCCACATGTGGAAAACGATGATGCCAAGGTCGCCAAATGTGACAAGAAAATGAGGGGTTGTTCACACTCATGTCGACAGGATGAGCATTCTGACGAGTGTGGCTCTTGCCAAATGCCTTGCGAAAGCCAATGTGCTCACTCAAAGTGTCTAGAGAAGTGCTCAGAGCCCTGTCTCCCGTGTGACCAGCTTTGCGGATCGGTTTGTCCGCACAGCATGTGCACATTGCCGTGAGTGTTGAGAAAGAATTGATTTGATACATACTTACCGTTGTTAGCTGTGCTGCGCCTTGCAACTGGACGCCGTGCTCAAAGCGCTGCTTTAAGTATCTGACCTGCGGTCATCAATGTAAGCCCTCCCACTGATCCACGTGCAGACACTATCACTTGGCGGATGAACAATTATCCCCTTCTTGACTTCGAAATCACATCTTCGCATATAATTCGTGTGTCCTTGGACAGCCGCTTTTTTATTTATTTCTTATCTTTTGGTTCCACTTGGCCCGCGATCTTGGCTAACACTCCCAGGTCCGTCCGTATGCGGTGAGGCATGTCCTGAAGAGACTTTTTGCCAGCAATGTGGCCCAGAGGACATTAAGAATAATATCGTCGATCTGGAAAGCGGAAAGAAATATCGTGAAGTCGACCTGGATGCAGACCCATGCATCTTTCCAGATTGCTTGCACATCGTTACCATTTCAACGTTCGATAAGCAGCTGGCAAATTATGACCACTCGACTGGATCACAGAGCCGCGGGGTTGCACCGTCGCTATCGTTGACATTTTCTTCCAGTGAGGTCCCATGCTGCGATACTTGCAGTGGCAGTCTACGAAAAATCTCACGATGCGGCGGAGCTGTCCGAAAGCCAATCTTGGATAATGCTCTGAAGCACTTTATCAGTTCATCGCACCAGAAACTTGTCAAGCAGGAGCTGTCACTTCTGAGCGAACAGCAGTTTCTGGAAGACGATTTACCTGCGCACTTACTTGAGGCTGTTGGCAGAGCCGGAGAGCTTGATATCAGTGGTCAGCCGTTCTCCATGCTGACTTCTGTGCAAAGGTGGGTAGGACCTCGGTACGATTCGATTGTCTCGTTGATGCAAGAGATCAATGACTACCTCAAGAATGTCCAAATGCAAGAGAAAAGCTTCCAGAAGATATTCGACCTCATTTGGGAGAATCAGAAGTCTGTTCAACTCACAGATGAGGAATCCCCGGTTCGATTGCGCTTTCAGTGCATGCTCAGTGCCTTGGTTCTTCTTGTTCGCTGTGACATCGCGATCGTCGCCGATTTCTTCGGCCTTGTTCGAAGAGCGAAAGAGAGTAATCTGAAGCTATCGATCGACTTTGCCGGCCTGACGCGTCTATGCGATCATGTCATCCAGGTAGCCCAGACCACTTGCTGTCCGCGACATGAGGTAGAAGCCCATATCTTGGTAGTCAAGATGGCAGTATTGACTCGTGAAGTCAAGTCAAATAATGATGAAGAGGACTCGATGCACAAGCTTCGCGATAAGCAACGAGCAGCCAACCACCTCCAAGAAGCACTCGATATCGTCCTTCAACACCAATGTCTCATGTATCTAGTCGACGACATTGAGATGCTGAGCGGACAACTCAGTGGCTCTGACTTCAGAAACGTTGTTTCGATCCAGGAAAAGAGGGCAATTTGGATTTCATACTCGAAAGAGTTCAACGAAGAAGCAAAGTGGCACGTATGCTCAAACGGCCACCCTTTCAGTGCTGACGAAAACATGCCGCAGTGTGACGTCTTCTGCCCTGAGTGCGACGCGCCTGTAGTTGGTCGTAGTGGTCAGAAATCGGCTGATAATGCAACACCCGCCGGTTCAGTGCCTGACTTTGATGGTGACGGCGATGAGGATACTGTTCAAGATCAGAGATTGCGTTCGGAAGGGGAACTGATTAATTTTGACGTCGAAAACAGCAGCGAGGAGGAGATCGTGATCAGCTGGTAGGCATGAGGGAGTGGCGGCCAATCTGAACGGAATGCCGCCATCATAATCAAAATTGAAAATATGCTGGATAGCTATAGTTGATTGCTACTAGAGAAATGTCAATGTTTCGGAGGGTTTTCTTCTTCTTCCCTTTTCTTCCAGTGAAACAGCCTCCTATGTGACCATGGTATTCATGAGGGACTGTGATGGCAAAAGGGTAGAAGTTACGTATGCAAGATTCTTTGAATTGATTATGGGAAGCCGGAGCCCTTTGGCCTATTCAATGCTGCGGAGAATGAGCTCTAGTTTTGGCAGCATTCCTGCCCTGGGGCTGAATGTCCAGGTTAGTGAATAACTCCAAGCTACTCTTTGTAGACCCTAACCTTATAGTCATCCAACCACTTGTCTTCTATGATGACGAGTTGCGATGCTTGGACTTTCTTGAAATACGCATCTTCCTCCGTGTCCTTGTAATCATCCCTATCAACATCCATAAAGCCTTCTCTCGCAACAGTCCGCGGCGTAATCATCAATGAATGGCCTGCAAGGAGGGTTAGATTCTCACCATATAATTGAACGAAACATCATGACTTGCCGTTGATATTCTTGTCACACGCAATACGCATCATGCAGTTCGCCACATCCTCCTGCTCACCGAACTCAATACCGCGGTCGAGCAGCCACTTCTCGTACTCGGCGGTGCGGATCGCGCTCTTGATCCAACAGGGTGCGACGTAGTTGATCCGGATAGCCTGTTCCCAGCTGGAGCGACGCGCCGTCCGCATGAAGCCGCGCAGGCCATACTTGGTAGAGGTGTATTCCCAGTTACCCTGACCTAGTCAGCACTCTCATCATTGAACCGAAAGCTGGAGCCCAGTGGCTGTTGCCAGGGACCGCTTACAGGGGAGTCGATCCATGCCACCATGCTGCCAGTGATGATGAAGCAGCGGTCACGCTCTGGCGTATCGGGTTGTTTTCTGAAATAATGGACTGCGAGTTTCCAAGTGTACATGGAACCCTCAAGGTTGACCTTGACAATGTTTAAGTCTGGCTTGGTTGGTTCGCCGTTGGGATCTGCCACATGGTCAACATCGAAGTGCAATCGTGTGCGAAAAGCAACAAGCCGCTTGGGCATACCATCGAGATTCCACAGGCTGTCCCCGGAACTGCGACTAATACCCGCGTTCGCAATGACTACATCGACGCTCTTGCTCGGGCTCCGGCTCTTTGCCGTCTCAAACATGGCTTTCTGTTGGTCCCAGTCGCGGATGTCGACTTTCACGAACTCACAGACCTCCTTTCCGTTAGCATCGTTGAGTTCCTTCTCAATATCCTTCCCGCGCTTATTGACGTCTCCGAATGTCACGTAGGCACCTGCGGCCACGAATGCGCGCACGCACGTCTCGCCCATGCCATTGGCGCCGCCGGTGATAATCACGGACTTCCCTTTAACCTGCGCCCGGTCAGGGGCAATTGTATGGTCTATGGGACCGGTATATTCATAGCGTGGAAGAGGCATTGTGCTGGATCCGCGGGTGCATGTGTATGGCCAGAACAGTGCAGCACTTTGAAACAATGTCACAAGCTGAATTGTTGTCCACCGACCTGACAAGTTTTAACAAAGACCTTCAAATAGTACGCCACTCGTCAGTGTACAATTCCTCTCTGACTTAGGGACATTATGCTTGACGCGTTTTCTCCAGTCCATTCGAGCATTCTGTCACTTCGGAGATGATATTGCGAACTCGGCAATCCTTGTCCTTGGCAGGACCTTGCCGCTGGCAACGACTCCGCATTCTCGGTGTGGAGTTCGTAACCTACTGACTGTGGGGTCGCGGGGTACGACGGCAATCCATTTTAGGATAGCCGGAAGAACGGCAGAGCATATTGGCGGCAGAGTATTGACACAATCTCGATGAATGCCACAGGTACAGATTGGTTGAGGTGGCTGGGCATTGTCAAGAAAGTACCTTTCGACCCAATCGCGCATCGCCAGTCGCACGGACAGGCACATATCGAACATAACCGGAGTCTTTTCAAACGATTAATAAATGCATATTTTTCTTTGAGTCCCAATTACTTTGTCCCTCTTCACGTGGTTGTCGCTCTTGCTGTCGCCAACGAGCGAGAGCGCAATAGGAACGTCCCTAGTGCGAGGGAGCAGCTGTGGAAGCAATTGTGCTTGAGACAGCGCATTGCGAGCGGGATACTTCGCAGACACCTTTTGAGAAAAGATAGGCCACATGGTGCTATTCGGATGTTGTTATTTTACTAATGATATGTGATAGTTTCGCAAGCGAATTGAATCATTTGAGACAATTAATTTTAGTCATATCTAATCTAGTTTGATCTGATTGTATAGAGGACCGGAACGAAAAGAAGATAATGGCACGCGTAGAGAATTAAATATCAAACCTCTTTCGCTTCATAGCGAGAATTAAAGGATACTTTAAGGATTCCCCAAACCTGCAATCCTAGCTATTTCTTTTGCAGCAACGTATCTGCCTGGGTCGCTTTGGGCGAGTTTCCCCAGCCGCGCTGCGTTTTTCTTCATAGTAGCACTGGCGACGCCACCATCGGCGACCTTGAGGATGGCGTCTTGAAGGCACTCTGAGGTCCATTGCGGACTAAGCTCCCGGCATCCCCAAGTGCCAATATTAAGATCTTCGGACATTTGTGCAAAGTTGTACAAGTCCAGCCACTGGGGTAGAATCACCTGCGGTATACCAGCCCTACAACGTCGTTTCGTTAATGAAAAGGTAGCAATTCTAAGAGCGCGTTTTACGCTTACCCTACGGCCTCATGGTAGCATCCTGTGCCACCGTGATGGACTGAAGCGACGATATGGCCGGACTCTAAAAGAGATGTTGGGTCCGCGACCAGCCACCTCTCCATCTTCAGTCGGCCATTCTCAAGGAAAGGGAGGATCTCAACCTTGAAATCATCGCTGTAGGGTTTTACGGTGACGTTGTACTCCCTCAATCCATCCTCCTCAGTTCGAAACTTCCATAGTATTTGAAGTTTCGGGTTGCTTCAAAGAATATTGGCGACAGCCTGGGCCATTGCCTCTGCCTGCGGCTCAAGCCACATGAAGCCGCTGCCAAGATTGATGAGGACCGTTGGAGCGTTTGCTAGCCATCGAGCGAGGTCTTCGTCCTGCTCAGCAACCATACCTAACGATAAGGATATTGGACCAGTACAGGTTACGTTGACGGGTACCATATCCACAGGCCGCGAGGCTTCGGGCAAGGTTTGTGTAAGCCAAGGCACATCGGGACGGTAGAGGGCATAAAAGTTTATCGGATCCTTCAGTCCTTTGGATTTGAGAAAATCCCGCTTCACCTTTACATCCGGCATGAAAAGCACCGAATAAATGAAGCGGATGTTCAGGTAGATATTCTCGGGTATCTTGAGCCAAGGTACAGGAAAGGGGAGGCCTGAGCCCATGGCCGGGTACTTCCAGAACATAGCGCCCCACGGCTGTTCCATGGGGAAGTTATCAATCACCGTGTTGGGCGACATTATCATGTGTTGCCAGTTGCGGTCTCGTGTCGCGTCAATCGCCGGCCGAAGCAGCGTATCTAACACTACAACGGCAGGATCTACTTGGTCTATAAGATTGTTGATCTCTTGGTAAAGGGCTAGGTGCTCGTCACCAGACCAAGGCGAGACCCAAAACTGTATATCCTTGCATAGTTGCTTTATCCCGGCGATACCTGGTGGGCTCACCGCGCTCGACATTGATCGCCCGGATGCAACTACACACGCTGTATAGCTCGGGCCGGAAAGCCGGTGAAACTCAATGGGTCGAGCCTTGGATTTTCTCGCTCCATGAGCAGAAACGCGATTCAGTTGCGAACCGAGTTTAGGGAAAGACGCGAAGTGTATATGTACATGTGGGTGTTTTTCCAATAGTGCAGACGCTGTTGCGACGTAAATATTCGACAATCCTGGCTCGCTGTTAACCAGGAACAGCACGGTATTGTTCCGGCCGCTGACAGGCCGGATGGCGCATGGAGACGGAATCCATCTGATGAGCAGCGCTAATAGTGCAACAAGCAAGGCACCACCGAAGAGTCCTCGCCTCAGCATGGCTACCAAATAGATAGGACGATATCAGGGGTGTATGTACCGATAATTCAAGGTGCGGTGAAACACAACAGGGAAACAGGCTAAGGGTGATCTAGATCGGATTGCAGCTTGTTGGACCTGAACAGAACCCGGATGAGTGATAGGATGACCCGGCACTATGATGGTTGAGTAAGAAAAGCAGGATTAAATCAGATAATGGTAGCAAGTCGACAGTGCACCATGGAGAGGCTCCATGCAAGGGATTGACTCAATGCATGTTGGGCGTGCTTGAAGTGAGGCACAGCAGGGGGAGGGCAAGCCGGGTTTGGCTCATGAAGTATGAGCCGTAACTCATGGTTGCTCAGAAGCAGACCATGTCACGCCGTCAAGAGCACAGTCTCAGAGGAGGGAGCAACGCTTAATGAAGGGACTTTTGGGGCATATTCCATTGCTATTGCTAACATGGAAGTGCCCGGTCATGATTGATTTCGGGTAGGTTGAGACGCTCCGACTACGAGAGCGCAGCATCTAGTTTTGCGGTGTAGTGCACGATATCCAATCACAACTGTAATGCACATATGTGATCAGGCCAGCCCTTTAGACTTCCAATACTGCTCCAGATCCCTAAAGAAAGCCCACCTGACTTTCTCACCCCAACCTTTAGCTTTCCAATCGTTCAAGCTCTCTGGAAAATGCGGCACGCCATCGCGCACCGTGGAGTCGTGGGCGATGACCACAAAGACATTGTCCAAGCAATCCAGCTCCTGGAGCTTCCCAACAGTGTTGGTCGCGAGCGGGATGTCAAGCCCGAACGTGATGTCGTATAGCGTATCGGTGGCGTCCCGGCCCCTGGACTGCTGCAGCTCCTCCCAGGCGTGCCCTGGGCAGAGCGACAGGCCGCCGTGCGGCTGGCAGGGATGAGGAGTTATGCATGCCGGCACAGGCAGGTGTTTGGACGGCCTGAAGATGCCGGCGTAGTGGCACACGTCGCCGCCAAGCAGCACGAAGGTGTCTGGGCTGGTCGTCGTCCTGGCTAGGCCGCAGAGGTGGCCGACGGCGTGGCCGGGGCTGTCGAGGAGGTAAAACGAGCCGTCACCAAAGTAGTCGTACGCTGGGAAGCGTCCTATCTTCAAGGATTGTTCGCCTTCAAACTTTATCTCGTGGAGATTGCGGTTCCTGTTGCAAGGTGAGTTGTCCGATCTATTATGGGGACACAATCCTCTATGGCTAGAATTATACACTTACGCATAATCACTTTCTTGTATTGGGCTATCCGGATTAGCCGGAGCACCTGGGAGCATGGCGTCCTTGAACCCAGGGCCCACTATTAAGTCTGTAGTTGGAGGAAAAGTCGAAGGGTCTCCGATATGGTCCCAATGCCAGTGGCTAGTATTCGTTATCAATCTCTGTGTGTTTGCTAGTCGGAGGGTTACCAACCTCCATATGACAGCCTCAACGTCCTTCGGCTCGATTCCCCCTTCTTCTAAGATTTCTACCACATTCTTCGTGGCTTCGATGTTGTACTTCGTAGTAGGTATATAAGCCGCTATCTTTGGCGAGTAGTTTTGGTAATCCTTCCGGATCCCCAGATCAAATACAAGTTTGCGCCCCGAGGGATGTTCCAGTAGAAAGGAATGAGATGGCGAAGTTTTGAAAGTCTCTAGGCCCGGTACGGGTGGTGCCATGAACCGCTCCAGTATCGCTGGTCCAAAGTTGACCGGGTTCATGAGCTTGACGGTTACGACTTCCCGCCCTGCTGGGAGCTGAAGTTGAGAATGCTGGTCCGACATGTTTGCCTCACGAACTTGCTGACCGCCTCACTTGACCAATTGACTCGGTGATGGCCATGCGTGGCATCGCGGTCTTTCCTCACTATATTCCAAGCTGAAGTCCATCTCGCAAGCCACTTCCTAAACCACGTGCCACCGATAGCTCGCCGACTGCGGGGAAAACATAGGTTACCCCAAACTGGGCCGAAATCCTTGCAATAGTATGGGGTTAGGTGGAGAAGAGGTTACCAAGGCCGAGCCAATCTCATCTGAGTCGCTGTGGAGAAGACAGGCATGGCCCGGCCAGCTGGGTCTCGGTAGAAAAGACCCACGTCGGCATATCTGGTTTGGGGATAAGCGGCCACATGAACCTCTACCCCTTTCGACGCCAAAGCGACAGAGAACCTGCCCATTGGCTTGGCGGGTAAGGTCTAGTCTCTTGGCCTAGACTCGGTAGCTGAAGGTACGGCATCCTCATCCATCGCAATGGGGGTTTTGAGTCACCCATCCCGAAGCAGTTGTCTCGTCCCAGAACCTCTTCGTAGGACCATAGTCTTTGCCGATAATGTACAATGGTGTGATAACATCTCTCGGATGTAGCGCCACATAGCATTACCCCAGATTACCCCAGGGTGTTACCCCACAGACTGTAGCAAGAGTCTTGTTGTGGTAGGGGTGTCGAGTACCAGGGTCTAGATTCCCGGTAAAAGTATTTAAGTCCAGAGACCCGGGATTCTGGGCTGCATCACATCAGCGGCACCGCTGGAGACGACAAGTGCATCATTTCCAGGTATTCTGCCTCCAGCGAAGAGGCTGTATTCATCCGTCCACCATGTCTGGATCAAGCGAGAAGGAAGCTGTGCAGATGGCGGAGCAAGTGGACAACACCGAGAACCTCAAACATAGCCGGACTGTTGACACTGTCCACAATGACGAGGCCCTGAGGGTTCTGGCCAACTATGATGGTGAGCAACACTGGGAGGAGGCGGAGGAGAAGAAGTTGCGTCGTAAGATCGACTGGAGGCTTATGCCAGTCCTCTGTATGACATATGGGCTCCAGTATTACGACAAGGCCATGCTTTCACAGGCTGTAAGTTATATCTCCCGCGTGATAACTGTAGAGGAGGGAGTCGAGATTAGTCTACGGCAGAGGCTAACGGGTATCAGGCCTTGTTCGGCCTCAGGACCGACCTCGGGCTGACAGTAGGCGATCGCTACTCGTGGACAGCTTCTATCTTCTACTTGGGCTTTATCGTCGGTGCATATCCTACCATGGTGCTGGCACAGCGGTTCCCGATCGAGCGCGTAGCCTCCGCCATAGTTGTACTCTGGGGCTTGTGTCTGATCCTCACGACTGTATGCACCAACTACCAGACCATCTACGTCCAGCGGTTCTTCCTCGGTTTTCTCGAGAGCGGCATCAGCCCCATGTTCATGCTCATCGTTGGGTCTTGGTATAAGAAGCCCGAACAGGCCATGCGAATGGGCATCTGGTACAGCTGCACCGGTTATGTGAGCTGCATCTCCCCACTGATCAACTACGGCTTCGGCCTTATCGGCGGTGGCGTCTCGTCTTGGAGATACATGTACTTTTTCGCCGGCGCTCTGACAATCGCTTGGGGAATCGCCTTGTACTTCGTTCTCCCGTCCGACCCCATCCGAGCCCGTGGCTTTGATACCCGCGAGCGCTACATCCTTGTTGCCCGCCTGAGGACGAACAACTCCGGTGTGCGTAATACGCATTACAAGATGGATCAGGTGGTCGAGCTCTTCGGGGATCTCAAGTACTGGCTGCTCTTTTCCATTGCGCTCCTTTCCATGATCGCAAACGGTCCCATCTCGACTTTTGTACCCATTATCATCAACGGCTTCGGCTTCAGCACGCTGAACTCCCTACTTCTTCTGATCCCCGCGGGCTTCTACGCGGGCAGTGTCCAACTTCTCATGCCATATTTGGCCATGAAGCTTCCGAATGCGCGCAGCTACATTGTCTTTGTGGCGCAAGTCGGCACCACCATTGCCGCGCTTCTCTTGTGGCTCTTGCCACTCTCCGCCAAGCCCGCGTTGTTGTTTGCCACGGCCATTCTGCCATCGCTGGGAGGTGGCTATGCTGTTCTAATGTCAATGTCGGTCGCTAACACGGCTGGATATACGAAGCGGTCAATCGCATCGTCGGGTTTGTACATCGGATATTGTCTAGGTGAGTAGACCGCTGTAAGCGCCTTTCCTCGGTGTCCACTGACTGTTCCAAAAGGGAACTTCGTTGGTCCGCTGGCCTTCAAATCTCAGGACGCCCCGCGCTACGTTCCTGGATTTATCGTGGTCGTGATCACATCCATCGCTGCCGGTGTTCTAGCACTAGTGTACAGATTCGTATGCGCTTGGACGAATAGACGACGCGATAAGGCTGGTATCATGGAAGGCTTCGATCATGCTTATGAAGACGACTCTACAGACATGAAGGTAAGTACATATCTACCATTTTCAGCTGTTGATGCATTCAGGCTGACTCTATGACTTGATAGAACCCCCAGTTCCGGTACATTCTATAAGCGAGCCTCCATCGAGCCTTGCATCTGTAGTAACTTTAGAGAAGCTCTGTGGTCTTGGTCTGAGAAGTTCTGGGTTATGTTTTTTATTATAATGAGAACTATATATTCTGATCACATCTTCTAATCGTTTCAACGTCTCCCGGCAAATGACTGCGCGAGTGTTTCGTTAGTATGGACAACGTGGCGTGACACAAAGCTAGTCTCAACAACATGGCCCATTAAACTGAGGTATTCCTTGCATGATGTAGACGTAGTTGATTGAAGGCTCGAATTGGTACCATTGGCTCATTCTCAAAGCACGCCAGTAGACGTTGGGGGTATTATATGGGCCAAACTCCGCTGCGTATGCATGATACTAGAATGTTGGACAGTTGGCTAGATATCAGCATTTTACATATGAATAAATTTTCATGCAAAGAACCCTGCGTTCGAGAAATCTAGTGATTCGTAGGGGGCGAAAGGCTCGAAGAGGTCCTGATACTCCGTCATCAGAGTTTCATGAAACAGCATATTTTCTGGTGATGGAAAGCGAGTCTGGGGCGCTCCTGGCTCATTGCTGGGTAATAGAGCCTCTGCAATCCGGTTTGTTTGCCGCGTGACGAATGGGAACAGGTTCGTCCAGTCATAGTCTTGAGCATTTGCATCATCATTGTGAGGCCTATCCACGCTTGGAAGACCCTCAATGCTCTGCCGTGCACGAGCTTCAACTCCTAGGTTACCTGGTCCTGTTCCCTCACTCGCCATGGGGCCACTCTGGCTCCTAAGTCGATCGAATCCTTGTCGAATGATATTGGCAGTGCCCCACATCCGTTGCAGTTGCTCGACGGCATTTGTGAGAATATTGAGGCCCTCGGTCGCGTCCTGGGATAAGTTTTCGATGCGGCTAGCTTGTAACAGAGCAATGAAGGCCATACCACTGTACCAACAGGTGATAGCCATCAAGAAACGAGCATCGCCGCGAGAGAGGATATCCCTCAGTATGCGAGCGATGCACGACGCTGCCAAAATGGCAGGTGGGAGAGCTTGGGGAAGGGCATGCGCGGACCGTTTGAGATGTAGTACGATAATGGTAGTGAGATATGGTAGGTGTAGCTGGTGCACATCACGATCGAATGATGCTGTCCGGGCAGAGCCAATGGGGAGTTGTAAGTGAGGTGGAAGCGATGTTACCCAGCCAACAAGGTCCTGACGCAGCTGTTCGGGAGAGGGTGGGGATGAAGCGATAGTAGAACGCGAAAGGCATTTGGCTACATTCCCAATGATGCCACAAAGGCGTACCCAATAGATGAAGATTTCACCTTTCCGTTGAAAGTCGGGGCTGCTGGGGAAGTCTGCAAGCGTGGGCTCCTGGATATTGCAGTCCAGCGGATCTATGATGCACGGCTTGCTCTGACATAAGGCAGTCAGGCGTTCTCGCGCAAAGGCAGTCCACCATATTCTTCGACGGAGGCTTAGATTCAGCGCTCCTATGGACGGGTCCTGTGGCCTTGGTTCGCGGTGGAAGTTCATCTGTTGAGCATGGCGAATAAGCACCGAGGTCCACCACCAGGACGAGTGCCTGTGAGCGATGCTTGGTGGCCTAGGTGCCCACCAGTAGAACAGGGAGATGGCTTGCAACGTGGTGAGGCCATCTGGTTCTTCGTCATTGTAGAAGATGGCTCTGGCCTTGTCATAATAGGCGGCAGGTCCCTCGTGAGGTATGAGCGGCGGCCGGATATGGCTGGCCGCGAGAGCCAGAGAGTTTGCCAGCAGCGGCGAGCGTATCGTATCGTCTTGAATTCTGTCCAAGTCTAGCACGGGACACCAAGGATATGCATAATCCACGTACGTCTCGGCGAATATTTGAAGCAGTTCCTGTTGCTGCGTATTGGAGTGCCTGTAGCCATGCTCAAGGCTAGCCTTCAATTCTTGCTGCTCAGCGTCGTACTGATTCTCCGGTCCATAGATCTGTAAAAATCCCGTGTCGACATCGCTCGGGTTGCTCCTGCTAGTGGCCGCGCCCACAGGCATGTCTGAGGTGGATGCATGATCGGTCCGCTGCAGGCTTGGGCTCTCCTGGTGCACCAGGACTGGGGATTCATTGCGAGGCACATCGGCCTCAGCGCGGGTGTCGTTCTCGGGAGACAGAGAAGCGGGCGGCCGCTGTTCCACCCCTACAGTTGCGGTACGCCTCCTCTTTGACGGGCGTACATGACAGTCTCTGCCTGCTGTGTGACAATTGGTGCATTTCGACTGCCCCTGGCTGCTTCTTTTCTGAAGGTCACACTTGATCTTCTTGCCGTGGCATGAGGAGCAAACAAGCTCGGCGCGCTTACGCTTTGGCTGGCTGTTGTCAAAATGAAGCCATTCACCAGCTATGTCTGTCGTCATGCTTCGAGTCGTCGACCACCCACTCTTACATTGGTCGAGTGATCAACGGAACTGCGCACGCTTCTACTTAGACATTGGGACCAAGTGGTTTAACAGGTGCCCACAGCAATGTACAAGGGTTTTATGAGGGGAATGCGGAGAACTTTATCTAGACCATTTCTGGACATGCGGGATGGACTTGGGCCTGCAGGGATAGGCGACAACAGCCGAGGGGCATCCATTACTCGCTCACTTCGCCATCGTTATTCTTGTATTGGAAGGACCCCTATCGCCTCGTGGTCTGCCTTCGCTGAGACCAAAGGTCACAGGCGAGCCCTGCGCGGTGGGGGTATTCGTATAGACAACGATGCATCTTGATTGAAATCACCGGTACCAGCGATGTGGTACACTTTGGAGTTGAATGAAGACTGAGGCACATTGCCAGTTCCGAGTACGGCGCGCCCGAGCTCTGCATCGGCCGACAGAAAGTTGGTAGAGAATCCGCGGTGTTCATGCACACAACAGGCAACTAATTAGTTCCTACAAGCAGCGCATCTACTGATTAGTCCCCAATTACCCATGGTTTTGGTCAGACGTGTGCATGCTTTGGCGACAGTAATTCTCGACACGTTCAACAATTCCATCGAGGGACGTGTCCGTCAAAGAAAGGTTGGGGCACAAAACTTGACAAGGTCTTGATTTGATACGATCTCTAAGAGGTGGAATGAGATGTACTCCGTGATCATTATGGTGAACGCTCCCCATCCATGATGTCCGATTTGAAGTATTCACTGAGGGCTTGCTTATCTCCTTATCGTTTCGCCAGCTGGCGCGACAAGCTATGCACTCTACACCAAGATGCATCGTGATCATTATAGGTGAAACATTTATATTCGCTTCAATGACAGCAGCCTGTAGAATAATATAGACATGTAGAGACTGGCCGGTTTCAACATAAGTCATCAGAATCGTCCCAAACCTGTCCAGGTGGGGCTTCTAGAACACCCGCGCCCTCACCATCCTTTTTCACCGCATTTCTTCATTTATTACTCTTCTTCCTCTACGACAACACTCTAGATTGTCGTTTTAAGCAAATATCGTCTCCATGAGGGCGAGAGTTACGCGGTAGGGATCGGCGTTACTTGCGGGCCTCCTGTCCTCGAAGTAGCCGTAGCCCTTGGCTGCGGACTCACGGGGGATACGGATGGAGGAACCACGGTCGGCAACGCCGTAGGTGAACTTGTCGATGGAACCGGTCTCGTGGCGGCCGGTAAGACGCTTCTCATTACCCTCACCGTAAACGGCAATGTGCTCCAGGTGGCGACCCTCAAGCTTCTTGATGGCGGCCTCAATGTGCTTCATGCCACCCTCTACACGCATCTCCTCGCTGGAGAAGTTGGAGTGCAGACCAGCACCGTTCCAGTCACCGGGCATAGGCTTGGGGTCGACAGAAACCTTGGCGCCAAACTCCTCAGCAACACGGCTCAGGAGGAAACGGGCGAGCCAGAGGTGGTCACCCATCTCAATACCCTCGCAGGGGCCGACCTGGTACTCCCACTGGGCGGGCATGACCTCGGCATTAGTGCCCGAGATCTTGACACCGGCGTAGAGGCACTGAGGGTCCCGGTTAGTGATCTATTCCACTTATACGTTCAATTAAGGAAACTTACGGCCTTGTAGTGGGCCTCAACGATATCTCTCTGGACAACCTTGCCAGCGCCAACACCGCAGTAATACGGCCCCTGGGGAGCAGGGAAACCAGCCTGGGGCCAGCCGAAGGGGCGGTCGTTCAGGTCAAGAAGGGTGTACTCCTGCTCAAGGCCAAACCAAGGCTTCTTGTCCTTGTGAGCCTCCATGATCTTGGCGCACTAGAAGAATGTCAGAACGGATTCTTGAATCTGTTTGTCGCCATATCACAAGCACGAAGGGGGTGTACCTCGTGTCTGTAGTTGAATTTGTTGGGAGTGCCATCGGACATCCAGCACTCGGTCAGGACCAGGATGTTGTCGTGCAGACGGAAGGGGTCCGGAAAGACTGCGACGGGTCGGAGGTAGACATCTTCAAAGTCGACTGTCAGTCTGTGTGCACGCGACAGTTGCGCAGTGCGCAGACAAAAAGAGGTTCATTCATTCATACCTGAGTTGTCACCGGGGGCCTGGCCAGTGGAGGAGCCGTCAAAGTTCCAAACGGGCAGGTCCTGGGGCTGGTAGCCCTCCTTCTTGAGTGCCAGGGTCTGCAGGGGGGGAAACACATGATGTCAGCGCTGCTGGTTGACCCAACTTGAAATTGGCGGCACCCGAGCGTAGCCGGGGCGCCGAAAAATGGGCGCAGGAGAACTCACTCTCGACTTGGAGCGGACGTTGCCCTCAGCATCGATCCAGATGTACTCGGCCATAATCGAGCCCTTCTGGTCGAGGTCCTGGTACTTCTTCAGGATGACCTGATTCGAGGTTGATGCAGCCTACAGTGTCGCATGCCATTGTCAGCGCCGTCGTCACTCCCAAAGAGCGTCCACAGCCCCCGTCTTGCGTTGTGCTGAGTGCACGGGCGGCGGGGGGCGGCGGGCGGGGTAGGAGGGACTGCACTGAACTCACCATGATTGCGGTTTGGAGGGTATCAAGAACAGAAACAGAAACGCAATTGGGATGTGTGAGTGGGATTGGGGTTCTGCGACAAGAAGTCGTCGAAGGGTCTCACGGGTCTATAAGGGAATCAAACACGAGAATTACTCGTCACGTAGTGTACGGGTAGGAGAAAGGGAACTGAGTTGGCCTTGTATTATGTTATGTAACAAAAAGGCGCAGTGCCCGTCGCCTGGCCAGGTCCGATCGACGGCGTGCTTGTGTGTAGTGGGGGCAGGGCGGGCAGCCGGCCTCGCCTAGGTACTCCGGTACAGTGAAAGGGACTGCAGGACAAGGGCATCTGACACGAGACGCCACACGACTGCGAGAAAATGGTCAGAAACTATCCCCGGCGACAAAGAAAAGACGAAGCATTGTTGAGTTAGCGCGTGCAGGGGCGTCCAACGAGCAGCCGGCGGCCGCGATAAGCCGCCATGTTTACGAATTCCAATGGCGTGACTCGCCGCATGCCACTGGCCAGAGGGCTCCCGGTGGCCCTGTCACCTCGACGTCACTAACCACAAAGCACGCTGCAGGGTCCAGAGGCCGGGCGGCCACGGGGCTCCTCGAATCAGCGTGATAGCGCCCTGATAAGGGGTCCTGCTTGGGATTGGGCCCCCCACAGTGGGCTGCCCCCACCTGTTGGGCATCCCCGGGAGCCTATCACGATCGCCGGGCAATCGTCTGGGCAAGCCCGTCTGCTCCCAACTCTCATGTCGGCACTCTGCACGACGAGTTCTCGTTACTGTTGTATTTCACCACGAAACTGTTGTCATTACTATATTAGCCCCCGCCGGCCAATCAGCACCCCCGAGCCATCCCGGGCGAGGATATACTACGGCCTGGAGAAAACCAGTGACCACAGGATCCAGTTGGATCCAGATGGAGTGCCCGCTACCCGTTTGATTCCCGAAATAGCCCTGGCCCTGGCCCTGATAAAGGTAGCCAGCCACTGCCACTGGCGGCATTGCGGTAGGGCCGTCGGCGTACCTAGGGTGAGGATGCGAAGGAAGCCCCATCAGGCCACGGGCGAGGCGAGGAACCCCTTCCCGACAGGTTTCCGACATCCGCCAGTAATCGTGCCCACCGCCCCCATTCGTCCGATGCGGAAGGGGAGCACGCAGTCCTGCAACCAGCAGGATTTCCGACCCTGCTCATGCCACTGTGTCGGTAAACGCATCAAACAAACAACCTGTGCCAGCTCGAAACGTCGTCCTTTGTCAATTTGTCAAGCGGCCAGATTGACCAGCGCACCCCTTCATTATGCGTAGGTACAATTTGGTCTCGCTCGTGTTGGGATTCCGTCGCCCCACCCCCCACAGTCCCATACTCTGGCAGGGACCTGGGCCACTTTCCCGTGGGATTTCGGGACAGCTCCAGTGCCGCACAACTTGGTACCGTAACAATGAGTTCCGCGGTTTGTGGTGAGATCTCGTCTTGAGTCCTCTGTGTGACAGGATGCCTCACCACACGGCCAGCCCGCAAGCAGCTGGCAATGCCGAGACGCTCCAGCCCATTCCAATCCGGCTTCCCCCGCGTAGCCAGAGTCTGTTCGGACGCTAGGCACTTTAACCGACCAGTGAAGCGGACATGTAGCGACTCAAAACGCACTTATTACTCGATAGAATCGACTCGGGGAGATTCACAATCCTGCGAGGGGATCTGGGGGTGTGCAGCACATGTCGTGCGTGGCAATCGTCACCCATGGACGTCCGCCACGCCCCACATCCAACGAATCTACTGTCGATTACGGCTTCGAGCGTGATAAGAGCGTGACGACTTGTCTTGCTTGTCTGCCTACTTGCACACGTGCCGGTCCCTTGCAGTGCTGCACACAATGTTGCGGATGGGCCAGTTAAGCCGACCACTGCCTTGGGTCACAGGCGATCCAGTCTTCGGTCCGATGCCCCGGGCCAACACTTAAGCATACTGGCGGAGGTCAAGTCCCGCCGCCCTGCGCCAGTCCAGTGGCAAGGGTAATTCAACGGTAATTCCACGAGAACAAGTATTGACAGGTTTATCTTCACTGCGTCCGCTCGTATTGCTCCATCTATTGGTGTTCTTGGTATTGATCTACGATATACCTAGGCATGCCGTCGTAACTGCTAGTGCTGGGGTCTGCCTTTGTAATGAGACCTTGTCAACAAGTCTAATTGTTTAATGCTACTTCCTCTGGGGCAAACTGGCGACGGGCCCAGGGATCTTTTTACTCCTTAAAGCCGCCCCTACTCGTTCAGGACCTCGGCTTTTTCAACGTACCACGACAAGTCGCTTTTTGGATCCATCTCAAATGCTGTGAATCCATTGCCCATGAACCTGAACGGATTTGCCGTGTTGTATGTTATTTCAAAGTCCTCGGCACGGATGTCGCTCAACATGCGTTGAAACAAGTGTGCACTCCCTCCAAAAAGAGCCGTCACTCTGCCGTTCACCTTGCCTCTCTTGTACCAGCTGCTACAACTCCCAGTCCACACAAGCGTTTTGTGGACTTGGTCGCCGTACTTGATAAAGGCATCTGCGACCGATTTCTTCGGGTGGACGTACTTGATATCCTCTGTCGCCATCTTCTTCACCCACTTGACGAAATAGTCGCCGGTCCAGTTCAATGACTCAACTAGTGAGCCATGGCCACCAAGGCAGTTGGGGCCCATCATCATGAAGTAGTTGGGATACTCTGGAACGGCAACAGAAAGATAGGACTCCGGATCGTCAGCCCACTCTGTTCGCAGGTCCACCTTCTTGTTCAGCCCTACGATGGGGTAACGCGGGCGATGCGAGACATCAAATCCCGTCGCGCAAACAACTGTTTTGCGGTTAGCGTTTCTCTAAGGCACCGAAACCACTAGGCTCGCTTACCGACGTCGCACTCGTAGACTTGACCGTCTGCAGTGTGTACCGCATTCTCGGTAATCCTCATGATGCCACTGTTCGTCAAGTGGCAGTTGGGTCGGAGGAAAGACTCGAGATAACCCGGACCGGGTGTTATACGGCGGCAGCCAAGCTCCCACTTTGGGATCAATTGTTCGCACAGGACTGGGTCGTGGTTCAGCTTCTCGGCCATCTGCTCGGCCGCCAGTCTCACCCCCTCCTTGTTGTTGTCGCCTTTCAGGAAGATGTAGAACGACTTGTTCGTCCGCGAGATGATACCCTTTCTGTGGATGAGATGCTCTTCCGGATCGTGAAACTTGTTCTTCTCAGCCTCAGTGTACTCCGGATTCGGATCGTCAAATTCCCTTCCAAGGTGTTTCGATGGGGGCGCGCGGTAATACACCCACGCAGGCCCCCGGATGAAGTTTTTAACGTCTGTTCCGGGGAGTTTGGCCATCTGTGGCACGATCTGAATGCCGGAGGAGCCATTGCCAATCACTGCGATTCTCTTATTGGAGTAGTCGTAGTTATGATCCCAACGCGCTGAGTGTGTGATTTGGCCCTTGAAGTCTCGTAAACCGGGTATGCTGGGCCAGTTTTCATGGACGAGAACGCCTTGGCCAGATATCAAAACGTGGCAGAATTCATCCCGCTGCTTGCCTTCGTGTTCTACCGTTACCTTCCACTGCCCGATATCCTCTTGCCAGTGGGCGCCTACAACCCTCGTATTGAGCTTAAGGTCACGGTCCAAGTTCCATTTCTTAACCGTCCTCTTAATGTAGGCCAAGATGTCAGCACCGCTGGCATAGAAACGAGGCCAGTCAGGGTTGGGATCAAATGGAAACGCCTATTTCACGTAATTCAGTCTCACTTCTCCAAAGCTTCTGAGGCAGCACGCATATGTCAACTCACGTAGATGTGGGCTGGCACATCGCATTGAACGCCGGGATAGTCGTTCACGAGCCAGGTACCCCCAACGTCATGCAGCGCCTCGAATATCGTGTGTTCGACAATGTCCTGCATCTCTGGGAATCGATGCTGGAATTTGTGGGCCATGAGTAGTCCAGAGAAGCCCGCGCCGATTGTAAAGACCTTCAGCTTCCGTGGCGTATACGCATACTCAGAAGCCAGCTCAAACGGGTCATTTACGACATCTCCGTTCGTGCGGCGCTCTGCTGTGCCAGTGTGTATGGAATTGTGGTCGTGGACCATTTCAGGTAGCTCTGTTGACTCAACCCGTGGGATCTCCCCGTCTGTGGAAGGGGCATGGCCCAAGGTGGATAGGATATCCGCGCTCACTACAGGAGCTTCGACCATGGCCGTCATATTTGCTGCTCTCGACTTATGAGATGTTGTTCTTGCGGGCTTTTGACGTTTTGCGCAAAGAAATGCAGATGGTGAAGTTGCCTAGCACTTTATCTAAGACGGAGGATCTTTTGCTCGACCCAAGTTCAACTACTCTCTTTAACGACATTATAAACTTCAGTGGGGTTGACGAACTGCCGGCATGGGGAACAACACCCCGTCCGGACAGAACCATTGCAATTCAAGTCCTCACATGATCATCAGCCGATCAGCAAGCTTCAGTGGCACTCGAGTGTCGTTTCCCCAGTTCCGTGAGGGCTGGGCAGAGCCGGGTACGGTTATCTGAAAGCGTCGTGTCCTTCGGTGGCAATCCTTACTACACCAACTTGCTTTGCCGAAAAGCCACTCATTTCGGGATAGGGAATCAGGGGATGTCAGAAGCAAGTGATGCCAGAGTGCCCAGTCGGTCAACCCCTTTTAGAAAGCCGGCAGGAGGTGTGGGGTGGACAAGTTGATGTGGAGCACCAATATTTGGGGTAGAGTCCGGAACGCGGGGCAGAGAGGCGAGAGCGGAACCCGTCACACTGTCGGAAAGGCCATGTTGACTAAGGCCTCGGATCAAGAATGGCTAATATATCTTCGTCCTCTCCGGTGATAAGCATGATACTTCATATGGCACCATTCGATTAGCTTCTGCGTAGTGCCTATTTTGCAACGAACAGTCTGGGGAAATGTCTGCATTCCAATTGGCGAACGAGGGTTTGGACTATGATGTCCTTATCATCGGCGGCGGGTTGAGTGGCATCTACTCTCTGCTGCGAGTGCGAGAACTGGGCCTCAGAGTGAAAGTCATCGAGGCTGGCGAAGCAGAGGGTGGGACTTGGTTCTGGTAAGTCCCCAGCTTACACCACCGCGGGGCGACGGATGACCTTACTGACTATCGTGAAGGAACCGCTATCCAGGCGCCAGATTTGACTCGGAAAGCTATTCATACATATTCTCCTTTTCACAGGAGGTGCTTGATGAGTGGAATTGGACAGAGCATTTTGCGCCGCAAACGGAGACTTTAAGATACATCCAATTTCTCACGCAAAAGTTTGACCTCAAAAAGGATATGCAGTTCAACACCAAGATCAAGTCAGCCCATTTCCAGAGCCCGGGTAACTCGTGGCTCCTGACAGATGAGTCTGGGAAGCAATACAGCAGCCGGTACCTGATCACGGCGATAGGCATTCTGAACCAAACCACCTTACCCGCCATCCCAGGCATCAACGACTACAAGGGTCAAGCTTGGCATACAGCGAGATGGCCAAGCGACCACTCTAGTTTGGAAGGGAAACGGGTAGGGATAATCGGTACTGGAGCAACAGCGATCCAAACCATCCAGGAGATCTACAAGACTGTGGGGAGTTTGACCGTCTTCCAACGGACCCCGAACTGGACTGCGCCGCTGCGCAATACCAAGATCAGTCCGGCGGAGATGGTGGAAATACGGGCGAAATACCCGGAGATCTTCAGGAAATGCCTTGAGTCCTACTCATGCTTCATTCACGTGGGCGATACGCGAAAGACCACCGATCTGTCTAAGGAGGCGCTCTTCGCCCACTGGGAGGAGCTGTACAAGCTCCCAGGTTTTGCCAAGGTCCTAGGCGTCTCAACTGACATCGCCACGGATCGAGAAGCCAATCGGCTATACAGCGAGTTCAATGCGAAGAAAATACGTGAGCGGATCAAGGACCCGGCCGTGGCAGAGAAGCTGATCCCGAAGAACCACGGCTTCGGCACAAGGAGAGTGCCCCTGGAAAGCGGTTACTACGAAGCCTTCAATGAGCCCCACGTCAAACTGGTCGATATCACTGGAGATCCCATAGAGCGCGTCACCGAAAAGGGTATTAAGACACGTGATGAGGAGTTCGAGTTCGACGTCCTCATCTACGCAACTGGCTTCGACGCAGTCACCGGGTCCTTTAACGCCATCGACTTTCAGGGAATCAACAACACGAAACTGAAAGACGTCTGGAGCCAGGGGATCCAGACCTTCCTGGGGCTGACGGTCAAGAACTTCCCCAATATGTTCATGATCATGGGCCCACACCAGATGTTTGGAAACATCCCGCGGTCCATCGAGTACGCCGTCAACTGGGCGGCTGACTTCATCCACTACGCGCGTGACCACAACATCCAGTTCGTCGAGGCAACGCAGGAAAACATGGACCACTGGTACCGCCATGTGGACGAATGCGGCCAGGGCCTGCTAGCCAATGAGGTCGACTCTTGGATGACGGGCGTGAACAAGAACCTAGCACACAAGCAGCGCAGGTCGCTCACCAGGTATAATGGCCCCGCACCGGGATACAGGAAGAGATGTGATGATGTGAAGGCGAGGAATTATTCGGACTTCGTCCTTGGGTGATGTATATAAGAATGCGACACAGTAGCCTTGAATTGAATATGTTCAGTAATATGTAAGACTCTGAAGGCCGTGAATGTGTAAACCAACTAGGGTATAAGGTAACTACACTGCTTATACATATACCCTCCACCGCACGTTAGATCATATAGACTCGAATCACCTTCTAATGCTGGGAGCTCTGCTATGAAGTTGTGCTGATAATTATTGGCTTCCCTAGCCATTGACACTTGCACTCTTTGGCATGCCAATGCCGACTGCTGCGGTAGTGCCAGCATCCACCGGTAGAATAGCTCCAGTGATCCACCTCGCATGATCCGATACAAGGAACACGACTGCACAAGCACAATCCCAACCGTTCCCTTCTGTACCCAAGAGCGAGCGAGCTTTACGCGCTGCTCTGGCCTCCTCGCTCATTCCACCTGAATACATCATTGGAGTATAGAGCATCTAGATCAGTTCAGCATTTGACAACGAGCTTTTTTCACCAAAATCATCGAGCCTTGAGGAAGACTTACCCCTGGACAAACGCAATTCACTCGAATACCGGCTTGAGCATGGTGCGCAGCCATTGCTCGAGTCATATTGACGACTGCGCCTTTGCTTGTCGGATACAGCAGATGTGGTGTACCCCCCTTCAACCCAGCCACGCTCCCCATGTTGACGATTGATCCTTTGGCCTCGCCTTCATTTCGCATCATGGCTGGGACAGCGTACTTGGTCATCTGGACCATACTTGAAACGTTAATTTCCAGACTCTTGGCCCACTGGTCCATATCAACTTCCACAGCAGTCCCAGGGGCCCCTGAGATGCCGACGTTGTTGATCAGAATATCAAGCCTGCCGAACTTCTCGAGGGCTAGCTGAACGGCCGCCTCGCAATCTGTAGCGAGAGTCACGTCACCTTCCGTGGCGATAGCCTTCCCACGCCCAGGTTTGGAGTTGACCATCACAGCAGTAACATTGGCCCACTCCAGGTTCATGTCCAGACAGATGACGTCGCAGCCGTCATCGGCTAGGAGAATGGAGATGGCACGCCCGTTGCCAATGCCTTCGCCGGCACAGCCTGCGCCGGTGACAATGGCGACCTTGCCCCTGAGCGACCGGGATGGGGGTTCTGTTGGGATGTCAGACATGCTTGAGTGGTTCGTGGTGTCCGGAATCTGCCCACAGCGAGGCTACATGATGGAGATACGCCGGGGATATCTACTGCGCATACTACTATACCGATGCAGGCCGCCTGCCAAAAACAGACGGCAAGCAAGTCTAAGCTGACAGCATAGCCGAACGGCATAGGAATTGGTATGCCGGTATGCCGAACGATGAAATGGGATAGCGTGGGTGAGAGGGGTCCCACAGCTGTGGCTAGCTGTAATGGGTCCCGAGGCCTGGGAAATCCACATTCTGCGGGGGATGACGACGCAAACCCGACCGCCAGAATCTGTCATGATGCGCTGTACCCCCGAAACCAGTTCTTCTGCTGTACTAGATGGCTAATTTACAGACCCGTAAGGAGTAATATTCAACGAATTCGTCAATCTACGGTTCCCTAGATTGCTGGTGAAGATGTGTGATTTCACGCCCTACGGCATCCCGAGCAAGGAATGGCTTGCGGCCGAGGCAAGTCTTCCGGCCCTCCCAGCTGACCTGTCTGTCCTTGAGCGCAAGAAGCTCGTCAACGACCAGCGCGAAGCTGTTGCTGCTGAAGCAATGAAGACTCTGGAGCCGCACGTCCGGACGACGAATCATACTATACCCACACGCGACGGCTCCAGTGTTGAAGCACGTAGCTACCGGCCGGCGAGTGTCGATGCAAGTAAATCCCTGCCCGTATATGTGCATCTGCACGGTGGCGGGTTCTTGTTTGGCACGCTGTCGTCCGAGGACGCCACCTGCTCCCGCATAGCCATCAATGCGCAGGTCGTTGTGCTCAACGTGAACTACCGGCACACGCCGGAGCACTCTTACCCGGCCGCCTGGGATGACACACATGATGCTTTCGAGTGGCTGCACGACCACATCGATGTCCTCGGCGGCGATGCGCACCAGGTAGTCATTGGAGGCATATCTGCCGGAGCGCAGCTCGCCGCGTCTCTGACGTTGCAGAAGCACCTGGGCAAGGCCGCCGTCTCCCGGCCCGCCATCGCGGGCCAGATCCTGATGATACCGTGCTTGGTGAATCCTGAATGCTACGAGCCCCAGTTGAGGCAGATCCAAAGCACATCTCTGTCGTCATACGAACAGAACAAGGACGCGCCGATTCTACCGTTATCAGTGGGTAAGCTTTTCACGAGCATGTTGAAGATCGAGAATCCGCAGGCGGATGACCTCAGATTGAATCCTGGCAATGCGAGCCCAGAAGATGTTCGCGGTCTACCTCCCACAGTGTTCGGTATCACTGGCATGGATATCCTCAGAGACGAGGGCTTGCTGTATGCGAAAATGCTCACGGAAGCTGGGTACGTAGAGCACCCCCTTATGTTACACTTTGGCTGACACCTCTCCCTCTTTAGTGTCTCTACCGATGTGCACATATTCCCAGGTCTCCCTCATGGATTTAGAAGGGTGGGAGACAAGGTCTCGGAGTCTGAACGGTGGGATCAGGTTATGGAGGGAGGGATCGTGTGGGCGCTCTCCAAGCCCGTTCCTACACACAAGTTCGAGATCAAAACTCTGTGAGCCTATTACGATAGAGCTTTGGGTGATCGTAAATAGACGGGCTAAGATCACCGTTAATCAGTAATTTAGATACACTTACCAGATCTACGTACCTTTAAATAGACGCACACATGCTTAAGTAACGGAGTAGCGGGTAAGTACTTGTAAACAGGCATTAATTTGTATCTAATCGTGCATCAAAGCTATTCGTGACTCTACTTTTCCTTCTTCTAGCTGCTTAAGTATTTCCGGAAAATCCTCCAATCTCGCCGGTTTCACCTGGGGGCGAATGGCTCCTTCTGCTATCAACTGGAGAACTTCCTCAAGATCTCGAACTTGCCCACCGTAGGAGAAGATGTAACTCAACCTCTTTCTCGTCCCAATCTTCATGTGGATCACGTTCTCCGTGTTAAGACTTCCAATGCAGAGTAGTTTTCCCCCTCGTCGGACTAAAATAATTAGCTCCTAATGACATGAAAGGTAGAGGTACGATTCGCTTACCAATGTGTTGTGCATCCTCGAATGTCTGGTGTGTTCCTACAAAGTCTAAGACAGTATCGATCTTCAAGTCATTCTCCATCACAAACTCCTGAGGTGACTTTCCAACTGGGACAATATCGCTACTGGGAATTCCCAACTTGGCAGCTTCATCGAGACGTTCTTGTCTGATGTCGCACACGATAACCCTAGCGCCAATGTTGTGGACAATCTGTAAGGCGTTGAACCCTAGACCACCTAGGCCAAAGAGGAAGCACGTCTCCGAAGCTTTAACTTCCCCGCGCCGATGAATGGCATGGTATGCCGTCGTGACAGCATCTGTGGCTACCGCGGCCTCCGCGGGGGTAACTCCTGGTTCAAATCAGCGGGTGTGTTCAAATTAAATCTCATGGCACCAGCTTGACGTGGTTTCTGTTAACGGGCGAGCATTATGCTCTCATCAACGCACCTTCTGGCACAAGGACAGCTCCTCGACTCTCGATTGCAGCATATGGGGCGTAAAAGCCGTCTTGCCCGATGCCCGAATGGTGGCCAATCTCGCATATTTGGCTGAGGTCTCTGGAGCATTCCGAGCAGTCAGGCATCGCACACCCTGAAACTGCATGCAAGGCAACAATGTCCCCCTGCGATATATTAGCACCTACATATCGAGAGTTCTTTTCAGACAGATGCCCAGACTCTGCTGACGTACTATTTTGAACTTTGTGCCAGTTACTTCAGGGCCAATTTGAACAATCTGCCCACAGCCTTCATGTCCCTTTGCAGGTCAGCTCATTCAGCAACACAAGCCATAGGGATCTTTGCTCACCAGAGTAAACTTCTCTTGGAACCAGGAAGGTTGTTTCTCAATTGTGAGTAGGGAATGGTCGGACCGACAGACTTCTCTTGCTTTAACACGTCTGACTTATCAATTTCGCCTTGTGACCACCCACCTCCTGATGCAAGCATTTTACACAAAATGCCAGTCGGCGACACAATTGGAACGGTCACCTCTTCCCAGACCTGCCATCGCTATGAGGACCGGTACCACCATATACTCCCGGGGCACTTACAGGCTCCGGATTGCCTCTATGCTTCCTCCAAGCAAACATCGATTTGGGTATTTCTGAGTTGGAAGCCATTGTCAAAGTGTGGTGCAAGACAAGTTGCGAACTGACCCAGACTCCTGCAAAAGCTGTTGTCGGTCGATGATCGTATTATTATCCGTGTCGTGAAGCGTCATGGCAAGCGCTCAGCACTTGCCAATACAGAACCCCATGGACGTGGTGCACCCCGCGTTCCGCTATACCTTTCTAAGTACCCGACTCCAGGATTTCGCCGAACTCTGTTGATCATCGGTATTCCATATTCGGACTAACGGCCGGTTGGACCATGTCGGAAGCTTTGACTGTTCCTTCGGCAAGCCAAGCTAAGCCCCGGTACCCCGGAAGTGCGGAATGAAGGCTTGTGCGGAATGGAATCACCCGCGGGTTCACGAGTCATTCGGACCCCACAACGTCATCCCAAGAACTCCACCGTTGGCTTCAGGTTCGCCCCGGGCTTGTCCAGTTCTCGCAAACTCCATAAGACATGGATCACGACTTGGTCCACACGACGACGGTCTGCGCGTTAACCCGGTAATATTCGAATTGCAGCCGCGGTAATTCGCTCAACCATTTTCAATCCCTTTCGCGTCAAACCAATAAAGATGTCGCGTAACAACCTCATTCACTAGCTTCTGGACCTCATTCATGAAGACTCCGTGACAAGTATTGCTTCTTCGGATACAGAGCAGAATCTGTTGGACAATATGGTCTTCTATCCACCAAGCTGGGCCCCGGAGCTCCCCATTGGTCAGTTGCCTTAGCCGATGGATGGTCAAGAGTTGAGTAGTTTGCTGACTTATTTCAAAATCGCAAGACCCTCCGGACTCAATTACGATTGCAGAGTTCATGAGAAACGAGAAGTATGGCAGATGTCCGCTCTCACAAAGTCGCAATCCGTTCACTTGCGGGTTGACGGGGAGAACTTACTCAGCAACCCAATTCTTTCAGCGATCAGAATCCCTAGCAAAATCCCTAAGCAAGAGGATGGGATGGGCACCTAATGAGGGCACGTGCTGGGATAAAGTCGTTGGCATATTTTCATTCAACACCGTAAGTGGAGAAACCTAGAATTCCGGCCCTCTGCTCACTAGGTGCCTGATGATGGTTGTTGCAGCCTCCGTGTCAATTGCTGACAACATTGGAAGATTGATTATATCCCGGCTGCATATGCTGTCCACAGGCTGTCTGGAATTGCAAGCCCCGCGAATGCAGCCTATTCGGAGCCTGAGTTGACTCATCAGCTTAAATCCTCGGGGGCACAGATTCTGTTCACTTGCATCCCTCTCCTTGACATAGCAGTTAAATCTGCTGAGGCAGCTGGGATTCAGAAGGATAGGATTTTCATCTTGCCCATGGTGGGGGACAAGAAACGTGTGCCCTTTCAGAGCATCGAGGAGCTTATATCAGAAGGTGAAAGTCTGCCCGAGCTCGAGGCTCTGAGTTGGACCGAAGGTCAAGGTGCCCGGCAACCGGCTTTCTTATGTTTTTCAAGCGGGACGTCCGGTCTTCCGGTACGTCATCTCCATCCTCGAATAGCGGTGATACTCAACTCACTGTTACTAGAAAGCTGTGATGATATCCCACAGAAATGTCATCGCAAACATCCTGCAGCATACCACATATGAGTCTGTTGCACGAAAACAACTGGGTATCTCAACACAAGTTGAGCTGGGTCTCATGCCTCAAAGCCATATATATGGACTTATTGTTGTTTCCCACACGGCCCCCTGGCGCGGGGACGAGATCATAATCTTGCCGAAGTTTGAGTTTGAGTCCTACCTTGCAGCCATACAACGCTTCAAGATCGAACATCTCATCATTGTAGGTTGTCACCACAAAAAGGCACAGCACATCTCCAACTAACAAGAGAAAGGTACCACCAATAGTCATCCGAATGTTGCAATCAAGAGACGTTTGCAGCAAGTATGACCTGAGCAGCGTGCGATTCGTTTACTCTGGCGCGGCGCCTCTAGGTGAGGAAACCATCGAAGACCTCAAAAAAATATATCCCAAGTGGACCGTTGCTCAAGCGTATGGTAAGTAGAAGCCAGTGCAGATTTTGCGGCATTGGGACTCACTGGTGCAGGTATGACTGAGACGGCTGTGGTCGTAAGCTCAACCAGCGAACACGATGTTGTCAACCGTTCCTCTGGCTCCTTGCTCCCTGGCATTCGGGTTAAGATAGTCGATCTCGAAGGCAACGAGGTTACCGAGTGCGACAAGTCTGGAGAAATTCTCGTCCAGTCCCCTTCATCTGTGCTTGGATATTTGAATAATGAGAAAGCCACCACTGAAACCTTCGTTCATGACAAGGATGGTCGATGGGTTAAAACTGGAGATGAAGGACTTTTCACCAAGTCTCCTTCCGGCCATGAGCATTTGGTAATTGTCGACAGAATCAAGGAACTCATAAAAGTCAAGGTAAGTTTCACTTGTCTCCACGCAATCGACATAATACTCATGAGTTGCAAAGGGCCATCAAGTCGCACCGGCAGAACTGGAAGCACACATCCTCGCACACCCTGCTGTTTCGGACTGCGCCGTGATCCAAACACCAGATGACCGAAGCGGTGAGGTCCCGAAGGCCTTCGTGGTCAAGTCCCCTGAGTTCGCAAAGCAATCAGAAGATGAGGTCGCTCAAATAATCATCAAGCATGTTGCAGACCACAAGTCGCACTATAAGAGAATCACCGGAGGGGTTGAATTCCTGGATGAGATACCTAAGAGCCCTAGCGGCAAGATTCTTCGAAGGTTGCTAAGGGATAAGGAGAAGGAAAGGAGAAGGAAAGAAGGTGCCAGATTATAAGTGCCATGTCTCCGTCATAGAGAGACTTAACTGCCTGTATTGATCACAATTCACTGGCATAGTCTAATTTACCCTACAGAGGCGAAGTCCTTTAGCAGGAGTTTGTGCACTACTTTCAATGAGGAATATGTAGTGACGTCGTCTCATGTGAGTTATCCGCATAACTAACTATAAGTTTAATACCATTCGGTGAACCTCCTTGCCCGCATTGTGATCGCCAAAGTTGAAGATAAAGCGAGACTAGTCCAAGTGATACGTCCCGCGCCGGTCGTTCAAAACGATCCCAATTAGAGATGCCGCAGCTGGGTGGCTGATGATTGATCCAGACTAGCAACAGACGACCGTGCTGTCGGTACATCGGAGTTGGATTGGAGCAATATTGAAGCGACGGCTCGTCGCTACGTGGGAGGTAAGACTGCATCTGGCAGGAATGAAAATGTGGCAGGAATGAAAATGAGGCAAGAGTGTTGCCCCCCAGGTCAACATGGAATATGCTTGAAGGAAAAGAGAATGTAGTCTGAGAGAACGGAGTAGCTCTGTAGATTTTTGTCACGATATAAGGGATATATAGAGGAGCGGAACAACGTTAATCCGGGGGATCACCCCCTATATAGCAGGCTCATCAGCCCATTTCTTTTGTAGCTCCTCAAGGATCAACTCAAGTCAATTCCCATGCTCTCGCGCGCGTTTTTGTGTGACAATTTTTTTCTAGAAGTATCTGAGTATGTACATCAAATAAGCCGCTTTCTATTCTCCACGCCACTTCTGGCGCGTAATTTCCATGCTCAATTCCTCAGACTGTGGATCGAGGAACTTTGAGATGCAACGCTGCCAGGATAGTCGTGTTAAGCTACCGTACCAGACAGAGGTATATTCCCAGTAATGCGGATACCAGCCTACAAGTCCCAATCGATAATAGAGACGATTCGATCGCCACGGACCATGATAGTAAAAGGGTTAAGGTCTGCGTGGGTGAATACAGGCGGGGACCATGGCCCATCTTGTTTTGCTATCATGTCTAGAAGCTCCTGTTTATCGTTACCAACACGATCCGTGATTTCTTCCGGTTGTAGTCCATCACGGAGCCAGAGGTGAAATTCCTGGATCGTCCGAAACGGCCCAAACCGGGGCCGAGACTGTGGTATGCGGGATATGCGGGAATCGCGTAAAAACCCACCTACACAGCTTTCAACCTGTCACACTAAAACGCGCACGAGAGCACGGGAATTGACTTGAGTTGATCCTTGAGGAGCTACAAAAGATATGGGCTGATAAGCCCGCTATATAGGGCGTGATCTCCCGGGTTAACGTTGTTCCGCTCCTTCATATATCTCCTATATCGTGACACAACCCCTATTCCAGATGTATGTGGTAATTCTCTCAATGCCTGGAGTATTTGTCGAAGCTCTAGGAGAATGCGTTCAAGGTCATCGTCTGAGAGATCCTTCAAGGCTTCGGCTAGTGTGATCTCATCCACACGCTCCATGACAATATAAGCTTGGTTTTTACGGACAAAAGAACAGTACACTCGGGGTACAGGAATAGATGTCTTGGTGGCTATTGCAGTGTGGCAGCCTCCGTGAGATGAACAAGATCGCTCGTCTTCACGATGAGAGTACTGGAGATGGGGACGCACGGGCCATCGGATCTGTAGAAGTGCGCGGTGGTCTTGAGGACAGTCAGAGTCAGGGTGCGACGCAAGAATGTGTTGTCAATGGCTAAATGTTCGGTATTCTAGTGTTGTGTGGCTGTACTGTCGACAGGTGCGATGTAGGATGTTGCCATTGTGTATGCATCGTAATGTCAAAATGAAGACAATATCGCTTCACAACAGAACCAACCACAAATTGGCCTTCGCGCCTTGGCTACAAACCATCGCAGCCACAAGGTGGCGTTCCAGTTGGTTTTAAAGCGCGAATTGCTGACAACATGAAAGCTTTAGCAGCTATACTAATCTTGGCAGGCAAATATCGGCCGCCGCCTTGACATTTATTCTTGTCCAGCTGATAGACTTCAATCTTTGGGGAAGGCAAACCAAGTGGATCGCTGTGTCGCAGAGAACCCTTTGACCCAAAAACATTCTCATGTGATCAACATCTCCAGCGCCAGCGCCACGAAGTATTTTTTTTTTAAAAGAACTGAGAACTGTCTGGCCCCTGGGTTTGTACCCACCGCTCAAAGAACTGTCGAACATCATGCATGAAGGCCATCAATACACTACTGCAGCGTGGCTCGGTTCCAAAGTAACTACATATTAGCCCAAGTTAGCATCTTTATGGTGTCCTTTGCAATCTTGCCTGGGCAAGTCAGGAACGTGACTAAAGGCCTGGGCAAACCAAGCTGACTTGAAGAATCGGTGGCTTCTTTCCAACCTTTTGTAATCATTCGTTGTAGCCTAGATTAGCAGAAAGCCCACTGGTAAAAGTCAGCACCGCTTCACTTTGCATGCATACTGGCATGGCTTGCATGGCATTCTATCCTGTGGCATGATCACAGCATTCCTGCCGCTGCTGGTCAAACTTTATTCTGTTCACTTGACAATATCTTGTCAAAGAATGGGCACGATCGGCTCCACGAAGCAAAGATGTTCTGATATGAGGCTGTGAATACATGTGGTATAATAATGGGACTGCCTAGATAAATCTGGTAGAAAGTACCACCCGGTCTGATAAGCATCGTGTGCCAGTTCGAGAGGAAAATGTAGAACATATACCTTTTGGAAGGCGAATGAAGAGCTGGAGAAATGCCGGAAAAAAGCTTTCCCCCAGAGCCATGGCTTGTGGGAGCTACAATTTCAGCTGCTACTATGCAGGGTGGCGCTAAATCATCCACTATCTAGACAGCCAGAAACAAGTAAATGCCACAGCATCGTCGCAGGGAGTTCGGTGGATACGCTGCAGGGGATAACTTAGCAGTGATAAGGCCAAAAATAAAAACAAAATTAGATTTAACAAGGAAACAGAGCCGCCGCAGACGAAGACGAATTGGATCCATTGCAGTTTCAAAGAAGTGTTACTTGAACCCTCTGAGCCCGAGACGCCTGATAAGGGCATCAAGAGGCTCACGAGGGAAGATGGGCGGTGGACCAGCGCAAGGCTCGAACTAGGGCGCCCGACACGCGTCGCTGGCAGAAACACCAAGCGCCTTGGTCCACGTTCTGGGCTCATTGGCGCCGAGTCTTTTAGTATACCTTTGCGGCGCGCCACTACTAGGCGTTGGTAGTTGACTCGTTGGGGTGCTCCGCTTCCCCGCACGAGCCCCAGGATCTCGCGTGAGAATTTGCTATCATGACAGCGACTACCGCCAATGGCATCCCGATAGATCATAAGCCCAGGCACGATCTTGGGAGAGCCAACCAAGCCGCTAACTGACTGCCCAGCCCCGGCTTGGCGTCCGACCTGTGCCTCTTCTATACCTCCGAAAGGGCTGGTAGACCCACGAAACGGGGCGTTTCGCAGTGAAGGTCGCCAAATGAACCCCCCATTCTGAGCCCCATAACTTCCGCGCTGGAACAGTCTCGCCGACTGCTTGGCTCCAACTGAACACAAAACCATGTAACAGAACCCTCTTATCAGAAACGAGTATTTTCTTGGATCGCAAAAGCCACAGCTGCAACTATGGAGAATGTCGGAGGAGCTTGCTCTCCAAAACAAGAGCCGTTGGCACTTCTGGGTTGTCTTGGTGGCGTAAGCTTGATGGCACTAGGTGTCTGGGCATCAGAGTTCGTTAGACCGCCGAGACCGTCCCCCGGGACCGCCCAGGTTGATCACGGCCCTGATTCGACTCTGGGCATTTGACAACGGTCGTGTATGTCACTTTAGCGCAAGCCAGAAACAAAATAACATGAGGGGTTTCTTTTCGCTCCCAGTCAAGTTGCAGACGTCTCAGCTCATCAGCTGGGGTAGCTTACCTTGGCATCCGACTCTTTGTCGCGGGGGACCCGAATACTAAGTTGGCACTTGAGCATTGGCATGATGAGTAGGGCAAGGACTGTCACAAGGCCTAGAAAGATGGGGGATCCGGGGAAGAGGGTCGTGTTACAGTAGTGATCCCAAGGCCTTGGGTCCACTCCACTGTCTTGTACTCTCCTTGGGACTATATAAGCACCACATTCCACGCGGTTCGAAAGACTGATTCTTCTGCACCGCAGATCCCTCGTACTATCTTGTCCTCTATTATAAGTACTTGATACCATCATAGAACCAAAGGGCACTCCCTGAACACCTTCCATTATGTCGGACATGAAAGAGAAGCCAGGAGTTGTCCATGATGACAACCCGGGACTTTTCCAGGTTGACACCAATCGAATGGAGAAACCAATTCCAGTAGTTCAAAAGGTGGATTACAGTGGTGCTCACGAGAAGACGGATCCTCGAGAGATCGCCTTGGTCAAGAAGCTTGACCGGTGGATCATGGTGAGCATTCACTACCACGTCGTGTGTTACCTACACCAGACTAATCGATTCCACTTAGCCCATGCTATGGAGCATGTACTGGCTAAACTACCTCGATCGGAACGCGATTGCGCTTGCTCGCATCAATGATATTGAAGAAGACTTGGGACTCAGCTCGGTACAATATTCGACCTGCGTCAGCATCCTGTTCGTTGGTTATCTCCTTGGAGGAGTACCTGCAAATATGATTCTGACACGCACGAAGCCATCCGCATTCCTTGTAAGTTCTCAGTGCTTATATATGGTTGTAATATACCACCTGCTAATATAGCTGTAGTCTATCGTTATGATGGCCTGGGCAGTTGTTAGTGCCGTAACAGCTCTCGCCCAGAACTTCACAGGGCTCCTTCTGACTAGATTCTTCCTTGGTCTTACAGAAGCGCCTTACTATCCTGGAGCAGTCTACATTCTGAGCGTCTTTTACAACCGCAAAGAGCTGGCAACCCGAATTGCCATCTTGTACACCGGAAACATTCTTGCTACCGCCTTCGCTGGTTTGATCGCTGCGGGTATCTTCCATGGCCTCGATGATGTGGGAGGCATCGCGGGCTGGCGCTGGCTTTTCATCCTTCAAGGCGCAGTTACATTTGTGATTGCTGTCGTCGGTTACTTTGTGCTTCCTGACACGCCGTTGACTACAAAGTGGCTCACCCCGGACGAAAGACAACTAGCACACAACCGTATTGAGATGGACACTACCCAGAACCAGGGAGATTCTGGAGTCTGGGCTGGTTTCAGACAGGCTGTCAGCGACCCGATGGTGTGGATCTTTGCTGTAAGCTACCCCAATACTAAGACAACAGCGAGAATCACAAACTAACTGTCGTAGCTGATGGCTCACTTACATCTTGCTGCCAATGGCTTCAAAAACTTCGTAAGTGCAACTATTGTGGAGACAGCCCCATGCAAAACTAATGTGTCGATCACAGTTCCCTACTGTCGTGCAGACGCTTGGGTTCAACGAAACCGTCACGCTTGTTCTGACTTGCCCGCCATACCTGATCGCAGGTGCCGTCACGATCGCGGTATCCTGGAGCTCGGGTAAGTTCAATGAGCGCACATGGCATATTACCATCTCCAAGATTGTGGCGACCATTGGCTTTGTGGCCGCATGCGGCACCATGAACCTTGCTGGTCGCTATGTAGCCATGGTCATCTTCACCATCGGCACCTACGGTGTCAACTCACTTATCTTGGGTTGGTGTGGTAGTGTTTGCGCGCAGACCAAAGAGAAAAAGGCTGTGGCGATCAGCATCGTAACCAGCATCATGAACGTGTCTTTCGTATGGACACCGTACTTGTGGCCTAAGGAAGACGGCCCCAGATATCTGATTGCTTTAGGGTCAAGTGCTGGTTTCTCCATGGGAACCGCAGCTGTGGCGTGGGTAGCCAGGATCATAGTGCAGAGACGGAACCGAAAGCTGAGGCAGGAAGAGAACGAAGAAGAGAACTTCTATGTATACTAAAGAAACTACATGGCCTAGCACGGGCATCTAGGGCGCCATAACATGGCAGCAGGCTTCTCGTGTTGGACACCACAGTCGCTTCGGTACAGCAAAATCGATCACTGCAGATGAGTAATGAAATACAATCATTTTGTCACAAAATAACCACTGCGCTAGCAGTGCCAAAATGAAGCTCCACTTGACCTAGCGCCTAATTGGGTATATTTTGGTGCGACACATTTACACTCTTTTCAAATTGATTACCTGGAAAGAGAACATTAGGCAACAATGCCTAGCCTCATTGGCGTGTCATACACCCACCGAACCCTGTAAGTTCACTTACTTTGACGGTCCACTCTAGGTTGTTGTGACTGGGGCTACTGCTGTTGAGACAACAGGAATATGTACCAGTAAATTCCGAAATGGCAATATCTATCAATACGTCAAGCTTCATCGGAGAACAATCATTACTGTTAACTAGCTGTTCTCGGTATGCTAATAACTGGTTGTAATTGGTTGATACCCCTTTGAAGGAGGGGAAGGTAGTTCAACACTGGTCTGCACATAGGTGTAGCTCCTTTCTACAAGATTTTCAACCGACCCTCTTTCATCTGTACCCGGCACAAACGTCTTGGTAGACGTTATTTTGCAAACCCGCTGCGTCAGTCGGAACATAACCGAGGTATGTAGCATAAGAATAAGTCCACCTAGGGTCATTCAGCTCCGTCTTCCAAGTCCAGAAAACCCAGCCGTCCATGCCCGGTGTCTCGTAGAGTTGTTGCTGCGCTGTGAAAAATTTCTTGAAGAAGTTTCCGTCATGCCAATCTACTCCAGATGTCATGCTCCACTCGCCTGTGATTGCAAAATCCTGACCGTTGACGACACGTGAATCGGTACACGCACTGTGCATGAGACGATACTGGTCCCCGCTGTTCTGCTGGGCGAAGCCAATGTAGTTGTGGTCGTCAAAAGAGGTGAAAGGATCGTTTGCGATGGCAGCATTGGTGCGCGCGTCGCCAGAGTCCCACTTACTGGACATGAACTGCACGTGGAGCTTCTTATTATCTGCAACATTGAGCGCAGCCTCGGCGTCGCGGACTGCCTTCAGGGCGCCGGGATAGTACTTCTGCACCAAGCCTGGGTCTTGACCGGGAGCCGGGTAGCGATTCCCACCGTCGTGCCTTGAGACTGGCTCATTGAGAACTTCGATCATTCCAACGGCGGTGGAATATGCCGGGTGTGTATGGATGCGGTTTGTCATCCACGCGAGCCATTTCTCAGCGCGGCCGAAGTTGTAGTCGTTGTAGAACCCGGCTGGATTAGGGTTCTGGCCGGTAAAGACGTCTTGCTGTTGTCCACCAGGGGCACCGTGAAGATCGAGAATAACATATAGGCCAAGATCGGCAGCTTTCTGAATGACAGCATCCAGGTAAGGGAGCATACGGCTGCCATCAGCAAAAGGTTCACTCGCGGTATCGACGATGTCATTATAGGACCAATAGCCGATTGGAATGCGGATGGTATTCAACCCGACATCGTGAACAGACTGTACAGTCGAAGGATCGATCCAGGTCTTCCAATGGTTCTCGAACGCTTGGTTGCCAGCCTCGCGATTGTTCCCTTTATAGTGGTCGAGCATGCAGTCAAACTCGGATGCGGAACTGCCACAACCCATTTTGCTCCACTCATCTTCCATCATCCATTTCTCACATATAAGCCACCCTATAAGTTTTGGTGAGCCTTAGCTTGTTTGAAAGGGGTACTGCTTGGTACTGTTGACCTACCCCCAAAGTTAACACCACGAATCTTGGTGACCCCATTGGGTAGATGGGGCTCGAATCGTTTACCAAGCGCCTCGAAACGACGGGTCTGGTTGAATGCTGGTAGGTCGTGATCCTGTGGGAGCCATGCGCGGATGGCTCCAGCAAAGAGGATGGGGGCTAGATAGAAAGACCGCATCTCGATTTGATATTCCGACTTGATGAGCGACAGAGAAACCCAAAGGTCTGTCGTCTATCCATGAACGGCGCCGCTACTTGTAATGGCTATGCATACGGCGCAAATTTTGGCGAAGAAACCCGCCCCCATCGTAAGCCGACATCAGTCCACAGTAGCGCAGAATCGTGTGCATCATCGGCGGTACTGCGAATCCTTCAAATGTCGTCCAGGTTAGTCCGGGCTATTTTTGGCTTTAGCTCCACTTTAATTGCGAGGGTAATCCCCGCCGTCAGGTATACAGAGCATTTAATTGGAAGATTGAATCCAATGTCTTTGCCTCTTTCCCCTCTCGTCTCTCGTTTACGAATAAAGTTGGAGCTAGCCTTACCCAACCGGAAGAGATCGCCAACATGGGGATACATAGTATTCAGTAAACTAGTCCAGGGGCGCCCTAATGCAGCGATTATCTCATCATTGACAATGTTCTCAAAACATTCGACAACATGGGGGTATCTCAGCTCACAAACCTCGGCACTGATCCCGCCGCAACAGGCTACTGACCGGGGTTGTTCAGTTCTCGAGGGACGAAGGATCTTACGGAACCGCCAAAGCACAGTTGCTCCAATAATATCAGTGATGATACCCGTCAACTCCGGCCATTATTGTGCGCGTTGAACGATTCCATCACCCCTCTTGGTCGATAGTCGAAACATTGCTATTTCTACTGTTGGAACTCTTTCCCAAATACTAAAACTGAACTTACCATACAACTAACAGGAAAGAATGACAGGTAAGGAAAGCAAATTCTGCCATGCCCCACAAACCCCCTGGGTTCTTGTGAAAGAATGATGAAGAAAATACAAGCTGTGAATCAACCCAACCCGACGAGCCCTCCGTGCTATTCCCCCGTTCCTCTCTTTGATTTTCATCATGGTAGCTCGACTTGCTGTCCCTCCGCAAGGACAGTAGTGCCGTCAGCTTCGATACTCAACGTTCCAGCGTCCGGCTCTTTAATGCAGGCAGCCTTCATGTTGTGGGTTACCTCTATCGGATCCTGGCCGGTAAGGTCGGCAATGTCCTTCTTTATCGTCTCTAGCACCGATTTCATCCTATCCACATGGGCTTGAGTGAATTCAGTCTCATCCGGCCAAGTAGATTCACCGCCCTCTAGATCAGGGATGTTCATCACAGCCTTAACGGTACCCTCCTTGAACGTCGCTCTATCCCAGTACGCCTTTGTGTCAGGGAGTCCTTTCAACTTCCATGATGATTCAATAGTAACAGTGTGCGTAAGTATCTCGCTGTACACGCCTTTGCTATGCTCGCCGAATATGAGAATTCCGGTGCAAGCCACCAGATTCTCTGTGTATAGTCTGACACCTGTTACCCCTCCCCCTGTTTCATCAGGCACGACAGGGATTCCGTCCCTGCGAGAACTCCTCCAACCGCGTTTTGCGGTTTTGAGCGGCCCGCAAAACTGCTTTATCTGGTCATCGAGCTCGTCGCTAGAGGTCTGGGTTGGTGGGACACCGGAATCCGTACTCGTGGCATCATTAACCGAACTGGTAGCCGACTGAGTTGAAAATGTGAGGATATCGCCAGCCAAGCTTGTGATGGCACTCCAGTCAGTCTCCGACGTTGTTTCCGGGTCAGAGGCTGAATTTGTTACCGATACAGTCTCGGATGTCCTCTGGGAACTAGTAGCCGAACCAGTTATTGACCCAGTCTCGGATCCTGTCTGGGAACTGGTTGCTGAATTAACTATCGATCCAGTCTCCGATACAATCTGAGAACTAGTTGCTGGATCGTTGTCTGATTCAGTCTTGGAAGCCGTTTCCAAGCCAGTTGCTGAATCAGTTGCAGATCCAGCCTTGGAGGTCACTAGTGAACTAGTCGCCGAATCAGTGATCGATTGGAATTTGGAAGCCGTTTGCGAACCAGTGGATGAGCCAGTGACCGGTTCAGTCCTGGAGGCCGTTAGAGATTCAGACTTCAAAGGGTCGGTGGTCGAGATAGTGTGTGGATTTGCCTTTGAATCGGTAGTCGTAGCGATTTGAGAACCAGTCTTTGAAATTGTTCGAGAATCAGTCTCGGAGATGGTTTTTGAGTTGGCCTTCGACTCAGTCTTCGAGTCGGTCCTCGAAGCAGTTCCCGAATCAGTCTTCGAAGTAGTCCCCGAAGCAGTCTTCGAGTCGGTCTTAGAAATGGTCCCCGAATTGAGCTTGGTGCTTGTGGTTATGGTGGGTTTGCTAGTAGTAACCGTGATGGAAGTGACCTTCGAGGTATCTTTAGCCTTGCTCGTCGTTGAAGCCTTTGTGGTAGGGGAATTCTTGGTGCTGGGACGCGAATCTTTGGTAGTAGGCTTTGGCTTTGGTTTATCACCTCTATTACCACCACCCCTACCGCCTCCCTTGCCCCCTTTAGCAGCTGCCGCAATGACGTTCGGAGACTCTGAGTCGACTAAAGCGCCGTGCGACAGTGTAATAAGTGCTGCACTCGCGAGGAGTGTGAGCAAAGCATTGACGACACGCATCGTAAGGATCTGGATGTAAGGCTTGGATGAAATACAATGCACGGAAATTCTCTTGCTTAATATCCAAGGCTACGCAAGACGATGTCTTTGGCTTTCTTTCATTGACTGTTCAATGACTTTTCGATGGGCTTTATATATAGATATCTCCTAGTTGATTAGATTTAACCTAGCATCACCGTATGATACGATGGCTTCATCCTGTAATAGCGGGCACGGGGGAAATAACGCATGAATTGCGGCTTGTAGTATACGGCGTTGGTTCAGGAATCACTTGCTAGCCTTTCTCACATGATCATCGGACAGGAGCCTAGCCACAAACTAAATTCCACCACTACGGACGACGAAAACAAATAGCCAGGATTAACGAGTACCTGAGGATCCAATTCGAATAATACCTCAATTGGTATTTGTGACTGCCGCTCAAAGGAAGGGGTGCAAAGTCCCTGACCTTCGTGTGGCGAAAGATATGTACGCAACATCACGCAAATTTCCCAGGAAGGGACTTCCCTTTGGATAATGGCAAAAAACGCGATAATTTTAGGTGAAAGGAACTAATGCTTGAGGTTCGAAATGAGAAGAATGGTGGCCATCTTGCATCCAAAAACCAGGATTTGAATCCAGCCCTTCAAATGTACATGAGTATTCCTGAAGCCTCACCTTCTAAACAGGGACCTAATTTACACAATGAGATTAGTGGCTTGAGGATTCATCCAGGAACGCAATGGGACGCTAAGAGGAAGTGGATTTCGGTACTCGATTCAGGCCAAGGATTATTATGTGCTCGATGTGACGACATATGCCTGAGGTTGAATTGAACCTCACCAGGAACGCATTGCTTTCATCCTATGGGAGCCAACATCAGGTCGAACATGATCTGATATGACGCAGTGCCTGAATTAGGTAATCATTCACAATCTTAACAGTTTTCAACATAATTCTGCTTGAAACAGTAAAGCAACAGGGAAATACAGTGCCAAACGTCCTTGTAAGAAGTGAGTTGCGGGGTTGCCCGGGGAATTCTATTATTTCGAAACAACAAGATGAAGAATCGAAGTATTTGTCAAAGCTGGCCTTAAGGATGATATATAAAGCCCACATATACATGGACTATTCCACCTAGGATAACCATGATACCGCCAGTTCTGGCCAATACATTGAAAGATCCCACATAAAGGATTCTCTTGTATCAGATGGTATCGAATTCAGTATTTCGATGGGGAAGAGCCAAAATCCCACAGCTGGCTGAACAACGTCGGGTCGAATCTCCACCCATGTAACTTTCTGGATACGCTGCTGCGGGGTTTCTTTGACCGGACTCGTAATAGTCTCGCCAACGATTCTCATCGTCCTGTATATACATCTTCGCTGTCTCGACGTTGAAGACATCTTAGTGCGGTCTACAGGAAATGAGAATACGATGGTGGATTTAATTGAACGAAAGCCCGGCTTGTGCAAGTATAGTCTTCCAAAGCCGAACTGTTCGCTGTGGCTCAACAGTCCACAGTAGAGTTCGCTTGAGGTCGCGGGATATGCAACGTGGATCGCGATTCAGCCGCTTAAAAGTCGTCGTTGTTGCAAGCAGGGGGTTAGATCGGTTGAAGATGTCCGGACCCACCGTGGCGTCGCCATCAACTTGGCGTCCCAAATTGTTGGATGATGTAAAAACCAACATCACCTCTTTTATACCTGAAAATGAAGCCGCCAATTCCCTTTTGATGTCCAAATCCGATCCCTCACGGTCCAGGCTTGTCGATAGATATTCTACATCCGCATGGTCAACCGCCAGGCGAAGCAGGCCAACGTGTTTAGGGTCGTATATAGTTTTGAGCTTGTAAATGAAATCCACATGTACTGGAGTGATGGTATGCTTTGTGTGGACTTCGAGGAAGTCGTACTCAGGGTTGAAGTAGAGAGTTCTGGGGATCGGCTCAGAATCATCAGGCGTGAGGAATTCTTTGCTAAACACACCAGGCACGTGGACCCGATAAAATTCCAATGCCATCCTTCTTGCCTCTACCTTCACTCATAGCAAGTTCGAGTTCACTGAGTATCCATCTTTAGAAACTGTATAGCCTGTTCTGGTCCACGGTATATTCCCTCTGGCTTCGCGGGTGATAGTCTCTCTAATGACTACTCTGACAATCCGCTCACGTTGTAGAGCGCACTGCCAAATTCTTATTCGAATCTCTGTCGGCAAAATTGACAAGAGCGGAAAGTCGGTTATGCTACTGAGCCAGGATGGGGGTGTGAAAATTTGCAGATCTCGTTTAATAGACATTTTGGGATCGCCGCAGTTCTAACGGGAATAGAGACCTTGGGTAGACAGGCTTCATCGATAGCTTCTGAATGTCTCCTCGAGGGTTGTGTGGATGTAGCAGGACTAACGGCATACGCTGCTAACCTAAGAGACTGGCAAAAGAAACGAGGCAAGAAAAGCATATCTGAGAGTGCCGTCAAATCTTCTCGTTGGACCAAATGTCGGCTCACGGCAGGGTCATGTTATGATGTTTTCGTCACTGCCCTTGGCTCGGAGGATGGATGTTACCGGCTGCAGCTAACACGTGTGGCGCGGGGCTTGATGTTGGTACAAAGGTATGGGGCTCAATAACCTGAGACAATCCTCTTGATCCCACTTCATTACAACAGAGACAGGCAGGAAAGTAAATCAATTTTAAAATATATCACGTTCGGTACTTGGAGAAGTCGAGAAGGACGGTGACTTGACAAGTTGACCATTATACGTTGTTGCCTGCAAATTTTGGAGCTGATTTGGCAGGTCATTGTTACGCCAACGAAGGTGACGTGGCTGGGCAAGCCGCTGCGTTGGCGTAACTCAATTGCCACTCATGGATTGACAGGATGGTTGGGTACCTACACCGCCGACGCATACGGTACAATGCACAACCAAGGTGGTTACTGTCATTCTTCGGGTGAAAATACTCATGCTGATTGCGTTGAGCAGCTGTGAAGGTGTCTGCAAGACACGACAAACGAATGCGATAAGTCGTAGACGAAAGTCACGGAACCTCGGTCACACCATCGCCAGCCTTCAAGGCCAACCATGCCACCATCATAAGCAGGTCCCCATCAGATCAGCAATTCGGTCAAGGTACCTTAAATTGTAATGAATCTTTCGAACTGTGTAGCGCTAGAGACAGCCTACCGTGCGAGCACCAAAAAAGAGTGCGACAGTCTCCAACATCATGGTTTTCAGAGATGCACAGAGTACCAAAGAATGGCCATGACAGGGCTAGCAATGCTGCAAGATAAAACATGTTCAGAGACGTGCTATACTACAGGTTTTATTTTACGGCACGACCTTCGACGCTCACGAGTTCTCACTAACACTTCACATGCCATACATAACAATAAAACGTCGACTCTCAAGTGTGATGTGTCATCATGTCGCTGCATGTGCAAGGTTTTGTTTTTCCTGGTTTTTCTTTTTTTTTTTTTGTTCCAATAAAACAAAAGAAGATGCAGTTATGGAATAAAGCTGGCCGAATATAGTTATAAGTCCCATGGACCTGATTTACAACCAGCACCTGGCGGGTTTTTCCCCCTAATTTCATACAGCAAGGCATTTTGATCTATCGCCGTAAAACAGCCGTTATAACTCCATACAGGGCATTGCTGCTCGCAGTCCGATTCTCTATGTATCCTCCACGCATGCTGACCTCATACCAACATAATGTTCCTCGATGTGACGTATATGGTCCTGACGTTAAACTTGGCCTTGATAGCCTCGATCACCGGGTCTTCATCTACATTGATAACTGGCAAGCCGTTGCTAGACGTGCGACTTGCGAAGCGGATAGCGGGTGCGGAGAAGGCCACGAAGCGTCCGTCCGTCGGTGTTTCGCTTTCGGGCACGTTGACTCGTTGCCTCATCTTGCCATTGCGTAGATCGATCTCGGCGATGAAGTCTTCACTTGTCCGCCGGGCAGGAACAATCTCGGCACTCGGAGCGTAATTGGTCATATATCTGCTCTCAGGATCGATCCATACCGCACCATCAGATACGTTGGCATAGAGGTAGGAGCAATTCTCGTCGAGTTCCATTCCATGTGGCGCGTCGTACGGCCTGAGATCCACTGTGCCTATCACATCTGCCCGAGCGATATCAAAGACCGAGATCTCTCGGGAGGTCTCAATGGGTGCGAATGAATGGCCCTGACGATACTTCTGACTGATGTACAGGAGATTCCTGAGCCAGTCATGGCATATCTCTTGCGGCTCGGCAAGTAGGTCGTCGAGTATATAGACTCGATAGTATACTGCCACGTCAGCAAAGCTGCACGGTTGGCTACGTGATCCGCTCATCTCGCTGTGGTCTCTGTTGCTGAGTATCTCTCTGATTCTGCTCTTTGGACGTTTCGCATGGCGCGATGGCGATTTCACCTCTGCCGGAGCCATTGCAGCAGGCCAACACTTATATTCGACCTCAAAGGGCGATGCACCGATATCACCACTGCTGCAGCCTGGTAACTGATGAATCAGGTAATCAGGGTCCTGCGGAGCCAGAATGAGAGATCAACCTCGTCGTAAAAGCATGAGTCTTTACCGTCGTAAATCCAGCCCACTATGTGCAAAGATATTAAAGGCAAGACCATACCGAGCCTTGTGGAGGGAGTCCCGTCTGCCTTGTGGTATTCCACATAGCAGGCTCGGCGGACGTCTTACCTGGCTCGCCATTCGACATAGTTGAGATGATTGCATCGGCGCCATAGGCCGCTAACACGGGGCCTTTTGTGCGGCTGATGACAACGGACCAATCAGCATAGTGAATTGACCACTCGTCGTAACTTGAAACCAATCGCACAGAATCGGTGGGGCTGGACCTGGAATACGCTAGCTAGGAATGACAAGAGTCATTCCAAGTACCAAGTATCTACAGATTACTTGCAGAACTGTCAGCACACGGTATTAGGACAATCAATTCCCTGAAGTCCCTGCCTGGCCTCGGTCGCCCAAAACTAGGCTAATAATACGAGTTCGGCACCCGGTGCTTACCGGTCGAACCTGCATAGCTTTATGGTAGCCGACAGTGCGCAGGGGATGGTTTCATAAAAGAAATAAATAAAAGGAAAGGAGATCGTCGAAATCATGGGCAGGATTTTAGTCATCCATGCAAAGCCAAAGTCAAAACGTTCTCGAAACCCCTTGTAGGGCTGAAGGCAACGGCGTGGGCCAGTAATACACAGCCCCAACCAGCGGCTGGAATCAATTGTGTAAGTCATCAGTCTCCACAAGCCCCGAAAACACGTGCATTGCCGTCCTGAGCCAATAGGCGAAAAGAAACCAGGTACCGCCAAATTGTGACGTCGTTCTTCCAGATTGCAGTGCCACGAGGTCGGTAACAAGGGTCCACGGCGCCATTTCAATGGATATCAGCGTGGTCATGTCAGTGGCCGAAAACGCGACGGATGCCTTGCTGATGCGTTGTTCTATTAAAATCTCTATGTGAAATGAGCTAGAGGTGCCTACAGTTCCCCGGCATTATTGATGTGCCCGTGCTATCGCCATACCGTTTGGTTAATGATACGGAGTCTGGGACCCATCTCTCGTATCGTCATGGAATCGAAAGTTGAAACTGGGAAGGGCTTGCTGGAACAAATCAGTCTCGACTTCCAATAGGAACCAGAGCATAGGACCTCAAGCCCTGCATGCAAGCTTGAGCTTATCGGATGCAACGGCTCTGCGGCATCAGCTATCGAAGTAAGGTTTGGCGCTTACAAATCTTCGGAAATGTAGATGAGTCACGATATTCACCGAAGAAAGCTCCAAGCGAGGCGGCATTATCTATCAGAGCAGTTGAAGCTTGTAATTTGGTGCCTAGGTCCAGAAGTTTTAACGCATGCAGCATCTTGATATGTTTGTAACTTCCGCATTTTCAAATTGGACGAAAGACTATGTATTCAGAAATAGCTGCTAGAGATGCTCAATATGTACTGGAAAAATGAACATGGCTTATGCTGAAGTTGTATTGGAAGCAAGTCCAGCAAGGATAACATCTGCCGCCTTCTCTCCAATCATGTAGGTCGACACAGCAGTAAATGTACCCGGAATGCGCGGGTAGACAGAGGCGTCTACCACACGCAGGCCACTGACACCGCGTACACGGAAGTTCGAGTCGAGGACTGCAAACTCGTCGTCGTCAGTACCGATAGGGCAGGTTGAGGAGGCGTGGTGGCCCCACGTGCCGTCACGGATGTATTGCTTGACAGCCTCCTCAGTGTCGGTAGTGTTGCCGGGCAGGTTCTCAATCGTCGGTACGAGCTGGCGCTCATATGCATCACGTGCCAACTCAATAGCCTCGTAGATGGCCTGGAGATCCTCGTCGGCACCGTCTTGGAAATAGTTGAACAGAATCTCGGGCATGTCGAGCGGGTCAGCACTGCGGAGCGTAACACTACCGGCCCTGTTACGCGGGTGAGCTTTGAGGATGGCCCAAGAGAACCAATCATGCAACTTGGTTGCGTTGTAGCTGTAGTTCGGGAAGTATCCACGGAAGTTGACAGGACCGCCAAAGACGAAAACATCGTAGCTGTCGTCCTCGGTGACGGTGCTCTTGTAGAGCATAGTGGCTGCTAGACCAGCGGATGAGTAGGTACCGCGGTCGCCCAGAATAGAGTTGTTCCAACGGTCAATGCAAGGGTCTGCTTCTCCATCCAAGCTGAATGTGCAGCCGTCGAAAGCAGTCCAGTTGGTGGGAACCTTGGCATTGACGGAGATCTCATAATGATCCTGCAAGTTGGTGCCGACACCCGGAAGCTCAGCAACCACAGGAATACCAAAAGATTCTAGTTCAGCGCGGGGTCCAACACCAGACAGCTTCAGCAGCTGGGGCGAGTTGTAGACACCACCAGCGACAATGACTTCACGGGAGGCAGTAGCAGTGCCTGGGACGCCAGCAGCAGACCCCCCGCTGAGAGGGCTTGCGCTGTACAAGTGGGCACCGTCCAAAAACTCAACGCCAGTAGCAGTTGGTGGAGAGGTGCTGTTATCGAAGACAACCTTGGTGACATGGCAGTTCAATCTGACATCAAGAGGATACTTCTTGGACCCATCATCATTGACAGCGTCACGGACGGAGACCACGAACTCGCGCGAGCCAGTGCGGTGGGCATCATTGGTGCTCAGGGGAATCTGGTAGTAAGAGGGATCCTGGTCACGGGCCAGGGTGTCGGCGTTGGCGTCACCGGCAATGAGTGTCGCGAGGTCAATGATACCGCCGGTCAAGTTACCCAAGGCCCATGCACCACCGGTCAACATGGAGAGAAGTTGTGTGTCACCGAGAGGAATGCTCAACGGTGCAGTCTCCGTGCTCAACCAACCATCATATCCATGACCTTCAATGCCCGGGAGGAGGTACTGGTTCTTCTCCATCTTCTCAAAGTAGGTTCTCATGTTGCTTGGCGACCAGGAGTCATCACCAGTCAACTGGGCCATGTATTCAAAGTCGGACTGGTGGGGATACACGGCAATGAGAGCATTGTGAGCAGTGCAGCCACCAAGGGTTCCAGTGCGCGGGTACAGAGTGCCTTTCATGACAGCACCCTCTGGCGGGTCAAGACCAGTGTATACCGATCCATCAGGCAGATCATAGCTGGTCTTCCAGTCCCGGGCCTGCTGTGCATCGTCTGCATAGTGGCGGACGAAGAAGTTCCAGGCGACCTTCTCGTCCTCGGAGACCTTGGCGTTGTAGGCGGGGATGGTGTAGTTGATGTTGGCTCCCTGGTCATCTCCAGCCTCGATGAGCAGAGTGCTGTGACCTGCCAAGGCAAGGCGAGCAGCAACCGGTCCGCCTCCGGCGCCGGATCCGACAACGACATACTCGTAGCCGGTAAGATCGACGGCTCTAGTGAGAGAAAGGGACGAGGCCAGAAGGCCCAAGTACTGGTTGCGACGCATGGCTAAGGAATGTATGTAGTCGGCTGCCGATGTCGTCGATGTTGAACCGAGACACACAATTACTTGATGCTACCATGGGGGCCGTGTCTTCTTAAGACGCTCAGAGTCGGGCCCCCTGAGCATGGAATACTTCTCATGTCTAGCCACTTGATCATATAACTTCCCTGTCATCGTGCGCTAGCATTCCGCGAAGCCCCTCTCTGAGGTCTCAATATTGCTTGCCATCACGCTGACAAATTACGCACAGTGACACGCAACTGTCCATCAGGGGCAGAGTCAAGCTTTCTCAGATGGATTGAGTCGAGTCGCCCGAGGTTGATGGAGCTCGGCAAGCATTTGCAAGAACGGATGCAAGGCTTCTCCCAGGTGCCGTAGGCGATCCGCGTGAGGCTTCCTTGTTCCCGTCCCCGCTATATAGCGTCCCTGTCAGGGGTTATATCCCAGGTGGGCCTGATATAGAGGGTCATGCAGGCTTGGTGCGGAGATGATAAACGCATACAGAATGGTCAATGCACCCCTCACAATCTACCATGCACCTCCGTCAATGCGCTGCAGCTGTATACTATGCTATCCAGCCAACGTCCGAGAGAGCAACCGACAAACCTGGTAAAATCATTTCGCTCAGTACCGTACCGTCTGCAAGGCCCCCACGTTGCGACTGATCGAAGATGGCGTAGATATGCGCAACTTGCTTAAGTACGCCTGCTATACCATGTTACCACCCACCTGCGTACTGTCACCTGCGCGTAGCCCACCTGCCTGTGATTATCGGCTTGGCATAGAGACCGTACAATGCAGTCCGTGCGCATGTCACCCAGGGCTTCGCCAATGGCGGTGTGCTGGCTGAGTATACCTACATCACATCACACGAATACCTCCTTCAATGGGTAATGTGACTGAATATTGCTTGAGTAGGGTGATAACAGAAGGAAAAAATTGTGAGAGCACAGGGGTGAGGGCTGACGAAGAAACCATCACATCCATCAGTGGATTACAACCTCAATATTACTAGTCTATAGGTAAGGGGGCCCAAGTCCCGCCGACAAGGCCGCTACTAGGCGAATGTCACCTGCTGGAGTCTGAATCTGTCGTAAGAAAACTTCTAGGAAAGGTCTGGCCATTGCCATCAATAGTGTCCCTTGATGGCGCGGAACGGAGAACCTCTATGCTGTCGCTGCTGTCCAGCCTGCCCTTTTCCCGCCATTGTGGCGACTTTGGATCAGTTGGAGGTCTTGGTAGTTCCTTCTGCTCCCGTGCTGCAGCCGTTGGGCTGCCGATATACTCCGAGCTTACTTCGTATGTTTTGCCATGAGAGATGGCATCTGGGAAATCCATCATCCTTGCGCTGCTATTCCTAGTCCCTGTGTGACAGGACACTTCGTATGCCCCTTGGTATCGTGATAGCGCAGGTGTTTTCCTGCCGTTCTCTTCTTGGAGAGTATCAAGTCGCAGCGCATCTACAGCGCCTTGACTGCCGCGTCGTCTGCTGCTCAGTTGACCAGTTCCGGTCTGGCTGTTACCGTATGTTCCCATTTTACCATATGAAGAAGTCCCGAAGGCGGAAGGCCCAGTCGTGAGTCCAAGTTTCCATCCAACAAGCTTGATCAAGGGGCGCAGAGTAGCCAGGCTCCCGGCTGCGACAGCCAGTCCTTGTTCCACGGTCGACCAGATGGCAATATCGACTGTGGCCCATAGAAAGTCGGGGTCGCGAAATCGGGGGAGATAGGCGAAACGAACTACAACGGCACCACTGGCACTGTCAAGAAGTCAGTTTAAAAGCCCGAACAGGGCGGGTAACTTGCATCAAGGTTGAACTGAAACTTACACGCAGCCCATTGCCATGAGAGGGATTAGGGCAATTTTAGTCCTTCTTTTCAGCTGCAAGCCGACAATGATCCATGCTGGGAGCAAAGCAAAAGTAAAATCTGTAATCACACTGCAGCTGCTGTAAAGATACGCCAGTCCGATAATAACTTCGTTGCTGACGCAGCTCCCATGTTGAGCTTTATTCCAAAAGAATGAGACGGGCTGGCACTGGCAGACAGTAACCAGAAAGAATGCCATGCAGGTGACAACAGTAATAACCATTGCGCCGTAGATGATCCAGGTGTGCATCTTCTTTGCAGCCACCCGCAGCAGTAGGCAGCCAATGGAGACTTTGCTGAGAATCATGGTCATGCAGTACATCAAATAGCAGAGCCACCAGAACTTTCACGTTTTAGCGACTATCATGAGTATCATGAGCATGAGTAACCGGGCTGCTTACCATCCTAGCCGTTGCAACATCGGGCTGAGGCAACTCGTATTCATGGCGTCCTGTGCCGTAGGAGACGCCCGTGATTGAGAATGAGCAATACAGAATGAAAAACCCCTAGAATATATTAGCTCATTATCGAAATGTGAAAGGCGAACGGGTTGGTCGTACAGCGGCGAGTAGCATGAGCCAGTCATCAAGACCAAATGACCTAACAATGAAGACCCGAACACCGCATCGCATTGATATGGTTACAAAAGCGAGGACCGCAAATGTGTAGTCGACAGCCGCCAGCTGGGGCCCTCGAGTTACAATACCATCGGCCATGATCAGTACTAGGATCAGGGACGTTGAGTCCCAAATCCTACAAACGTGTTGTCGTTGTCATGCAAAGAAAGATGAACCAAGATCAGCTCTCGTACGGTCGCAGAGGAGGAGTCTGGTATATCTGCAGACAACTATCTTACACAGACACTCGAGAGCCGCCAGTGCCGGCGACGCCCGCTGGCTCTGTTTCATTTTCGAGCCGTATCTGAAGAGATGTGCAGACGTTGTGCAGAAGACACCTGCAAGCGCAGGGACAATATGCACCCCTGACTTGCAAGGGTTATAGCCTAGCTAGCCTCTAGGCCTTGTTAGTGCACGTTGCAACTCCAATGTGCCATCGTGCAGTACTCAAACGGACTTATACCCACAGTGGGTGGGGTAAGCCGTTACCAGAATGACGCTCTTCTGGTTACGCGGCAAATGCTTCACCGTCGATATAGCGAGTGCTGCTATGACGAACCTTGGGGGAAATTGTGCCCCCGCTCATATCCTAACGAAGATCCCTGGAACGAGAACGTGCAACTGCAGTATACCACAATGGTCGGGAGTATCTGCTGATACCGGCAATATTTGTCTGCACCGAGGTTGCGGGGCTGAATGGCAGGTGAAAGCGGCCATGGTCCATGGGTATCTCCTTGCTGACAGGAGCGGAGCCACGTCCCATTGTCACTCGTGCAGCCTGTACGAGTTACATGTGCAGCATGACAATTCAGGGCAGACCTACTGTTACGCGAGCATTGGCGACAAGGCCTCGGTCCACCTTTGACCGACTCTCTGTATGCGACTTGAAAGTCATTTCAGCCTTGATCCAAACCGCTGGGTTCTCGACGGACTTGACTACCTTTGTCATTCACACACCTCCCGAGCAAGCCGAGAAAGTCCACGTCACATGGCACAAAGGAACCGTAGCGCATAATCCAGACCTGAAATATCTCCGGCCTGCATACGCTTCAAACTTTTCGTCGCACAGACAAAACGGCGTGTCTGTTTAAATCTGTTAGTGTGTGGTTTATATTATCCTGCTCCTCCCGCTGTCGAAGATCATCACGACCAAGATGCCGAGACGCCACGTGAGATGAACCGTGGGACTGGACGTGTCTCAAAATCCCTGCTACCCACGTTGACCGGTGGGCCCTGACGGAAGATACAATGGCAGAAGAGCCATGTTTATATGCTGCGTTACTGTGACAGGAGCAGTGGAGACGCCGTTCGTTCCCTGGGGGCCTGGCTGGAAGCGTTCGTTGTCTGACACATCGTGACAATGAGCAATTAGGTTTGTCCAGAGTGAGGGAGCAGGATCTCCGCATATCCACCTTCAGACCTGCCTGGACAGCATGTCTGGGGTTAGACGGGTTAAGTTGGCTAGCCAGGGAGGCCTGGTAGGCCTGTAGGCTAGCTCAGTAGACTCGGCGGCTTAAGTGGGCCTCTGCCCTGACCCAGCTGGGCTACTAGGGCTCGGCGAGCATCCGAACGGCTGACATGATGTGTGTGTGGGGTCCAAGATTCATATGAGGCCGTTGATGAGACGAAGTGGTAAGACTGGTCGTGAACGGCACTTCTTGTCGGAGCCTGTTTCTACACGCGGGGCGCAACTCTTGTTTCATGGTCTGAGTACTCCAAGCAGGAGACTTGAGAAAGAAGGGTAAATGATCGGCATATTGAACATCCCACGTCGTGAAATCTTGGGGCCTTGAGCGCAGCGTGGCAGACGCGCGTGGGCAGTGCGCAGAAACGAGAACCTAACTCAGAGCTTGGACAGCAACCGAGGACTGGCCGACTGGAACGTCCCATCGGGCCATTCTGCCGGAGATGTCAGCAATCAGCATATCCGCAGATCTCCACTTACGGTGGCTAATGCTCAGGTACTTTTCACACAGAAAACATGACTATGGGGGCAATGATTTTCAAAGCGTACGTACTCATTGTACTGTGGCACACGTGCTTGATATGTTTCTCAAGTTTCTTTGTTCGTTGCGGGCTTGACGCTGTTTCAAGAGAACAATACCACCCCGGTCCACTTTTAAACAACACCAAATTTCGCACCATCCGCCCCCTTACGCAGCAGACATACGCTAACACGGCTAACACAGTACAAGCCTTCATTCTCATTAGAACCTGTCAGCCTGTGGCCTTGACTTCGAGAATCGCTTCAAATGGAGATAAACTTGACAAAACTTTGCGATAATCAAATTGCTCAACCTTACATTGTACTACGTTAGCTTGCACAGTAATAAGGTTGACATATCTGCCATTCGCCGGCCGCCGAACGGTCAGTGGTGTGTACAGTGCGTCCAAAGAGATGTGAAGATTGTGTATTGGCGATCTTGACTCCATACGCTATGCGACTACGTACCATAGTAGTAAAAACCCGCCGCGACGGTTACTTCCGTTATCAAAATTCGTTTCGTGAAGCAGTTATTTCTGGTCATCACTGGCAAACTTCTAAAGCAGACTACAACTAGAGGTTCAACAGGCAAACACAATCTAAATGAAGTAGAAATAATGCAGCCTGCCAGCTGGAAACGGCAGTAATGGGCAGAGCAACGACGTAGGGTATTCATGTCAGCAAGAACTTATTGCAGCCTTAGCAACGCTCTAGTATTGATGCCGTCCATGTGCTCATGCAGTGTCAAAGAAATGTAAGAAAGACTTTGGTTCCTTTATAGCATTGCTAAATAGTCGTCGTCCTACTACATTAAGTGCGCTCAAACCCCTTGAGCTCAACATTACAACATACAACTCTTCCTCCCGGCGAACTTATAGACCATAACATCTACAGGAGCACAACTCTATTCATAATGATGTGGCGGCACTTCTTCTTAGTCCCCCTGGCGTGGATCGGTACCATACCACGCCCCGCTCAAGCGACCCCCGGCGACGCCCCTGCAAATTTTCGCTGGTTGGATGCGTCTCAGTGGCTCACTCCTCATTCATACAAGTGTTCAGAGCTCCTAAGCATAGTAGCCAAGGGACTCGTCGACGCTGGCGAAGGGCCTCCGTGGAGCCCAGAGTTGAGGCTTGCCCGCCGCAAGGTCCGTGACGACTTTCGCGCTGCTTTTGCGTCGTACCCAAAGACCAGTCCACTGGGTACAGAGCAGCTGCATCTTCTGATGGAGGAGCTCGACAAGTATTTCTTCTTCGGGGCTCTAACCCAAGGCATGGAACCTCTTGTCGATCTCGAGGTGGTCGGAGGGTTGAGTGCTCCCCAGCGATTAGTTGGCGTAGGGCGTACGGTGCTCGATGTCAGAAATGCTCGCGTCAAAATTTTAATCCCTCGGAAGTTTGAAGAACGTCGTGATCCATACGAGCAAGTAACTTCTCTGTTGAAAGAGATGGCCCACAGCTTTATGTTCTTTTACTGGAAACCCAGTGTTGACCAAAAAGAGAAGGAGGCTTTCTGGGGTTATAACGGCCGAGGATATGGCCCTGCGGTCTGGGACTTGTTCCGACTGATGTCGAGAGAGCTCAAAGACTTCGACACTGCCTTACATTCTCTTGCGGAGTCTTCCTCAAGTGCTAACCAAGAGAAAGACGCGGATGCGCTACGGGTGGCGTTAACCGAATCTAAATCCGATCCGACATTTTTCGTGCCCATGTTACTTTGCATATTCATCTTGGCGGAACAGCTCCAAAGATTTTCCTGGTTCAGGGAGCGAGATTGGTATGGAATTATATATGTAACTTTTGTCGTGGTCATCATTGCACACCAGGTCAGGGGTGCACTGGATTGGTTTCCATAGGACTTATTGATAGCGCTACTTTATTTTCATGTTTATCAAACGATAATTAGTTAAAAGCCGTAAATGCAAAAAGTTCTTCCAGAATGTTTGTTGGGACATGAAGTTTGACTTGTAGACTAGGTGAGAATGTCTCTACTTAGGTTGTCGTGCAGCATAATTTGCCGTGAGCTCGTCCCAATATAGACGCCTTTGGGATACGGACTGGCGATCCAGTTCTGGGTAACGGGGTCCCAACTGCTGATATCCCTCCGTGTCACGGCGAAGACGACCTCTTTGCTCTGCCCAGGGCTTAGTTCGACGTCGTCAAAGCCTCGTAATACGACCTTTGGGTCATCTGGACCTCCGAGTGATACATACTGTGGAACGTCAGCAACCTGAGTCGTGAGACCGAGGAACGATAAGCCTTACAAGCTGGGCAATTTCCGTCCCCAGCAGTGCCCCAGTGTTGGTGATCAATACGCGAATGGAGAATACGATGTCGTACAGCCCCGGGTTCCCACCAGGCGCACCGCCGGCATGTAGAAGGTTTTGAGGGGAGCCATCTTGACTTCCAGGCGGAACAGTCCCGGATCCTGATGAGTTCAGCGCATTCACATCATTAATCCAAGGGTATATGAATCTAGGGACTTTGGTGAAACTTTTCGGCGCTAATGCCGAACTTGCATTCCTGTCAACCACCCCAAAGGTGGGTGCAGGCGCGCTCTTCCCAGTAGCTGGCTGGTACGCAGTCCCGTTCGTTGGGGTGATAGTTAAGTTGGAGTAGGTGAAGTTGGTATAGCTCAGTCCAAACCCAAACTCGAAGCTTGGTTCTATACCCGCGCGGTCGAAGTGGCGGTAGTCGATGAAACTCCCCTCGCTAAACACTTGTTGTGGGGCTATGCCAGTTGCGTTAAGAGTGGCAACTCCCCAATCGCCGGCATGCTTCCCCCATGTGAATGGTGTCTTGCCTTGCGGGTTGACGCGGCCATACAGCACGTCAGTAATTGCGTTCCCAGACTCTTGCCCCGGGAGACCTGCCCACAGCATGGCGGTCACATTGGGATGCGTTTTGATGTGATCAATAAGGACGGGTCCAACGGAATGGATCACGACGATAGTGTTCGGAGTGACCGAAGCGACAGCTTCAACAAGACTGTCGCCGCCATTCCACAAGGTCAGGTTCTTGCGATCTCCTAGGTTGCCATCCAGGTCCTTGTAGCCCTCCCCAGCATCGGCATTCACAAAGACGATTGCCACTGATGCGTTTCCCGCAGCGGCCCGAGCCCCTGGAAGATCCCAATTGGACTTGAAGTTGGAGAATACCGTTCCGTCACCCTTGGCTTGACTCTCCAAGGCAGTCGCTGGCGCTATAAGGTAAGGATATTCTGCTGTCGCCGAGCCCCAGCCCATGGCCAGTGTTCCCGTGTTGCAGATCCTATCTACACAAGCATTTGGCCCACGAGGGTTGTCTTGTGCGTCCTCACCGATGACCGCGATGCTGCTTGGCTTCCTCAGGGGCAGAGAATGGCCCACATTTTTCAGGAGCACGATGGATTTGGCTCCTATCTCCCGTATTAGGGACGAATGCTCGCCTTGGACGTTCACGTGCTGGTTGACTGTGGTGTTACCGGTCTTCGAAGCAAAGTACCGAGGGCCGGATGTTGTATTCACCCAGGACGAGTAGTTGATGTCCACACGCTTCATATCGCGGCCGACTTTGTAGAACGCCGCCATTATCCGGAGGACCATGTCGTCGATTCGCCACTGCGGGATTGTCCCGTTTAAGACCATCTCTGTTAGCGCACCACCCCAATAGGAACCATATGAATTTCGAGGCCCGTCACCAGGCATTGCCATGTCGAGTCCAGATAGGGCACTGATGGCCCCGCTATGTTGAGCACCCCAGTCCGACATAACTTCTGACGTTAGCGAAGTGACGCAGGAGGCCAGAGCCAAGTATGGGATGCTTACCAAAACCCTGGAATGAGAGTTCGTTCTTCAAAAGGTAGTTGAGTGCTTGTGTGTTCTCGCAAGCAAAGGTGTTGTTGATTCTGTTGTACGAGCACATCACCGATCCAACACCTGCCCGCACCGCATCGGCGAAAGGCCTGGGCATAACATTAACGATGCCAGCCGCTGTGTGAGAGCAGCAGACAAAAACTTACCAAAGGTACAGCTCATGCATAGTTCGATCATCAAGGTTGGAACTAATTCCAGATCGAAAGTGCTCCTGTTCGTTAAGAATATAGTGCTTAACACACGCAACTACTCCGGCCTCCTGTGTGCCCTTCACTGTCTCGGCGACAGCCACTCCGCTCAGGTATGGGTCGGGACTGAACCCTTCCCAGTTGCGGCCGCCTGCTGGGTCCCGGCCAAGCGGTCCTACGACGGGCCCGAGCATGACATCTATGCCCTTGCCTCGAAACTCCTCGCCAAGTGCCAAGCCGCGGCGCCGGAGGAGTGAACGGCTCCATGTGGCAGCAGCCGAGATGCCGGCGGGGAAGACAGAATTCAGATCCGCTAGACGTGCACTCGTGAGCGATAGATCGGCGCCCTAGAAGCTCTACGACTCACTGTATCTTACGCCGTTGGGCCCGTCTTGAAGGCACAAGTGCCGGAAGCCAAGACGGGGCACCGAACCCGTGTTTCCGGTGCACAGATCGGCCTGGTTGCCGGTGCCTGTGGTCAGGTTGACCTTCTCTACTAAGGTCAACTGGCTGACAAAGTCCTTCGCTTTGGCGTAAGCTTCATCCCAGCCAGGACCACCACTCGCCCAAGGCGATGGATACGAGGGAGCGGAGATGTATTGTTGGGCATGTACGCATGACGATGCTGCGGCGAGAAGGTGCAGAAGAGCTAGGTGGAACATTGTAAGACAGCAAAAGGTTCACGAGGGATGCCAAAGACGCTACTGGAGCCTGGAAACTAAAGAACGACATGGTCTCGATGTGTATAGCAAGAGGCGTTCTCATATACAGGCGGAACGCGCTACAAACCATTGCTATGGTGCAACAGCCAAATGACACACATGACTGCTGATTTGCCGTTGCGGGAGAAGTGCCAATTTACCCATTGGAAAACACTGACCGTGGCGGACGAAGAAGTGGTCCTGGCGGCAACCAATCTAAAGAACCTGCGATCAAGAAGTCTATCGGCAATGGAAGAACAAGACGGATAGAGCCGTGCCTGCTTGAGCGAAGGACGCAAGTCAGGCACGGCCTTCGTAAGGTACGAATATATTTGGCGGGCAGATGGAAACAGGATGCCATCGTCAGCACAGCTAGAGACACGCCACTACCCTGGCGATCCGTCGAGGGTCAGTGTGTGAAAATCCTCGAGATGAGTCCTGAGCTTGAGTGCATGTACCCTGATGTTCTCTTGGGAATCAGCCAGTGCCGACTGGCGTGTTATGTTGTGGTGAACGATGGCGGGAAGCGGCCAAGGGTAAGGTTGTCGCTTGGTCGGGTTAGCATCCTTGGCCCGGCTGTCCGGCACCTGCGCCTAGCGGGGCGCGCAGCGCTAGATCGGTATGGCTTACTGCCAGTTCAGGCTTACGGGGACCATGCTACTGGGCTAGGGGCTCAGCCTCCCCGAATGACGTCGCGCCCGCCCCGCCAAAAGGCGTCCTAAGCCCCTCGAGAGCGGGATCCCACGGCCTTGTTGGGCTAACATTGACCAGAGCCCGCCTGTCTTCGAGGTCTGTGAGGCTAACCACACGGAGACAGCTGTGTAAAACCGGCCTCGAGAATCCGTTTTGCCCGTGTCAGAATCATCTGCTTGCATAGTTGCGACCCAGCGTCGCCGCTCCCATCAAATCGCATCGCAGCATATCGCGTCGCAAGGCAGGGCAAGCGCCGGACAAGGCACCATGGCGAGCTTTCTCAGAGGCAAGCAGTCGGGCATGTCGAATGACTTGTCCGCCAACATCCTGCCGGAGCTGTTCGCGCCAGATGACAGATTCCGATATGGCATCAACTCCCAGATTAGGTACCTAGTTCTTGCCGACCGCCCCTGGCCCAGGAAGGATCCAGCTAATAAGAACCGTTTACCAGCTGCATCGCTTACGAGCCCGTTCAGTCCCTCATCGCCATCGGTACGAGAGAGTCAAAGTTTGGAACCGGGAGGATCGAGGTCTACGGCCAGAGCCGAGTGCACAAGTTCCTAGTCCCGCCGCGACCCTGTTCGTTCGCCGACCTGCAGTTCTGCGCCAACCGCTTGGTAAGCTTGGACACCAAGAACGAAATTCTGATATGGAATCTGGATACGGGAGCTCGCGTGAATGGATTCCACGCCTCTGGGGTCGTCACTTGCATACTGACCGACCCCATGCTGGATTGGTGCTTCATCGGCACCGCGAATGGCGAGGTTGTCGCTTACGACTTGGACCGCGAGCGCCTCTCACCCTTGAAACTTCCAAACTTCTGGCTGGAGAGGGACCCGAAAGCAAGAGCCGTTGGCCTGGTGTCGATGCAGCTGCACCCCCGAGACATCGGCAAGCTCATGATAGCGTACACGAACGGTGTAGCTTTCTACTCGTTCAAACAGAATCGAGCCACCCAATTCTTCGAGTATCAAGCTCCGCCGGGCGCACCTGGCGGCAGTGGTATTGCCGTCGACTCCCTGAGAAAGCCAAAGGTCACACACGCTGTCTGGCACCCTACGGGCACCTTCATCGCGACTGCACATGATGATGGAAGCCTGGTTATCTGGGACGCCAGGGACGGGCGAGTCGTCATGGCACGCACGCTATATGAAATGAACATCGACAAGCCCGTTCCAAACGCGGCAACTTCGAGCCCGAAGCATCCCTATCTTCGCATTGCCTGGTGCTGCAAGGAAAACCCCGAGGATTCCGGTCTTCTGATTGCCGGTGGTCAGTCTCTGGACAACCCGGCGAATGGTTTGACATTCATCGAACTAGGCGTGACACCTAATTACCAGACCTCTTCGTGGCAGGTACTCGCAGACTATTGTAAAGGGAGAAAAACCGGCGTCCTCGAGACGCCTCCTGGTGCAGAGGTCATGAATTTCTTCTTGATTCCACGATTCTCGCCACATTTCAATGGAGCTCAGGATCCCATCGCTGTCATCACACTTTTGTCCTCGGGCGAACTTCTCACCATGAGCTTCCCCAGCGGGTACCCCATATCCCCGACCAACCAGCTCCATCCATCTCTCTCATTTGTCCATCCATTCGCCGTCAAGTTTGCTGTAGCCACATTGGAACGCGGGAGATGGCTGGGTATGGTTGAGACACGCAACCAAGGGGACGCCCTTCTGAAAGGTGGCAAAGAGGCGCCGTTACCACACCGACGCTTTGCGGGGCGAAGTATCATTCAGGTTGCCCACGCCGATGGTACTATTCGGATATGGGATGTCGGTCACGGTGATGAAATCGAGAATCCTACCCAGCTGCAAGTCGATGTAGCAAGATCACTGAACAGGTATGACGATATCAACGTCACCACCATGAGCATGGCGTCCAACACAGGAGAGTTTGCGGTCGGCACGCAAGGCGGAGAAGTCATAATCTACCGCTGGGAGGGAAATAGGTTCTTCGGACGTAGCCAGGAGCAACATCTCGATCCAAATCCGGGCGGTCTCACTGACATCAGCACTCGAACGGAACCTTCACTCAAGCAAGGACTTCAGCCATCTCATCTCTACGAGATGATGCAAGGCCCCATCAGCGTGGTCAAGGTGGCCGATGTCGGATTCATCGGCGTTGGCTCAGAGAACGGCTTCTTTAGCATCATTGACATGCGGGGGCCGTCTGTCATACTCCAAGTGTCCATGGTCGACTTCGCAAAGCAGGACAAGCGCTCTTCCTTCCTCCGCGGCAATGCCAATTCGTCCGGTGCCAAGGAATGGCCGGTAATTGTGCAGTTCGGCGTCATGACACTCGAAGGTGACAAGTACTCCAGTATATGCTGTTTCGTCGGTACCAGCCAGGGCAAGGTCATAACCTTTACCCTGCTTCCGTCCGGCAACGGCTACACCGCGAAGGTAGCTGGTGTAACACAGATGAATGATAAGGTTATTGCCATCTGCCCTATTGTTGCCGACACAGGCAAGCCAGCATACGCGACGGGCCATGCGGTTGCAGGCCTTCGGGAGGGCAAGCAGGTGAACGGTCTACTTGTTGCTGGTAAGCTACGATCAAAATGCTGTGCTTTCTTCAGACCCCAAAGCTAATACAACACAGTAACTCAATCGGAAGCACGCATCTTTAAGCCGGCCTCAGCAAAGGGCGCATCCAAGTCTTTCGACGATTACCTCTGTGATGCCGCCGCAGTTACTGAGTTTGATTTGCACGGCATGGCTTTGGTGGGCGTATTTGGCGACCGTATCACACGCGCTTTCTCTCTGCCAGGCCTCAAGGAGATTGGCAGTGCACCTTTGAAGATGATGGATGGCAGCAGAGCCACAGACTCGATTGTTGACGAAGACGGAAATTTGTTCTGCTGGACAGGACCCTCCGAAATTGCCGTGCTGAACGTCTGGGGCGCCGGTCAAGAGATTGAGAACACGGCGGATATCCTCATCAACCCAGAGCTCCGCATACCACCGCGTCCAACAATCTCCAATGTGCAGTGGCTGTCTGGAACGCAATACATTACGCCCACCGACCTTGACCTTCTCATCGGCGGTCCCGACAGGCCCCCTAGCAAGCGTATGATTGCAGCGACTGCTGCTGAGAAACGTGCCGCGGCATCGGGGCAGCTGAGCCCCGGATACCCTCGAACACAGGAGGCAGAGGGATGGGGTGACTACCTCACCAGGTCCTTGAACGAGCGCACGCAGAAGCTCAACCTCATGGGCGACAGTATGGACAGCGCGGCAGAAGCCAGCCAGCGATGGGCTGAGGATGCGTCAAAATGGGCAGGTCAGCAGAAGCGAAAAATGATCTTGGGTGGGCTCACGAGCAAATTCTTGTAGAAATAGCTGCTTTCGTGGGCATCTCGGTAGTTGAGGGGCGAGTGGGATTCATGGTCTCAGATGAGGACAACCTCAACTTTAGGCGTTTAGGTAGCGGATGGCGTTGAGATTCCCGTGGTTCATAGCTCCATATTGTTCATCCAGATGTCTCATTGATATTGATCCGCAGAAGAAGGATTATCTAAACCATGTTGCAATCATTTTGCAAGGGCCCATAGAGATCTCTAAATTCTGATGTCTTCGTTCGAGGCAGGTTGTAACTTCCCTTGCTGGTCCGTTGAATGACCTCTCCACCCCTCTTCCATTTTAGGCTGCAAGCAAGAGCCTGAACTGCAAGACGATTCCATGCTTCGAGTCGCTGTCTCTAGTCAAGGTGTAATACAAAGCTGCAAGCTCGTGTCGAAGCCTGCGCTACGTACTCGAAAGATAAACACTACCGAGGAGGATTTAGAGAGACTTGAATCTCTTCATCGACAATGACACCAGACTAAACAATCAATCTCACCATTGATATGACTCCTATCCAGCCACCAGTGCCGGGGCATCACAGTCACTGAATCATTCAACTATCTCTTCTAAACCCCGGAAGTCGAACCATGCACATGTTTTCAAACTTTCATGAACAGAATTCACGGAGAAAGATTAACGACCATGACACCCCAGCACATCAAGTCAGACGTGAGTTAATCTCTGCTTACTGCAATTTTCTACCACGACCGTGTTGGTTCAGTAAACTGAAAACACGCAGTCTCACGGGAGTTCGGATGCGAACTCTGCCCGGCCACGGAATCCGCAGAGTCGCAGCAAGGCACTGCCAAAGAGCTCCTCCACAGGAAAATGCGAGGCTTCCCCAATTGAGATTAGTGACAGCGATGACGAGCCATGTATCTCGGTTTATCCGCCTAGAACATCAATAAGAGAGCAGGTAGCGGCCCCTCGCCCTGACCTACGTCATGCGAAAAGCAGCAGCGGCCTTGTATCAACCTCAGTGACACCAGCAAAGAGGGAAAGACAGTCTACTACAAGTACTCCGATTCACAAGCGTCAAAAGATATTTACTTCCGACAACGAGACCCCCTGCCCGTCGCCCCATGGCAGTGGTCGGGTCCGTACTCAGAATGGATCTTATTCCTCCCCATACAATTCCATCTCCGTTCTCTCACCACAGCCAGAGATCAAATACAGCAATGATGACGAGATACTACATCTCAAGAAATCGTTGTCCCAAGGTTTGCAACGGAATGCAACCCTGATAAGCGAACTTGCCGCTACAAAGAAAGCTCTTCAAGAGAAGAATGACAAGTTGGCGGATGCGGATAGGTTGGTCAAGGAGCTTAAGCAGAACCTCGCGACTACAAAGGCTTTTCATGACACGGAGCAATCAATGTTCCGAAAGACCAGAGAAGAGAACACCAAGTTCCAAGAGGAGCTCAAAGACATGGTCTGCCAGCGCGAGAAAGCTCGCACGTTGAAGGCGGATCTCGAAGAAGCAAAGGGACTAGTGATTGCCAAAGAAAAACAGATCGAGGAATTTGAGACGGCACAGAGCGCAGATCGCGTCAAGTTCGATGATCTGGGGAGAAAACTTCTCGAGAGCCTCGATCTCGCGAAAAAGCATGAAAACCACAACCGAGAGCTCGAAACGCAGCTGGATCACGCGAAGGACGCCCGAGAAAGCCTGAGGGTGGAGAAAAGCGGCTTGCAACAGGAGGTCGAGCAGCTTAAAAGCCGAGTATCCCAGCTGGAAGCCGACAACGCCGCCATGATGCCAGTTCCAGACGGGGGCATTTTGGAGGAGCTGCGGAGTGAGTTGGCCAGGATTGATAGACAGGAGCAGCAGCAGCTGAAGGCGATCCAAGAGACGCAAAGCCGGGAGCTGAAGTTGATCCAAGAGAGGCAACAGATGATGATGGTGATGGGACCTCCGAGAATACAAGGCTAAATACGGTTTAGAGACGATGTATTGACTATAGCTGCTTCAACAAGATGTGATCATTTCACCTAGCGTTTGTGTTGAAACCATGCCAGCGCTCGAGAATGTGTAGAATCAACTGCCAAATGTCAGAAGTGCGACATTTATGATAGTTCGCCATAATAGGAGAATTGATATTTCGCAACCAGCAGCCATGTAGTCAGCCATGTCGGCTCGTGTCAAGGTGCCAATTTTCCACCTAGATCAGCTTCACCTCTAAATCGCTGCTCTACAGATACCACTAGTTGCACACCCCTGTTCCTCAACCCTGGACATTCAATGGATTCCGAAATCAGGGCAAATTCAAATCAATCGACAGACATTCCCAGTGGCTACTGGCAAGACGGAAGCTTTGCCTACAAAGTTCTATCCCCCCGTCCCCAACACACGCACACTTCTATAATAACGACGAGAGCAAGCATCCGAAGCAATACTATGGCACGCCTTCATGGCTTGATATAAGGCACGGCTGGAACATTTACGTTGGGCACTGCATATTGTTGTTACACTAAATGCGTTGATCGAGGATAGCAGCTGCTGCGAACATCCCGGAACAATCGGAACAATCGGGCATTCCAAGTGGCCTGATGTGCAGTGAGCGGGGGTCCGCTTACTTCGGAACGCTGCTCGGAATTGGTTTCAAGCAACTTAAGCCGACCCGACCCCAACGAAGACGGGGTTATTATTTCAAGATGGACTGGAAACATTGAGGAAGAATGAATGCTTCAGTGGCCAAGTGTGTGAGATGTTGATCAGCGACTTCGCTCTGCCAGGACTCGGTCAGGTGCACATGCCGGAAAGAAGGATGGACACGACGAGGCGCACCACGCCAGCGGGCCATGAGTCGCGTCGCGCTTCACCCCTCGGGCCTCCAGGGCCTACCAATGAGAATACGGTCAACTCTAGAACTCGCATTGTATCACGCAAGCCGACCTCATCTGCCTCAAACCGTAGGTTGGATTCGTGCTACCCCACTTCCCGGTCGAACAGTGGACATTGAGGGGCGCCGGACACTTTGACGGTTTGTGACTATGCCGGCGAGGGAGAGATAACCAGAATATGAGTGGTCATGATGGGTCAGATTGCCCCTCTGGCGTGCGTGTGTTTGATATACGAATCACTTGATTCGAACGAGCCATGTGTATCAGTGGGTGTCTGGCTGTGGACGTCTAGACTGCCCTGCCGAATCCAGGGAGTAGACTGTGGGACGGTGGACCCTGAATGAGGGTCCCGTCTCGTCGGGGGATTTGCCGGCAGAGGGCAGTGGGGTTGTAGGGGGGAAGGGGAACCCTAGAGCCCCTCTCGCAGTGCATCAACAACGGACGGCCATCGTACGTCCGATTCTCGCATCTGAGGTGCGGCGTATGTGCGGCATTGGCTTTGACAAACGTCGATCAGCCTTGCCGAGACAGCGCCAGACGAGAGAATCCCGACGGTCTCCGGATGGGCTCTATGAGGTCATTCCGCACCCACATGAGAGAATGGGGAGATTCCACGCGATTTCAAAGCCTGAGCTCTCCGAGCTCCCCCGCCAGAATGCCGGTGGCCAATGGTGAGCCCGTGATTATTTATAAAGCGGCGGGGCCCTTCGAAACGCGGGGTCCTAGGGTGGTATAAAGTGCGGGGGTGGCTCCCTCAAGGTTCCACCGCGGTCTACTCCATCTAGGTCGACTGTTCTCATGAAGTTGACGAAGTTGACCAGGACGACAGCAATCACACTCATTCAGCGACCCCAGACAAGAAGACAATTCAGCACAACCACAATCATGGCAGAGAGCAAGTGTCCCGTTCATCGCCAAATGAACGTCGGCGGCGGTGGCACCAGGAACAAGGACTGGTGGCCCGAGGCCCTGAAGCTCAACATCCTCCGCCAGCACACAGATGTCACGAACCCCCTCAAGGACTTCGACTATGCCGAGGCCTTCAAGAGCCTAGACTACTTTGCCCTCAAGAAGGATCTCGAGGCCCTCATGACAGACTCCCAGGACTGGTGGCCTGCGGATTTCGGTCACTATGGAGGTCTGTTCATTCGAATGGCCTGGCACAGTGCTGGCACTTACAGGACCTTCGATGGCCGCGGCGGTGGTGGCCAGGTAAGCCCCCCTCCCTTGTGGTATTGAGACCAGAAATAGTGGTGGTTTGGATTTGCCGCTGACGTTTTTTTGCCGCTCAGGGTCAACAACGATTTGCACCCCTTAACAGCTGGCCTGACAATGTCAGTCTGGACAAGGCCCGCCGACTCCTGTGGCCGATTAAGCAGAAGTACGGCAACAAGATCTCGTGGTCTGACCTGATGCTCCTGACTGGAAACGTTGCCCTCGAGTCCATGGGTTTCAAGACATTCGGCTTTGCCGGTGGCCGTCCCGACACTTGGGAGGCCGAGGAGTCGGTCTACTGGGGTGGTGAGACCACCTGGCTGGGCAACGACGTTCGATACGCGTCCGGCTCCGAGGGTCTTGCAGGGGAGGGTGTCCTTGTTGGCGACGAGAAGGCCGCCAAGGATATCCACAGCCGCAAGCTGGAGCAGCCCCTGGGAGCTGCTCACATGGGTTTGATCTATGTCAACCCAGAGGGCCCCGACGGCAACCCTGACCCTGTTGCTGCTGCCAAGGACATTCGCACAACCTTCGGTCGCATGGCCATGAACGACGAAGAGACCGTTGCGCTTATTGCCGGTGGCCACTCTTTTGGAAAGACACATGGTGCTGCTCCCTCTGACAACGTCGGAGCCGAGCCAGAAGGAGCCAGCATTGAGGCACAGGGCTTCGGCTGGGACAACAAGCACGGCTCTGGAAAGGGCCCTGACACCATCACCAGTGGTCTGGAGGTCATCTGGACCAAGACTCCCACCAAGTGGAGCAACAACTACTTCGAGTACCTCTTCAAGTACGAGTGGGAGTTGACCAAGAGCCCGGCTGGTGCGAACCAATGGGTTGCCAAGACTGACGACCTTATCATTCCTGATGCCTACGACTCGAACAAGAAGCACAAGCCCACCATGTTGACGACCGATCTTTCGCTGCGCTTCGATCCCGAGTACGAGAAGATTTCGCGCCGTTTCTTGGAGAACCCCGATCAGTTCGCTGATGCCTTTGGTCGTGCCTGGTTCAAGCTGCTGCACCGTGACCTGGGCCCCAAGTCGCGCTACCTTGGACCCGAGATCCCGAAGGAGGACCTGTTGTGGCAGGACCCTGTTCCTCCCGTCGACCACGAGCTGGTCAACGAGAGCGATATCGCTGCTCTCAAGAAGGAGATCCTGGCCTCCGGTGTTGATGTCTCCAAGCTAGTGTCTACTGCTTGGTCATCCGCGTCCACTTTCCGTGGCAGCGACAAGCGTGGAGGTGCCAACGGTGCCCGCATCCGCCTCGCTCCCCAGAAGGACTGGAAGGTCAACAACCCGGCGCAGCTGACTCAGGTTTTGGGTGCCCTCGAAGGAATTCAGAAGAAATTCAGCAAGAAGATCTCGTTGGCTGATCTGATCGTTCTGGCCGGCTCGGCCGCTGTTGAGAAGGCTGCTAAGGATGCAGGCTACAACGTGACGGTTCCCTTCACACCTGGCCGTACAGATGCCACCCAGGAGCAGACAGACATTGAATCTGTGGGCCACCTGGAGCCATATGCTGATGGTTTCCGCAACTATGGCAAGTCGACATCGCGCGTCAAGGTGGAGAACTTCCTCGTCGACCGTGCGCACCTGTTGACGCTTACTGCTCCCGAGCTTACCGCCGCCATTGGCGGTCTGCGTGTGCTCAACACCAACTACGACGGCTCCTCCCACGGTGTCTTCACCAAGCGCCCAGGACAGCTGACCAACGACTTCTTCGTCAACCTACTCGACATGAGCACTGCATGGAAGGCAACCGACGAGTCCAAGGAGACATTCGAGGGCACTGACCGCAAGACTGGCGCCAAGAAGTGGACTGCCACTCGCGCCGATCTCGTCTTCGGCTCTCACGCCGAGCTGCGTGCCATTGCAGAGGTGTACGGCCAGGCCGACGGAGGCGAGAAGTTCGTCAAGGACTTCGTGGCTGTGTGGACTAAGGTGATGAACGCCGACCGATTCGACATCAAATAGGAACTCGGCTCAACTCCAGCTGCTTTGAAACTGGTGCCGCGACTATGAGATTGGAAGCTTAGGCAAACAGGACGAGAATGGAACTTGACCGGCTGGGGTTGAGGCGCAGGTGGATAGGACAGATTGTCTTTATTAGACAGAATCAGATAATGCCCTCGCTAGTTGCCAAGAATGATTACATTTAAATTGTACCATTATGGATGCCTCACCCTGGCAAATCATTGTGACAAACGTAGAAACGTAACATGAGTCCAAGTTGGAGCATTCTATTCATGGGAAATATGTCAACGCCACATGCATGTCCAGCAAGGCTTGCAATTTGATGTCAGCACTAAATGCGACTCCAAACTTCTATTTAGCACAATTCTGGCATATTCCACGGAAAATTCACCCTGGCACCATTGTTTGACTTGAGTGGAGGAGTTTGTGGCATGGAACTAAGGTTGTATCACGCATGACAATTGTTGGATCCCTTACCAAATGAAGAGAATGGTGGCAGTCATGACCAATCGGCGAGTTTGTGGGACAACTTATGTGTATGTAGAGTTGTTGATGGGCCCAATTTAGCATATCAAGAAACACCATTAGGGGCAAAGGTCACCGTCCGTGGTCTCTATACAGTCCTCTCGTGTGACGCAAGAGTCTGGAACGACGGAATCAGTCTCGGTTTCGATGCTGTATCTCACCATTCTGAGAAGGTGGACGTGGAGCAGTACCGACAAAGTCATAAGCGGGCTTCCGCAGACTCTTTCACATCGCTAATGCGCATAACCCGCAATTATTTGGTCTACTTTGGCCAATTCCGTCAGTGGTATGTTGGCCGCGAACTCGAGGAAGGAAGGTTGTAGCTCTGTGGTGAACAGTTTGTCTTTTGCCCTTTTGGAAGGCAGACAAAATCAAACAGTGGCTCGACTAAACCCTGATGTCTCGTCACAGTAACATACACCAGAATATGCCGGTGCTAGGACATGTAGCTCAATGGACACTTGCTGGCGTCCAAATACAAATGCACGAACAAGTTGAGAACTTGCTTGCGTGTGTTTATATGGCGTCCCAAACACGATGCTTGGTTCAAGGAAACTGTCACGGTAGTGCATTAGGTTTACAGAAGGTCCGGTGAGACACCGGACAGTGTCCGCCAAATGACCCTCATCCTGTCCCTATCCCTTGATAGGGGACAAGATTCAGTCTTCCTATGAATTGAACCATACATTGGACTTTTGATTATACCTGACCTCACAATCCCTCCGACAGAAACGTATTAGACCCAGGTGAGGTTCACCAACGCCCTTGTTCAACAACCTAGAACTATTGGCATCTTCTTTTTTCCACATGCGGAGCGCCACCCAGTATATCTTCGAATTCAACGAGCCACGATACTGGTAGTTGAAGCAGTCGAAAATGCATCAGCCCTTTTCAGAAAGAACTTGAATTGCCTCTACTCCAGAGACTCTTCCAATACAGATACTAGAGCATGTCGTTCTACAGTAGTAGGCCGAAATGAGCATCATACGTGGCTGTTCATAACTCTCAGTAGTTCAAGTGCCATCGGTAGACATAGGCGGAAAGCGGACTAGTCTTCCCATGTCATAGTACCATCGGTGTGGCAGCAAAACATTTCTAGTTCTGACGATGGACTTCGGCGCGGTATGTCCCCTCAGCTCGCTCTGATCGACAAGTGTTTGCATGATTGCTGCAGTCACCTGCTCGTGTAAACACACATGGTGGTAAATCACCAAAGCCCAACACGTTCGTAGCAATCCTTGAATGCCCGAGAGCATTGAAACCTCACACCTTGTTATGATACAGCAAATCACATCATGCGGTCTATCAAAAGACTTACTAGTTCGCTCTTAGCACGGGCGACTAAAATAGTCCAGGCATTTGAAACAATAGAAAACAATAGGACTGGGGGATTCGTGGTGGGGGACACTCGATTTCCACATCTATAAATATCCCCAGGTGAATTTCTTCGTCCACAGAATTTTCATTCACCACACACACTCCTCACTTCCTCCTCTTGCAATCGCAATTCGCATTCAAATCCCCTTCACATCAAAACTTCAGGACTTCGAACAGCAGTGATCCCACAGTCATCATGGCAGTCACAGCTCGCGCCATCTACCTTACTTTCATCGCGACGGCATGGCTCTCCACCATCGTCGTCTACAGCTACTTCGCGTCCGTGGTGAATAACGAGCTCGAGCCCCACTTCAAGCATCAGGGCCAGCATGACGATGCTGAAAACAGCTATCTCGTATACATCTTCTTCGTCTTTGGCGCGGTCTGGGCTGGGCTCAACCTACCAGCCTCGGTTTTGGCAGCGGTCCTCGCGTGGTTCAATGCGACGTGGCGTCATGACCATGTGAGTTTCTGTACCAACCTCTACCTCTTTAGCACATCGCTTGCGATCGTGATCTGCTCTGTTCTGGTGGCCAAAGCCACCTGGACTTGGTGGCACGAGCTTGAGGCCCAGGAATTCCTTCATCTCGCCCAGCACTGCAAGGTCATGTCGATTTAGATGATCGTAAACCTGTCACTGGGAGGGCTCGCCTTGTTTCAGCTCGTGTTCCTCTGCTGTTTCTGCGGCATCGCTTGCCTCACGAGGCTCTTGAATGGCAGCGGCGCCTCACAGAAGGACGCCGAGCACGAGCTCGGAACCATTAACAAGCGAGATGGTTCAGAGAGATCCAGCAGTCAATCTGGACAACGAACGCCGAGTACCAACTAAGCGAGGCTGACGACGAAATAACAAGAAGACCACCAAAACCCTTGTGTAGGCACTCCGTAATGAGTTTAATTCTTCGATCCATCCTGGCTGACATACACTCGATAGGCACCACTAAATCGCACTCGATCACGGCTTCGCCATCAACAAGAACGGTTGACGCAAGTTGTCCAAGGGTATACGCTTCATTCGTCGTCGCAAAGAGCTTTCAGTGGCTATCATCTGGCGATGTATTGGGGACTCAGTAGGATCTTGGGCAGATGGATAGTTTCCATATTTTGATACTTGAGACTTCGATGTGAGAGGGCAAAAATCGAGGACATTTTCGTCTGCAGTGATGATGGGCTTTTCCCTTACCGCATAGGTTTAGCTCTCTTAAAATGTGATGGAGAGTCCCAAGTGAAGTAAATATGGGAATCGCGACAGATCAAAACACTGCTGTCTCGCTCGAAGGTCGGACTTCGCATGTCTCTGCGAACAGCTACTACATTAGGTATCACAACCCCCGAGCTTCCCAGTGAATACATCTACATTGATGTTGTTTGAAATGCTGAATGTCAGAATGATGGCTGAATCCTCCCACACGTCTTACCGGTAGAAGTTTTTGAACTTGAAGATGATGATAACCAGCTCTCGCCATCCTAATCTCACGTTTACTGGAAATGAGAAGCCTTCCCCTACGAAATGCTCCATCACACGTTTTGTAGCCTGTCAGGCTGGTTGTCACGTCATCGGCGCGTACATGTCCTTCGCTAACCCCATCAACCTCGCGCAGCGTTGCGATCCCCAAATCATCTACCATTATTCTCGCTCTTTCCTCCCTGATTTGTGTCCAAGAACGAAGGGATGCTCAAAATTGTCTGTACAGAGTCAACCCAGACAACCGCCACACCCTAAACCTAAAAAGGTTGCCCACCATCTGGATGCGCTGCGAGTCAGCACCATCATCGGAAACATCCTCCTGCCGTTGCCCATCTTGCAATATGGACAGGTCGCAGATTCTCACACATTATCTGAAGATGTTCTGAGGATTTTGAATTGCCGCTCAAGTGTTGGAAAACAGGCGTTGCCCCTCCCCGGCGGCGAAGGCACTTCTTGACCAGTGCTTTCATGGGGACATCACCTCCGCCACTCGTTTGATCGGACAGACGAACTTCTGGGCCACAAGATGAAGCCACTGAAGAAGCCGCTCCGCCGTCTTCGCGCGGCGCTGCACTCGCGTGAGAGCAAAGACAAAGACAAGGCCGTCGTAACCAACGCAGGGAAACGCTTCACAAGGCCGGAGAAGCACGCTGCAGCAGTCCAAAAGCTGCTGCGACAGGAAATTTGTTCATTGAATGATTTAATTGAAGTCCGCGACGATTACGCCTTCGTCGCGTTTGACGCGGAGTTTCTGCAGGAGACCGACACAGCCACCGAGATAGGAGTCGCTCTTCTTCCTCGTCTCAAGCCACTGTCAATATCGAAACAGCCCGGCCAAGACCGTTTGACACTTGATCAGTTTGCTGACTGTTTTGATGTGCAGTCGCATTCGATGAAGATCAAGTCGCGATACTTCCAAAGAGTGCAACAGGTTGCAGAGCTACCAAGGGGCTCAGCCAGGGAGCCGTTCTGGTTCGGTATCGAAAAATACGTGGCCCTCGGTATACTGAAGAAACAAATATACCAGACCATCGACCAATATCAGGATTCCGTTCCCGACAAGAAACTTGTTCTCATTGGATATGATATGACAAGAGACATGGAGGTCATCATGGCGGAATTCCCGGGCCTCGCGCGCTACTTTTCCAAGTGGCTAGATGTACGCACACTGTTCAAGTCAACGGCAGAGAATTTGATCCCTCACACGACACCTGGTGTCAAACTTACCCTTCACCTATTTGATTACGATCAAACGGCATCTCAAAGACTCGGACTCCTGAAGCGCGACAATTCTCGGAGCATTTACAGATGGAAGTACGACAATGCTGGCAACGATGCTGTCCGTACTCTGGCATTAATACACGGCTTGCTCCTTCCGGAGAATCTTGACAAACTGCGATTCAGAATGCTGAGGCCGGAGGGCATATATATGGTGCCAGGCGAATCTTGGCCTGACTGGAGCCGTCACTCCCATGTGGCCAGAATTTCAGCCAATCATATCCCCCACGCGGACAGCACCTCCGTGTGGACATTACAACTCTTCGAAATAGCACAGGCCGTTGAGAAACATGGAGCTGTGGCTGTCGGTCGGTTTCAGGATGAAAACACGAAGCCCGGCACTAATGTCAGCTTCTGGGCTGCTTTCAAAGATCTTGGTTCCCTTCAACGTTTCATTCAGGAGAAGGATAGCCTCTGTAATACTATGGGACAAACGATCCAAATAACAGAAATGCCATCTCCTCAATACGGACACCAGCATCTACCTGACTCAGGAGTCAGCACACAGCCTGGGGTGGGATTCCTCCCACGATACATGGACGCGTCCGAGAATGATCAAGCTTGCTTACCATCGCCGCCTATGTCCATACCGCTCATATCCCCAGTACCTCTGGAGCTCCCGAGAGGCCCGACTCACAGTCCAATTAGATTCCAACCTGCGCGTACGGCGAAATGCAGAAGCAATAGGGCCAGGGTGGCGAAAAGGCTAGTAATTGCCGCACAAAATGATATGGATGGCGCGACCACTGTTATTCAAGTCTTGGGTCTTGGCAATAACATCAAGACTGGTCATCTTCATGAGGCTTTCAGAGATTGTGAGGGATACATCAGTGCAATCATTTCTGGACTCACCAAGAATCTTAGACCTCGAGGTTATGTAACCTTCAAAGACATACCGTCAAGCAGGGCGGCCTATCTGCAGATGAGATATCTGACATTGAGTTTTGAACCTAACCCAAACATTGTCGAACTCACTTACGTCAATCCTTCGAAAGTTCCTCCCCAGAGCAAGGCCAAGGTCAAGAGAAAGCCGGCCATTAGCGATGTCAGCGAACTACCAAGCCACCGAGCGAACTCAGACTTGAGCCCCTCGTACGAATGTAATGGCCTATTGCCACCGATTGAAGCAGAAAGCAGAGAGCGAGCGCCTGAACACAGTCCAGACGGCAGCCTCCAGCTTGCAATTCGAACGAAAGTAAATGATCTGCGAAGAACAATCCAGTATCCAGTACCACAGATCACAACTCAACATGCCGAGAACGCTAACCACCCAACTCAATACGACGAAGATGATTCTTTAAACGAGGTTATGGGCGAGATAGGTGCGAAACAGCATAAGGACAAGTTTTCTTTGGCTGGTAAATACCAGCGCTGCTCTTCCTTGCCAGCAGCTGACCACCAACTCCTGATACCAAGATCATGGTCAGCACCCTTACGACAAGACTCGGTCAGAATCGGATTGAGTTTGAGCTTTGGACGCATATCACCTAGCGTTCGATCACGGCTTGCCTCCACTTTATTAGACAAGGGTGCATGCAATGAAGATCTTACAGAGGCACATAATCACGTGCGCCTTGGTAGCAAAGAATTGGATGAAGTTGACTGACTTCTTGTGCAAAAATCCAGGGATCATGAGGAGGTCAGTGCTCGTCGATCTGAGACGTGACTGACGACTTGTTTTCTTGTCTCTCTGCTGGAATGGAACTCATGATTACAACACGCATGAATTAGACAACTCAAAAGACAAAATGAATGCTACGATTACTCGAATCACAGTCCCACTGGGTTACATCGTCGGATACTACTATTGGGTCTCATGAATGTCCCTTAGGATGGGGTGGCAGTTGGCAAGTTGACCTCGGCAAAGATCGAGCTGGTAAGCCGACCTGTTATACAGCTTGTACGACCGTATCCGCCCTGGCGGTCATAGTATGGCATTAAAGTGGCTCAACCGTCTGGGCAGCCTCTCAACAGAGCATACTATGGTAATGCCGAGTTACCGCTGGCTCGGAACTCATTTGTCGGAGGCACAATGATCTATCCACGTGATCTAATCGTCATGACTGTTCTCAACGCACCCTGTCCGGGGGGGCCCTGTTGTGTTGGCAAATAAAGTTTTCCCCTAACTTAGTGTACAGAGACTGAATCATGGATCACGTGGCTGGGGTATCATACAACCATTACGTGGCGAACACTCACAGATCTGTATAGCCTCAAAAGTCTGTAAAACTTTGATATGAGCAGCTTGCTCTTCTTGTCTTTTAATTTCCAAGGGTCGATTTCGAATTATATGCCACTTGAGATAATGATGTATCTTCCTCTTCTGCTGCAGGGTTGCGCAAGAACGAAGCTGCTTCAACTCAAAACATGTTTGATAGGCCTAGTACGATAGAGTTTTCAGATTCCTACATATCTTTCTTTTTGCCGTAGTTCTCCCAGCACGCGACAGTAAATCCAAGCTTCGAATGAGGTTCTTCCACCGCCATAAGATCGCGGAGACATTCCCACTTGCCATGTCAGCCACGCCACCATCTTCCCAAAGTCAGGACTGGTTTTATTCCCGCTGAGTGAGGCAAATCGCGAATATGAAACCTAGCAACGACGGTTTTAGACCCAACCGGAATACTCGTGCCGTAGGACAATTTTCTCATTACGTGTATAATATGGGTATTGACGACAAACATAGTCCATTTAGGTAATGTCGTCATATGCCCAATCTCCATCAGTATGGAGAGGATTGGGACGACCTGCCAAATTTGATCATGTGCATGTCCTTGAATCGATGGGCAAACATTTTTCTAATACGCCACTGCCACTCGCACAGAGGAGCTTACTAGGTGCACCAAAGGCTTGCATGACTCATTGATTGACCGCAATATAGAGTTTAATCGCGATTCAGGTATTGCTTGACATCTGCAGGTAGCCGTTTCTACTGTTTCGATAGGCCTTCTAGTCAGGAACAGTCGGCTTGGCACAAGTCACGCCTGGTGGCAACTCGTCACGAGCGTAGGCAGGTCCTCTCCCCCCTCCGTACTGATTGGACGGAAAAGTTGCAAGATGGCGCTACGAGGCACCTGACTGCAAGATCTAGGCATGGAGACTAGAGACTCTGGTTAAGTACTAATGTAGGCACAGAGTTTAAAAAGCGCGATTTTCGCATCCTCGTTGCCTGCATGGGCGGGTTTAGCCACTGCCCCTTGCATCACCGGAAAAAGATTGCAATTCGGACCGCAAAATCCTGCAGGTTCTCGCAAGGGCAAGCTGCATCGAGACGCGCGTGCAGCCTGTATAGCGGAGTCTGATTCATCTAGCTCCCGTTCCCACGACTCAACCAAACGGTTTAGAGGGTCTTTCTGGGGCCTCAGTATGTAATTGACATGGCTGCTGCTGGCCAGGACACTACGGTCGCTCTTGACTCAACGCTCTAGATTTACATAACTATTTCGCGCAGAAAGCGGTTGTGTAGTGGCACATGCCCTATCAGAAGCTAGCTTGACAGGTCAGATAGGTCGGCTGAGAGTCCGATCTTGACGCTGCGATGCCTACCAGACACTGAATCAAGGTACAGACTTCCCCATGTTCTGGAGTTTCGGCCCACCATAGGTATACAAGTGGGACTCTTGAGAGGACATCTCTGCTGAGCTGACAGCTTGTACGGAGGCCCCGAGTATGCCCCTACTATACCCCCATCCCCACCAGGCCTGAATCATCTGGACTGCGCGATACCGCAAGATGGAGGCCGCAGGCGGTATCTTCATCGTGTTGCATGGCGAGTCGTGAGTGACTGCGGTGCCTGTATGCTCTCATTCCTTCTTGCCTCATCTCGACCTATAAAGTCGATGGCCTTCCTCCCATTCTATCCCCTCGTTTGTTCATCATCAATCAACACCATTCCTTCCATTCACTTCAAGAGGCTGGGTCCTTCTTTTGTTACTATCTTCACTTCACTATACGTGTAGAGAATTCCTTCCTTTCAAACCAAGAGAAACTTTCATTCGATCTCTTGCAGGTTATACTACATTAGCTTTCGCTATTTCTCAAGTTACTATAACCAAACAATCTTTCAAGATGTTGCACTCAACCATCGCCGTCGTCGCTGGCTGCTTCGCCATGGCCAACGGACACATCCTCATGACCTCGCCTAAGCCTTTCGACTACTTCGCCGGCTCCAACAGTGGCGGCGCAATCAACCGTCCCCTTGAGTCTAGCGGCGCTGACTTTCCTTGCCGCCGCACCGATCAGGCTTTCAGTGGTCCTGCCAACACATACCCCCAGGGCTCCAAGCAGAAGCTCAGCTTCCAGGGTTCGGCCGTTCACGGTGGAGGCTCGTGCCAGGTGTCGATCACATACGATACCCAGCCATCCAAGAGCAGCAAATTCAAGGTCATCCACACGATCCAAGGTGGTTGCCCCGCTCGTGACACCAACGGCAACCTTGTGGGTACCGCCGAGACCCCGAACCCCAATGCATACGACTTCACGATCCCCTCAGACCTCCCCGCCGGTAAGGGTACCATCGCATGGAGCTGGATGAACAGAATCGGCAACCGAGAGTTCTACATGAACTGCGGCTCCGTCGAGATCACCGGAGATGGCGGCAACAAGGCTGCATTCGATGCTCTGCCCGATCTTTTCGTTGCCAACATTGCCGGCCAGGGTGATTGCACGACCGACAGCATGAACGACAAGGACCCTTGGATCCCTGATGCTGGTACGTCTGTCGAGGTCAACAAGGGCTCGTGGGGTTACGGCAACTTCACCTGCGATGCCGCCGCCTAAATCGGCCCACTAGTTCCGACCACTACTATCCGGCAGCGATTAGGGAGTGCGGACCCATCACTATCTTTTTTGCACACCAACTGGTGTATTTGGGGTGTTCCTTTGGCAACACGAAGTCACAGAAGAAGTGCGACGATGAGTCGCCAGAGTCATACCCACTGGGAGAGGAGTGCGCAGCTGCTGGCAGCTGCGACCCACATTCGCTGGAAACCCGAGCTCGTGGTTCATACCCGAAGCAGTTAGATATCTTAGACGAAAACTTACATCCATTTTGCCTCTGAAATAACGCAGCACTGTCTTATGAATTGTGACACCGTGATATTTTGGAAACAGGGGGGTTGGCGACTGCAATCGCAGAAACAGATAAGCTAGACATTTTACTAGCTGGAGCTACGCATAAGCCGGTGATTTTCTTGAAGCCCTATATGCGATCCTCTGACCCGTGTGCGGTAGCGAACCGATAAAACCCAGTCCGGGATCACATCGGCCCCCATGTCGTTCTTAACGGCAGAAAACCAATTTGCAACTAATTCGAGCTTGACAAGCATCTTGTTCACCATGATAACGTCATATCAGAAAATCTAAAGATGAAGACGGACACATTCTAGTGATGGGTGTGATTCCCTACAGGAGTTTGCACGGCTCCTAACGTGGGGATAATTATCCGTACGGTGAATCCTCTTGGGTTTGTGCTAGACGCCGGAAAGAGTATCAATCATGAATAACAATGCATCCCTTCAATTTTCTCCAAAATGACCGAAGTTGGATTGCGCCGATATTTGGCCATCGTGGAAAGGGTAGCAGATCATTGCTGGAAGGATTTCCCTGAAGGATGTAGAGTGATATGAGAATCCATCACCGGGCTAGATACTGTAGACATGTAACCAACTGAAAAAGATCAACACAAACCCTTCAATGTGCAAAGATTTCAGCCACGTCACCTACGTAATGACGGATTTCACAACTATTCCTACCGAGAAAGCCCATTGGCAATGGCGGAAGATGCTGTTGGTGTGGCAATCGTCAGGAATATGATATGTTGTACTGCGCCAAGCCTCGCAACCAACATTTGCCACAGCCCGTCCCGCCCGTTCAATGACCTGATCTATCATAAGGTATCCGTATTGTGACTGCGCAGTACGAAACTTCGTGGGGGACGTGGGACGGATTCTAGTGAGTAACCTAAAATAGTACACGCTTCATGACGCACAATTTCCCCTTTGATATAAATCTGAAGCCTTGCTGTGTCTTGGGGTTTAGGGACCCGGCTGAATTCCCTCCACATTCGCTTTAATGAGGATCTGGGTCCTCCCTGAGGAATGAAATGACACGATACTGTGTATTGTAGATTTCGTGTAGCCGTGTTCCGTGGCGTTGAAGAAAATGTCATGAAAATCCAAAAATGGCAAGCCATGTGGAAATTCTAAGGGAGACGATACTATAAAGGCCAAACTGGCTGTGGTATTTAGATGAGACTTGAGGTCCTCATTTAGCATCATCCTGGGTCATTGATTCATCACTATTTACTCAACCATCTGACATCTCGGAAACGCATCCATGAAACTATCATACTCTTTACTGCCTTGTTCTATGGGACTCATGGCAGCTGCCAGGTCCCTGGATACTCGCACATCTCTCGAAATAGGACAACGACAGCCCGACTCCCAAACGATTGCTTCATACAGCATAACTGGTCATTGCTTTGCGTATGTTGATGAAAACAACAAGCCTACAGACGGCAATGATGAGAAGTCTGCAGCACCATGCAAGGAATATTGTTCAACTCGAGGTGATGGCACAAATGGGGTAAGTGAATGTACACCCGGGGTATACTTGTTCTCAAATGGCAATACTTGGAATGTAGTATCTAGCCGCCAATCGCTTTCATTAGACACCCCGCTAATCTGATTTACTTGATAGTGCAGTCTGTTTATACCAAAAGGGCAGAAGATAGATCCTCATTTTATTTACAAAGATGACGATGGAAAGCGCTGGACACCTGCGAAATGCGTTTGCGAATGCCCGTTTTGCAAAGAACTTGCGGAAACAATCGCTGAAGGCTTACAGAAGCTGGACAACATCATCTGCGCCGCAATGGTCTCAGCTTTCACTACCATCGTGGAAACGGGGATTCAGTTCGTTCCTGGCGGTCAAACCTCACTTGCTCTACGCGCTGCCATCTCAGGGGCAAAGTCGTTTACGGAGAATGGGTTGAATGCCGCGTCGTTCTTTGGAGACTGGGTCGGGAAGGCCTGCGGTGTTGACAACTGGAATTTCGATCTTACGTCAGTTTACGACCCTCTGGTCAATGCACCGGATTCTATGGGAACCAGCACTGGGTGTAAGAAAAGGAACAAGGCAGATTGCAAGAAGCTTGATCCTAAACCAGATCCCACAACCAAAGCCAAAGACACTCCCCCCAAAACAACCCAAAATCCCCAAAAGTCGTCTCAACAATCGACCACAAGTACAGAATCCAGCAGCAGTACGAAGCGTAGCCAGACTACAGTAATGACGTCAAGCACAACTAGTAGCAGTTCGACCGCTAGCGAGACAACGGAAGCCAATACTGATACGAAGCCCAGCCAAACAACAGAGGCTTGCAATAATACGGATCCTAGCCAAACAACGGATGGTAGCAATGATGAGGAGCCAACCCAGACAGCCGGAAGTAGCAATGATGTGGAGTCCAGCCAAACGACCCTTATCACGTCAGGCACCATTAGCAGCAGTATGCTTTCTGGGGAGACCGCTCGCGCGACGGAGTAGGTAAATGCGGTACTGGAGCCGTGAATTTCAAGGAGGCTCACGTTGTAGTAGCTAGTTTGCTTTCTTTAGGAGGAACAATTAGTATGCCATGGTGTCAGTCAAAAGTTCGTAGGCTTATTTGCCAGGAGGTACGGTTCTTTCCTGCCCCATTTAAAGAAAGCTCTTCAACCTTGTTTTGATGAACGTGATTACCGTCGGTGAATCTCGGATGCGACGCCAGACTGCTGCAGGAAACAGACTGGTCACTTTCAATGGATCTCCACCTCCGGTTCTGAGAATTATCGCGCGATACATCCTTTAGAGCTTCCGTGATTCGACATTTGTATCTCGTGGTATTGCGATCAGGTGATTCTGCAACCAGGCTCCATATTCCATATATTTTAGACTAGGCCGTAGATATATCAGACTTTCACATATAAGCCTAGATCTTACCTTCGTCTCTGATGCTCCGAACTTCGAAGTTGCATCGCGAACAGGGTAGGTATTTCCAGAAATTGACTAGGTCAGCGAGGATGTTCATACCTGTACCGATTGAATGCAGGAAACTTGGAGTAACTTTGGGCGATGGCGGCGTTGGCTAAGCTTCGGATGACCACTCAAGAACCCTGTCCATAGGGCTTCCTTGACGATACAAGCTTTTTTCCTGCTTACGCCCCCAAAAACGAACCATGCCGACATATCAAAACATCGTTCCGAATTCCAACCCCAGCAACGGCTGGCCTCCAGGTCCCCACATTTGGCTTCCGGCTTGACGCATTATGGAGGAGCAAAAATGTCGCTGCCTGGAGTCGAGCTGGAGCCTACGACTTTGAGTAATCGATAGTAGGCTCTCAAGTACGAACATACCTCTATTGCGCATCGTACCGCTCGGTCTTTTCGTCCATTGCCGATGTTAGTTTGCTGTAGGCCCCATGGTCACCAGGCTACATTCGACAGCCTGCAGACAGATCAGTGAACCCATCGTATCTCGCATTTTGTTGCAACAGTAGAGAATAGGCAATAGCTTACAGCGGCCCAACAAGACAGACGCGACCCACAACGCTTGAGCGGTGTGATACTGCAGTGTGCCAAACACAATCAGATCCATCGAACTCGTTGTCGCCGCAGCAAGGCGTTTTATGCATCTGCCTAGACCGGGCTTTGTCCTGAGGGCGTCAAGTTGCAATGATGTTCCTCCAAATCAGTAAGGGTAGCATGCAAGACTACGCGCAACCCGCAACGTCATTGGGTCTATGTAACAGTAACCATACCGCAAGGATTGAGTTTTGGTTGTAGTATGGGCATCTGGCCGACACGGGTTGTTGTAAGACGCCAGCCATAATGGTTGGCCACTAGATACATGGAGGTGAGACACGTAAACTCATTTATGTCGCCATGGTTCCTTCTTCGTAGCTAGATAATGGTTATTCTGCCTCCACTGAAAGAATCTTTTCTTCAAAGTCTTCGATATCACTTGCGAATTAGCTTCCCCTCTTCACTCACTGACATGGCATGCCCATCTCCGGATAGCCCTCCCACATACGAGCCCAGTAATGAAGATTCTCCACCCGCATACGATGGCGAAGCCATCGGTACGATCTTCCCTGCCCAATTCGCTATCTACCGTAAAACTGGCCTCTTGCGTCCCGTTACGGCCGTTCTAGCCGCTCACAAGTCCACGCCGCTGCATCATATATCGTTGGGAGTTGGGTTATTGGACGCAGGTTTACCGGATGTTGCTCTACACGCCAATGCCAACGAAGGCAGTTCAATCATAGCACGTTCGAAGTTAGATTCTTCAGATGATAGCCACTCCGTGCAGTTGACGGACTTTGGCTCGCCAATTTCTGAAGATATAAAGCTCCGCTCGCGCAGTTCTTCCCGCAAATACGTCTTCACTATAGATTGTGAGGGCCCCGGAATGAAGGCAAATAGTACACAAGGGTTTGAGTGGCGCCCAAGCCGGGGCCAAGAAGTTCGTGGACTAGGATTGAGAGACTATGGATGGAAACTTGTTTGGCTTGAAGATCCCACCAACAACCTAGTCGATCACGGTACGAGCCTGGGTGTTGTGGCTGTTTGGTCTCGGTGCAGCAGTGCCAATAGTAAGAAGATGATGGGTTTCAGGTTTCTGGGCAAGGGCAGTACAGGTGATTTCGGCAAACGTTGGGAGGTGATGGCTGTCGTCACAGCTCTGGCAATCTGGCACACCGAGATTACGGATTGATTATGTTTTGCCTGATCCAACATGTGTTTTTCTTGAGTAGGGTGTTATTTTTCTTTGCGGTCGAAATCTACTTGCACTCCAGCATGGTTCTTACACTCGTATAAACTGGCACCCCCCGTATATGACTTCAGTGAGAAGGAAACGCCTCGTTATGGAAATATCGAAAGCTTGACGTTCAAGTTAGGCTCACCGCCAAGATTTCTGACGGTTTCCGTGATGAGCTGCGATAATGATATGATTCAATGCGGGATGTCATCTGCTTGTGCTTCAGCGTTCTGTATCTCCGCAAGTGCTATTTATCCATATCCCAGAAAATCCTCGCTTATGGTCCACATGTCGGTATGTCACAAACCTCAGCGAGCAATGCCAGGGTATTCTGAAGAGCAATGTGAGCTTTCGGACAAATCAAGTGGACTTGGGTTGTACTCCAAAGTAAACACAATTCCAGGAACGATTTGCAGGCCAATGGCTCGTCCAGGTGAGACGCGGGTGTGTTCAAGGTACGGGCTCAACCGATCGGATACACGATAGGGCGCATATTGTGTGCGTGGGAGCATTTACCAATCCCATGGGTAGGTAGCCTACCGCAAATCCCACCACGAATCGTACCTCTTCAACATGTTCGCATCATTATATCCAAAGCGTTACATTTACGCAGTGGGCAGTTGGCAACACCAACAAGCAGTAGACAGGCGAGACAGGGGTCATGTCGTAGTCAGCACCGTGGCCGGCCCCCGACTAGCCTTAACGCCGGCCAGGCGCCTGAGCCCGGGTTGTTAGGTACCTGAGTGACCCACTAACTTGAGGGTTTTCAATAGACGCTTGACCTAGCGCTGCTCTTGTCAGCATTCTCCACTAACAGGCAATTCGGTCTCAGCGACATCTCCAAACCTTCCGACGACTTATATACGTCCCTTGCGCGCGCGACTTTGCTTTGCGGCAAGTTCACGTGTCATGTTACGATGCGCGGAACACTTCGTAGGTCATGTAATGCCTGCGCAAAGGCCAAGCACAGTTGCGACCTCCGCACGCCCAGATGCACACGTTGCGTCAAGAGGAAGTCCAGCTGCGTCTACGCCAACCAGCCACTGAGTGCTTCTTCACTGGAATTCCTGCCCGCGCAGGATACAAAACGAAGCTCGCCTGAATCTCTGGCCACGGAGTCTTCGGTGGGATTCTTGGAGCCAGCCAATTCGTGTTTCGACCCATTTGATTCGTACCCGCCGACGCGGCTTCCTCGGGTTCATGTGCAGCGCCTTATTCAGCATTGTGATCAAGCCCTTCCAGCCTGACAATTACATAAATGGTTGCTAACTCTTTAGTCTTGGCTCATATATCATTCCAATATTACCCCCTGGACCTTGATACGAGATCAAATCCCTTCGTTGTCTCGTGGTGGCCCCGGGCACTTGCGGACCCAGCCTTGTTCCACGTTTCACTACAGACCGCGTCCCTTGATTTGGAGCTACACGCAGGCAAGGGATTTCCGACTTCAGAGCTCTTAATGGTTGATTCCGTGACTCTGGTAAGGCGGAAAGTTGAGAATTCTTCGTTGGCGGTTGAGACGGAGACTCTTAATTCCGTCGTCACTCTTGCCGCGATTGAGGTAAGGCTGCCCGTTTCGTATCTGTTAGTAGGATACTAATGGGCAAACATGGATAGTATGGCAAGGGAAACATGACAGTGAGTCGATTACACATCGATGGCGTCAAGCGGATGGTTGAGGCCAGAGGCGGCATCGACCTCGTCAAGCTTGAGAGCCCGCTCACGGCTAGAATGGTATCATGGCAAGTTACATACGCATTGCCAATATGAAAGCTTCTACTAACTGGTATATCCCAGGGTCTCGATGATAGTAACGGGTGTTCCACAGTTCCCAACAAAGGATGATTCAGGTTCAGGGGACGGCATCAGCCCCATCCGACAGTGGCAACTGGAATTGGGAGGCTCAGTCTCAGAACGAGAAGTCTTGGGTGATCTGGATATAGATCCTGCCCTTCGCAACATTCTGATTCGCCTCCGTGCCATATTTCACCAAACGCACCAGCCAAGTTTGACGACCACAGAACTGCACGATCTGACGTGTTTCGTTATGCATAGACTGTTGATGCTGCCCGCATTTTCACCACCGGACGCGAGGCGTTCAGCTACTTCGGAATGCCTGCGACATGCCTTGGCATTGTACATGTTGACTATTCATGGGCCAACATACTATTCACACGCGGATCTGGCAAAAAACATTACACTTCAGCTGAAGAGCTACCTTGAAACGCCGAACCTACTAAACGACATGTATGCGCCCTTAAGGATATGGATTCTCACCGTGGCTATCATGGCAAATACAGGGACACCATATCGTCAGTGGTTCATGGCACAAGCTTGTGTGGCCCTGGAGGCGGTTCACGGTTTGCATACTTGGGAAGACATTCACGATTGCCTTAAGGGCGTTTTGTGGGTCCACTCTCACCAAACAGAACTCTTCAAGCGAAAGTGGGAGGACATTCTGAAGATTATGACTGGTTGAAACCCGGTGGCTACGTATCCCACTTCAAAATCGAACACTCGGGAGCGACCCCTGGCCCAGCGGATCAACCGGACACTGGTTTACGCCGACGGCGACTTATACGGTCTGCTGGTACCTTATTCCCGCCCCACCTAGCAGGCTATGTCGGCTTCCCAAACGGCTCAATGGGGTGGCAAGAAGGCCACGCCATGATATTTGGTGATTCAACAGATTGAGGGGCATCCACAGGTATTGAAAGTAGACCCGGGTTGGGTGAATGAAACACGCTCTTTGCAGCTGCAGAACGGCCATTCCTTCGCGATCAGAACTAAAGAGAACTAGACTCCGCAATGAAATGCGAGACGTCCTCATTTAATCCTGGTAACGCCTGACATAGCGCGCCAAGATATGCACACTCGATCGAATCCCTGTCGACCATCGGAGTCTAGTACAAATCAGGTTAGATAGAGAGTATCCATCACAGTCGACATCCAGGATGAGAGCAGGCGGCCCATACCACTGACGTGAGTGGAATGATATTGGAGTCCGTCGTTCGGGAGCTCGGCTGTTAGATTGCTCGAAGAAGCGGTCGAAAGCTACGTGTATTTCTATGAAGGATCTTTATAATAGAGGACTCGCACCTTCCAATCAATCTTCTCGCCGTCGACTTACGACTAGATTCATGTCCCTCAGGGTAGACACAAGCTATGACCAGCATCATTCAGGATATAGGGGGAGCTTGGGGTCAAAACAAGACTATGGCTATGCAGAATGGATATCTTGATCGAGCGCATGGCCTCTTTTCAGGCTATCTCTCCGGTTGGAGTAACCTTCAGATTGCAGGCGCCATCTTGCTGATCATTATCACCTATGACCAATGTAAGTTGCTACATTCACAAAACAAAAAAATGAGATACTGACAATTCCCCAGTACGATATATCCAACAGAAGGGTTCCATAGCTGGTCCCAAGTTCAAAATTCCAATAATGGGGCCGTTCATCCAAGCTCTCTATCCAAAGTTTGATGCATACCTTGAACAGTGGGCAAGTGGTCCCCTCAGCTGTGTATCTGTATTCCACAAGTCAGTAACTGGGATCAGGTCCTGCTAACTTACAGAACGCTGATAAAGTCTCCGCAGATTCGTCGTTCTAGCATCGGATCGTGACATCGCGCACAAAGTCTTCAAGTCGCCTACCTACGCTAAACCTTGCCTCGTCCCAATCGCAACTGAGATCATGAGTCCGAATGCGTGGGTGTTTCTTGCTGGAAAAGCACATGCCGAGTTCCGGAGAGGCTTGACTGGTCTCTTCACGAACAAGGCTCTCAGTACTTACCTTCCGGTCCAGGAAAGGGTCTACGCCGATTATTTCGACAAATTCGTTGCCGCCAGCGAGGCCAACAAAGGGAAACCTATGGGGTTTATGGGGCATTTCAGGGAAATTAACTGCGCACTGTCGTGCAGGACTTTCTTTGGAGGTTATATCTCGCAGGCAGCCATCAAACGGATTGCCGATGACTTCTATCTTGTCACTGCCGCGCTTGAACTTGTCAACGTCCCGCTCTCCATCTACGTTCCGTTCACTAAACCTTGGAGGGGAAAGCGCACGGCAGATGCTGTTCAGGCCGAGTTCACCAAGTGTGCCGCAGCATGCAAGGCAAACATGGCATCCGGTGCTGAGCCGACATGCATTGTTGATCAGTGGGTACTACACATGATGGAGTCTAAACAATATTATGAGAGGATCGCAGCCGGGGAAGTCGGGCTGGAGAAGCCTACAAACCTCATCCGCGAGTTCACCAATGAAGAGATTGGGCAGACGATGTTCACGTTTCTCTTTGCATCTCAGGATGCGTCTAGCAGTGCGACTACGTGGATGTTCCAGATCCTTGCCCAGAGACCTGATGTCTTGGATCGCCTCCGGGAAGAGAACCTTGCCGTACGTTCGGGCGACAAGACGAGACCTTTTGAGCTGTCCATGTATGAGTCTCTCACGTACACCAATGCAGTGATCAAGGAGCTTCTACGACACCGCCCGCCGGTCATCTTTGTGCCCTATCTCGCGACGAAGGACTTCCCAGTTACTCCAGACTACACGGTGCCCAAGGGCGCGATGATTGTTCCGTCCTGCTATCCGGCTCTTCATGATCCTGAGGCTTACCCAAATCCTGATGTGTTCGACCCAGACCGCTGGATCACGGGTGATGCCCAATCGAAAACCAAGAACTGGCTCGTCTTCGGTACCGGTGCACACGACTGTCTCGCACGCAGCTATGTGCCGCTCACCATGGCGGCCATGATTGGCAAGGCCGCATTGGAGATTGACTGGGTACACCATGCTACACCCCGTTCGGAGGAGATTAGAGTTTTTGCCACGTTGTTCCCCATGGTATGTCTTATCTCTTATGTCTAACCGTAATAGAACAAGGAATGGCACCAATGCTAACCTAGACACAAGGACGAATGTCAGTTGGTCTTCTCAAAGCGCAAGTAAGCCCACCGGTGAACAGATCGTCCCATGAGACTTTAGGGATTGGCAAGAGTTGCTGTGGAGAAGCATCTAGTAGCTGTTGGATACTTTGGCTGAGATCGGCGGCGGTGAGGGTTGCGCGTGGCTATAAGATCAATATAGAATATAGAATAATACAAGCACATTTGTAGAGTTCTGATCGAGCGCCGCATCTAGCGATGCTGCATGCTCGAGGTTACGATGCACGCCGAATCAACCTCTGTGCCTATTCCATTCCGGTGTTTTGATCGACAGCACAGCGTGCATTGCCGGTTTAGCGCACCGAAAGCCCTGGCCTTTTTGTGGCATGGGCTTTGATAGAACTGTCGAACGTGCACTCCGCTTCTCCCGAAACCATTCTCCATCCGAACCGCAATGTCAGTCTACAAAATCGAGAGATATGGCTGCTTCCAAAGGTACAATCCTGATGACGGGGGCGAACGGCGGTCTCGGTGTCGCTCTTGTATCACATATTACCGCATCCCCAGAACTATCCGCATATCATTGCATCTACACTGTACGCAACGTTGATGCGGCTGCAGCTCTCAAGTCGGCTCTCGCAAATGCTCCCACGTCTCATTCCCACGAGATCGTTGCGCTTGATATGGCCAAGCTCAGTGGTGTGCGGGACCTCGCCAGCACCATTGCTGCTCGTGTTGCGGCTGGAGAAATACCACCTATTCGTGCAGCCTTGCTCACTGCAGGGTACATAGAGTACAATACACAGAATTGGACTGACGAGGGCCTGGATCTGAGTTTTGTGGTGAATTACCTCGGAAATTGGCTTTTGACTTTGATGCTGCTACAGAGCATGGACCGTGAAGCTGGGAGAATCGTCGTCGTCAACAGCTGGACTTATGAGTAAGCCTACGTTACGCGTATCCCTTTAACACCTCACCACATGCTGACGAGCCGATTGCCAGCCCTAACGACACGCGCAACGGCCCTGTCCCAGAGCAATGGAGGACTGTGTTTAAAGATAGCACGTCGGCAGTCGCCAAGGGGAGTTGGAGCAACAATAGTCAGAACCCCTCCTTTCAATCTGGTCTGCGACGTTATGGAGCTGCCAAGTTGTGTCTGATGATGATGGTGTAGGTGAACATCTGTATGCGGCCAAACAGCCCAGCTAACACTAAGACTTACACAGTGGGGAACTACAGCGGCGCCTCAATAGCGACCCAGTATTAAACAACATCCTCATCCTCAGCGTTGACCCTGGTGTTTTCGCCAGCGATATTTCTCGAAGAAGTCCTTGGCCCATACGCTTCCTCATGTATTGTACCACCATCCCTTTGTTGGCAAGTATTACGACATGGCTTTGGCCCAATGGGACGGTACGCACTCAAACTAAGGGAGCTCAAGATATTATCCACGCTGCCTTTGAGTCCAATGGCGCGTCAGATGAGAGGACGACGAACACGTATCTGGACGGCACCACTCCCAGGGAGATGAGTACCGAGGCAAGAGATGTGAAGAAGCGCGAAGTGCTGTGGAGAGAGAGCATCGAATACGCACAACTCAAGGAAGGAGACACAGTCTTGGTGAACTGGAGGTAACAGAAAGTATACATGTCTATATCATTTCGGTAAAGCGACTGCTCCCTCCTGCATAAGAGCAGCACATCTTGTACTTTTGATAATGCTCTACGCAATATTACCTCATTTATCAATATGTCAGGAAGCGTCCCAAATCAAGCTTTCTGGATTGTTAAAAGCGAAACCAATTATATATCGTAATATATATCCTTTATTTACCTTAATATAATAATTAAATTGTTTAATTCAATTAAAAAGAGTGAAAAGTGAAAGATTTAAATTATAAAATGCTATTTAAAGTGGAGGATTAAATACTTTATTTAAACTTTTTACTTAATTTATAATTTTATAAATAAATAAAGCCTATATAAAGTAATAAAGGAGCGTAAGTTTAAAAGGTTTTAATATTTAAAAACAATTCTCTTTTTATAACGGGATTCTTTTAATAAAAAGGCTCCCTTTATTACGTAATTCCCAATTTTCGTATATAATTTTTAAAACTATTTCGTATTATTACTTTAATAAATATATCCGTTAAGTTGTTTTTCGATACGACTCGTTATATACGTATATTTTTATCCTTTTTTATTTAAACCTTTAAAAAGTGGTATCGTATTTAAATATATTTAACTCGTTAATAAAATTTTAAATTTTTAAATAATTTAAATGTTATATTATTATCGATATTAATAATAATATATTTTAATTAAATTTTTAAAATATATAAATCGTTAATAAAATATTTAATTTAAACCGTTTCTTTTATAATATCGTATATTATTATATATTCGGTATTTATTATAATTATAATAACCGTTTTTTATCGTCGTAATATTTATAAAACAAATCCTTTTATAATAAAAAAGATATTTTTAATAATAAAATACTTTATATCGATTATTACGAATATAGCTTTATAAACCCCGACCCCGGGAAGGAATAACTAGAACCTACTAAGCGGTTAACGCGTAACCGCTAAAATAAAAAGACCACGGGATTAATAAAATAGAAAAGGTTACGTAATATAAATCACGGTTTTAGTAAATAAGCCAGGATAAAAGATCACGACGAGCTACGAATAAACTTAAAAAAAGGATTACTTTTAAATTAAAATAATCCGGGATAAAAAATTATTATAATTATAATAATCTAATTAATATTAATAAAACAAATAAATAAATATATAATAAAAAGGATTTTTTAATTATATAAATAATTATTATTTTAATAATTAATTTAAATATTTATTTTATTTATAAATAAAACCTATTAAATTTTAATAATTATATTTATAACTTCGTTTATAAACCCCTTTATTATATCTTATTTAATTATATAAATTATCGATTATAACCGCTTTCGAGACTAACGTCCTTTATTAATATAAATTTACGTATTTATATCTCTTTATAATTTATTTTAAAAAGTATATTTATTACATTTTAATTATTTTTATTTAAATACGTTACTTTCGAATTATTAAATAATATCTTTATTAAATAAAATAACACCATCCACCCCTAATAAAAACTCCGTAAATAACCTTATAAAAGGACCCGACGTCTTTAAAATAATACGGTAATTATAAAAAACCTTTAATACCGTTAAAAATGATAACGAGTAATTTATTACGTAATTCGTTATTATTAATAATACGTAACGAGGAGGCGGTAACGGAAGTTATAAATTCGTACCCTTTTAATTATATAATAAAAAAAACGGAAATATTTAAAAATTCCTTATTTAAATACAAACTTATTTACGTTTTTATAACGGAATTATTATTACCGAACCCGATAAAATCCTATATATCGTTAAATTCCTTAAAAAAACGTATTTAATTAATTTAAATTAATTATAAAGGATTATTTTAATAATAACGAAAACCGATAAAAAAACGATATATAAAAAATGTTTAACGATTATAACGAATTTAAAAGACGTTTATAAACAACTTTCGGTAACCCGGACGAAATCCGTATTATTAAATAAAGATTTATACAATTTAAATAACGTAGATTAACCGTTAAATACGTATCCGAATTTAAATAAATCGTATTTAAAACCGAATAAAGCGACGACGATATATTTATAACGCTTTTTTACGTAAAATTACGAAAAAACGTAAAAAACGAAATTTTAAAAAAAAACAAACCCGACGAATTCGATAATTACGTCGAAAAAATCGTTAAAATCGATAATTACCTATATAAAAAAAGACTCGAAAAACGAGGATTTAAGAGCGAATTATATACCCCGTATATTAAAGTAAATACCGGGAAACCGTAACAAAACCATTATTAAAATAATAATAACCGACACCCTTTATATAATTAAAAATGGTAAAATAAAACCTTTTATAAATATTATAACGGATTAATAAACCTCGACGCGATTAAATATAATAAAAGTTATAAAAATAAGGATATAATAAATATTATATATTATAATTATAATAAAAAAGGGTATTACGTTAATAAATACCGATAAAAACGTAAATTTTAACCCGTACCGGAAAGTAACCGGTAAATTAACGCTTTTTATCGAAAAGAAAATAATTATAACACTTTTTTAAAAATTAATAAAACTATCGCGATAATATAACGAGAACCACTCGGATTTTATATAACCGATATTAATAACGACGACGAAAAAAACTATTTTATTATATAAACCGAAAAAAAGGTACGATAAAACGTTAATAATAATATAAACCTAATTAAAAAACTCGAATATAAACTTTAAAACGCGAATATCGAAAACATCCTTTAATAATTCGAATAAAAAATTAATTTTTAATAAAAAAAGGTTATAATAATAATTGGATTATACCCGTTATCCGTTAACGAATTACGTAATTTGTTTAATAAATTTTATTACGATATTATACGTAATTTAAAGAACGACCCTACCGAATTCCGATTTAAAAATAATAAATAATTACGATTAAATTATAAATAATATAAAAAACTATTATAAATATTTTATATTAACGGATTATACGATTTATACTTCGTAAAAAAACTGGAATATAAGTTATTTTTTAACCGTAACGGGTAAAAAACCATTATAAAACTATATAAAAAAAACGAAATCTATAAAATAATAATAATTTATTATAACGCCCGAGATTACGCCGTTTTAACCACGCACCCTTATTAATTATTCGAATATTTATTTAAATAAAGGGTTTAAAAAAACTATATAAACGATAAATACCTAAAATACGTAAAATAAAAAGCGATAATTTAAAAAAAATTTATCGAGTATTATAAAAAAGGATATATTAAAATCCTAATTTAACTAAACTAATTAAAAAATATAAATATAACGTAATTATATTAAAAAAACCTTAAAAATATAATAATAAACGAAGGATCCGATTTAAAAAACCTAATTAACCCTTATTTTAAAAAAATAATATAATAATAATAATAAAAAAAACGTAAAAAAAAGTTAAAAATCGAATTCTTAATTAAAAAAATAAACTTATAATACGATTATAACGAATATACTTTTTAAAATAAACCGTAAAGAGATATAAGTATGTGGGTTTATATTAATAAGGGACGTTAATCTCGAAAGCGGTGTGACGAATATACTTTCTAAAATAAACCGTAAAAAGATATAAATACGTAGGTTTATATTAATAAAGGACGTTAATCTCGAGGGCGGTTATAGTTTATAACCTATATAATTAAATAAAATAAAATAAAGGTTTATAAACGAAGTTATAAATATAATCGTTAAAATTTAATAAGCCTTATTTATAAATAAGATAAATATTTAAATTAATTATTAAAGTAATAACTATTTATATAACTAGGAAATCCCTTTTAATATATATCTATTTATTTCCTTATTAATATTAATTAAATTATTATAATTATAATAATCCTTTATTCCGGATTATTTTAATTTAAAAGTGATCCTTTTTCTGGGTTTATTCGTGGCTCGTCGTGATCCTTTATTCTAGTTTATTTACCAAAACCGTGATTTATATTACGTAACTTTCTCTATTTTATTAATCCCGTAATCTTTTTATCCTAGCGGTTACGCGTTAACCGTTTAATAGGTTTTGGTTATTCCTTTCCGGGGTCGGGGTTCGTAAAATTATATTTGTAATATTAAATCCCTCCTTTTTTGTTTTAACCTTTTAAAATTAAAGGTTATATAAATAAATCGTTATCGCCTACTTTTTAATTTAATAGGTTTCCCTCCTTTTTATATTTTCGTAATATATGTTTATTATATTAGGTCGTATTAAAAAATCTCGATCCCGTAAAACGCTTAACCGTTTATTTTTAGTTAAAAGTATCGAAGTTTTTAGGGTAATTACCGAGATACCGTATATTAAGTATTTTAAATAGAACCTTACCTATTATATAAACGAAAAGTCGTCGCGTTATTTAAAATGTATACGTATTAAACGTATTTATAATAAGACGTTCGTAGCGTTATCGCTTTTTCGTTTATTATCGTAATAACGGAAATTAAAGGCGGAAAAGGCCGATACCGAGGAGGCCCTTTTCGCGTTATAGATTTAACTATTTATTATTATCGGTCGCTTTACGTATTTACGTCGAATAAAGAAGGTCGTAAAAGAGAAGAGTTTTAAAGCGTTTTAACGGGGGATACGGGAGTTAAATAAGGAGGATAGCGTAATGCCTTCGGTTTCTATTTAAAAGCGTTTTATAATAGGTAATTTCCGGTTTATAAACGTTTTTAACGATGTGGATTGGGTTTTTTTAGGTTTGGATAATGATTTTATAGATATTAATCCGTTAATACCCGTTATTAATAAAAATCCGCGAGGAGTTTAGGGTAACCCTTTAAATTCTTTTTAAATTTTTAAATGTTTTTCGATAATAAGTAATCCTTTTATTTAATAAAATACTTTTATTAATTATTAATTCTTTATAAATCCAGGATTTTTTCGATTTCGTATTTTTAATCTGGTTCGGTTTCGAACCGTGTTTCGATTTTTATATTAAGTAATGTTGGTTTTAATAATGAGATAT